ACTAGTATCTTTACTAGCTTTGGCCCACCAAACATCAATCACACTATTATCAAGCCTCTACCAAGTTCACTAGCTCCAACCCACCAAATAGTTATCACAATGGTGTCCACCAAATAATTTAATGGCTTCAACCCACCAAAAATTAAAGGTGTTGTTTGTTAGTCCCAACATTGGCTACATAAAGCATAAAAAAGGAGGGAGGGAGAGAGAGAATTATTAAAAGCTAAGTGTAAAAATCTTTGGCAAGTAGACATAGGTCATAGAAGGCCAAATCATTATAAAGGGGTGTCCCTTACTAATTTTTGAATAGTGTGTTGGCCTATAGTGTGTCAATTGACTTAGTTCATCTCAAAGGAGAGCTCTTAGTAATTGTTAAATAGTGTGCTAAATAAGTGCAATTTAAGTAAAATTATTGAATGCTTAAAAAAAGTGTAGAAATTTTAAGCTAAGAAAACAACCATTAAAGTTTCCTTTCCCATAATAGGCACTCAGGCACTAGATTGCCTTTTTTTCATTTCCCTTACTTCTTTGAATGTCTTCATCTAAGAATGATGATATGTTAACTAAAAAAATGAGTCATGTACTTGAGTGAAACACAATGGTTCCTTGGCTATTATATGATTTTAGATTACACTATATAATTTTTGTTTCAACTGTTCAGCTGTGACATGATTTAATTGAGTTGATGTGACTTTCATCTGTATTTTAAGATCTTTTGAGATCAATTATCATTAAAGTAAAAAAAACTAGAATATTGAATTTCAAAAGATTAAAATCTTTTCATCAAAGATATCCAAGTTTGACTCAAAGCTTGACCTAGGACTAGAATGCTGATGTATTTGATTTTGATGATTTAAAATTAAAATTTATTAAAAATTTAATGTCTCCTATTGATTTTATTTAATATGCTTTATTTATATGATTAAAATATTATATATATTCAAAAAACTAATCAGCTTGGTATCCAAACTATTCATCAGCTTGATATGACAATCAAATAAATCAATTATCCCAAAAGGGGATATGTCTATTTGGATATGAACTTTTGAGAACTATGCCACTTATTAAACTCAATGTATATTTTTGGAGAGAATAGTTAATACTAACTAATAATTTTCTCTTTGGAATGAAAGTAGTTAGGTGACAAATGAATTGATATATAAATTTTATGTTCTTGATGAGAGAGTGTTGGGAGGTTTTTTACTTGGCTTCAAATGTGTGTTGACATTCATCTCTCTATCTGAAATTAAAAAATTATCATTTTTTTTAGATAATTCAATTCACCCTTTCTTTTAATGATTCAAGTAGCCCTTCCATTCCAACATAATATGTATAATTCACCTATTTTGTTGTTTTTATTTGGCCAAGTTATTCTATATAAGTGTCAACATGAGAGTTTATAATTCTTTTGATCTTTTAACATTTTAAAATATAATACAACCTATCATAAATGCTCTATCTTTGTATGGTCTAAAATGTCAGATATGTCAAATCTTAAATTTAACCTATCATAGATAGGCTAATGAATAGAGAGTGAGGTTTTAAATCTATTTCTTTAGTTGGGCAAGTTAATTCACTATTTTGAATTTAATCTTCTAATTCTAATTAATATCAGTTAACATAATCAAGAACTAAAAACTGATGTTTGTATGTTGCTAGTTTTTTCTTTCAATATTTAATGGTTTGAATTAGTTAGCTTAGACAATAATAAAATATTTTATAGTACTTTGGCCACCCAAGTTTGCATTCACTCTCTGAGGATCATGACCCTTGGGTTATACTATTCTCTTCTTGGGAATATAACTGATGATAATAGGATCAGATATCTCCTTGTAACATAGACTCCTTGAGTTTATTTGACCCCACCAACATCTAAGATTCTAGAAAACCTGTTCAAACACGTTGCACATCAAACTTGTTATATAGTGTCTTCTTAATGTGAGTTCAATCTTGATGTAGAGAGACATTGATTGAGTCAAATGTTAGATGCTTGAGCAGTGGAAGATCAAGGGTTGAGGATGAAGCACATGTTTATATGCACAACTAGATATTCTTGAAGGTTTTGGAAAAAGATTGAGCAGCAAAAAGGTAGTCATTGACAAAGATGCTCAAAGCTTGATTTTCAACTATAGATTGTTGAAGGCAAAAGAGGATGAAAGTGTGAGAATCACATGCACATATCAACTAATTTCTCATTGATTTTCCTCACCCTAATTTTGGACAAGACACTCGTCTTTATCTTCACTATTATTAGGATGTGCCTTTGCCATGAACAACTCTTTCTTACCAAGTCAACCATTTGGGGCTTAATGATTACTTGTTACTAGGTCATGTCCTTGGACCTCAATGGCTCAATCTCATCAGGTCACACCATGTCTTGGGCCTTAGCTACTCATTGATCTAAGGTTGAGCCTTTGACTTTATTTTATCAAGTTGTGCCCTTTGGCCATGATGTCTTGGGCCCAAAAATTGTGTTTGTTAATATTGTAAAATTCATACTAAATTGAAACATTTGAATTTTGATTAGTTGTTTGTTTTTTTGTATTTATCTAATTCAATTTCCAATAAATAATTACAAGCTCATGTAACAAAAATAACCTATGCTTTTGGATTTATAATTCTTGACCACTGTGCCCTTTGGCCATGCTGTCTTGGGCCCAAAAATTGTGTTTGTTAATATTGTAAAATTCATACTAAATTGAAACATTTGAATTTTGATTAATTGTTTGTTTTTTTGTATTTCTCTAATTCAATTTCCAATAAATAATTACAAGCTCATGTAACAAAAATAACCTATGCTTTTGGATTTATAATTCTTGACCACTGTGCCCTTACCAAACTTGTTGATCCATAAATCATAAAAAATCAGGCTATTTGGATTCCAATGCAACATTCCATAGGTTCGTATCTCTCATTGATTTCTTTACTGTGACAGAAGTAGTTTTCGTGTTTCTATAATATTTTTCATAAATATATCCTCATTAATGTACTAAATTGTCCTTCATAATCATTGTTATCAGCAAAATGTTTTAATCTCCTAAACTCCACAAAGTCTACATGTTGAATCTTTTTCCAGCATTTCCCTCTCAAATTTTAGCTATTTTGACTCATTACATCAACTCACAAAAGTTAATTTTTCTTCCATATCAATTTCAACTTTTTATTTAGATCTCTTTGTTCATGATTATTTTTGCATATTTATGCCTAAAAAAATAATCAAACAACAAATGCACTATATTTAAAGGTACATATCTTCATCCAACTACATCAGTAGTAATATATTTAGGTCATTCTATCTTTTTGTCATTTCTTACTATTTGTTAACATAAAAATATTTAAACTAAAAATTTTGAACCTAAGCACAATTTCACTTCACATTTATGCCCTGACACCAACATTTGATGCAATTAAGCTACAAGAATAGTGCCAAATTGGTGTTAAATACAAATGACCTTAACTCATTCTATCTTCCTTGATATGGTTCCAATAGAAGTTTTTCATTTGATCAACTAGTTGAAACCTTCTTTTGATTATTAGGACATCTCCAAAACTTATAGACAACTTTTTCATCAATTTTTTTGAACAATATTTTTTTTCTTTTTCTAGAAACTTAATTTATTTGTAGACTCATATGAATTGATGTGACTTAATTTTTGTATAATACATCATATAAATTTAAATTTTATAAAATTACAAAATATTATATTTTAAAAAAAATATTTTAAAATATTTTTTAAAGCTTCAAGCACAGAAGGTCCTCCCCCTTTTTTTTTTCTTTTTTTTCTTTATTTTATCTCTAAAACATAATTATATAAATTATATAAATTTACATAAAATCTCATATTAGCCAAGAATTCACACCAACTAAAAACCTTTTTTCTCAATTTAACATAAATATAAATCTATTCATCATGATTTAAGGCTTAGAATAAATTATTAATTAATTATTAAAACTTATTATGGACCACCTAAAGACTAGAAGGGGGCATTTAAACCTTGTAGCTCTCTCTCTTCTTCTTTTTTGGATGTGGGATTAAGTTCAAATTTTACAACGACTATATGGCTGCCAATTCAATCATTAGATATCAAATTTTTAAGGTCTTAAAAACATGAATATAGTTATTTATCATTTGAACCTCCCTCTCTCTAATAGTTGCCTTAACCAATCAAGAGGCATTTAACGGAGGTGTATGTGGGATGTTCTAAGTGTGCGTATCTTTCTTCAACTCGCCAATAAGCTTCTCTTTCTCTTTTCTGATAAATTTATTATTATTACTATTATTACAATATGAATTATACTTCGATGCATGTACTTACGCTCATAATCGTCCCAGTAGAACAAAGGGGAGTTTAAGAATCACCAAAATGTCTGTTTTTTAGTTATCTTGTGGTGCATTCTTCATCTCATACAATCCGTTAATGCATCAAACTTTGTACACCTAGTCTTTTTTCTATATTCATCAGCATGAGGGAAAAGAGCTCCAATCTTCAGTTTAATACAAATCTTGGAATAACAAGCGCTTCTCAAGCATACAAGGGTAAGTTAGGACTTGAAAATCAGTTCCTTGCTCAAGTTTTCTTCATATATTTCTTATTAACTAAGATCCAGGGAGCACTAAATATGACCAATATGCTAATAACATTGTTGTAACGGCATCCATTGCCCAATCACATGATCCATGCAAGAATGCAACATGCATTCGTGAAGGGACAAATAGTAAATGTACAGATAAATCACATTTTAATCCCCGAATCTATCTTTTTTCTGCCAAAAAATCGTATTCTGAATTCGTAAATACTTTTTGAATTCCTCACTAACTGTGGAGGAATCGGCGGCAATCACATCATCTGCCCAGTTCGTGCGGAAGATAAGATTCCTGATCTTAGAAGTTATCATATTTTAATCTGAATAATTTTCATGAACGTAACTAAAAATGGTTAACCGTTTTTTTATTCTCAAATCTTAAGATTACCCTGAATTGATTGATATTTTTCCGGGTTCATAGACTGCTGTGCAGAGATCTCAGGTCGGAGATGACTTTGCTTCTCACTTCCTCTCTCTTTAGCTTCCCTGAAGTTGTGCATGGAAATGGCTTCTCCCATTGCATGTAGATCTTGGGTATTTTGAATCTAAAAAGGAAAAAAAGAAAATGAGAAAGCGAGAGAGAGAGAGAGATTTTCTTGAAAAAAAATTCTTCCGGAGATGATTTATTTACATGATAATGTAAATTTCTAAGCATTAATTTTAAAAAAATCGAAAATTGAAAATTAATGTCCAGGACTTTCTGGTTTTTATGTGAGCTTTCAGCAATCTGTCCACGTGCTAATTTCAGAGAAAATAAAATAAGTAATAAATAACGAACTGAGGAAACAGAAATGGAAACCGTCTGCTTCTATGTTTTCCTTCAAGCTAGTGTGACAATCAGGCAGGCCTTAGGGGATTAAGCCAAGGAAAATGGAAAAAACTTATTGATAATTCACGGTATGAGTGGGCAAAAAGGCCAATTAACCAAAGTAAATAATATTAAAAAAGAAACGTAGATTAAACCAAACCCAAGAAGAAAATGAATGGGATGACATAGGAGTGTGATCCCTTAAGTACAGAAAAATCGATAAAAAGTGGTAAAATTCCTGTAATGGCAAAGAAAAGACCCACATTTGCACTATTCTAAGCCCTAAGAGTTCATAATGTTCTTTCCGAATGGGGGAAATTTCGGAGTATTTTCCTTACTACGGAAGAATAATTGTTGATATGATGTCTTACACGATTTAAGCTCCTATTTTTCTTTTCTTTTTAATTTACCCAGTTCATTCAATCAAAACTTTTCTTTAAATAGTGCATTTACCCAGTTCATTCAATCAGAACTTTCCTTTAAATAGTACCTGGACAAGTGTCTCTGTCTGCAGTGAGCTTGAAGGATATGAGACGACAATTGGTTTCTCTCTCTTGAAGGAGCAGATCCGTCATCAACCCAGTTCCAACCCTCCTTGACGCACACACAAGCAGCTATCCTCTCTGTAAAATGGGCATCAGGGATCCCAAAAACAACCACAGAGGAAACACCCGGGTGTTGAAGAAGAACGCCCTCCACCTAACATATCCGATCATGCTGCTATTAATAAAATTGCTGGCATTATTGGAAAGGATGTTAAGACTACGGAGCACTGTAAGGCAAAGAAAATTACTAACTGTAGTTTTATACTGTATTCAATGCGTAGATCACATCTTTGATGCATTCATGAACTACATTTCTGACGTTAATGAAGCTGGTTATAACAAACACTATGAAAGACTGAAATTTACTACTATCTAAGTGGCTTTATACTTTATTCGGGGTATAAATTAACTCTTAAATGCGTATATATAGGCCGATTATATTTTTAGCATCATAGGCAGCATGTTATAAATTACAAAATTACTAATGGTGAATAATTTTAGACTGCATTCCATGGGTCAACTTCCTCTTCTGGCTGAAAGATATCAAACACTGGAGGGCGAAAAAAAATTACTAAATTAACTAACTTTAAACTGTACTCTATGGATAGATCACCTCTTCAGAGTAAAAATTAACAACTGCTGTATATATATTGACGGAAACTGGTTAATGAAGCACTGAAGGCCAAAGAAATTATTCATTCAAGTAATTTCAGACAGATCAGTTCTTCAGTTTACTCACTAGTTACACTTGGAACATTGATTTAACTGCAAATAAGATTACGAAATACTGGAAAGCACAGAAGCTTACTAGTTCAAGTAGTTTTAAACTGCCTTATGGATAGAGCTTCTCTTTTAGCCCACACAGTAGTTGCATTCCTCGCATTAATGGAAACTATGTTCTGATTGTGAACTACTGGAAGGTCCAAAACATTACTCATTCAAGTGGTCTAAGAAGTTTGCATTATGGATCGATCACCTCAACACCTAAAACATTTCTCACATTTATGGTGTTAATGGCAACTGTCTGTAAGACTACGAGCCACTGGAAGGCCAAAAAATTTAAGTAGATTAAGACTGTATTCCATGGAAACAATACCTCTTCGGGATACACATTCTCTCCCCCACATTTGATCCGACCATTTGTACGGCCCACCAGCCATAGCTCGCCATCACCATCAATCCACCCCGTATCCCCTGTGTCAAGCCAGCCGCTTGTTCTCCGGTCCAAAGTCTCCACGTTGACTCTGCTCCAATATTGAACCATTAAGTGGGCCCCCCTGCTTAGAATACTACCAACCTCCGGACCACAGTTGTCAGTGCTGCTGCCTCTTATGCATAATTCTACATGAAGGGGAGGTTTGCCGACACAGACACCCCTGACTCGATGAGCTGGCGAACCAGGTGTGGCTATATAGCTCTTATGGGAGGCGGTTCCAACCTTGGGTGATATGGGGTCATGAAGGGTTTTGAATGTAAGAGAAGAGCATGCTTCAGTCATCCCTGAGAGAAAAAAAATAATTATGAGACTAATTTCACAATTTAAAAAAATGGTAACAAAAATGATGCAACTAGGAGTTGGATGCGAAGCAATTAGCCCAGAAAACCTACCATATGCAGAAATTAGCTTCGCACAGGGAAACATGCGTACAGCAGCACAGATGAGATCATGAGAGAGACCACCACCGCCATTGAGAACCTTCCTTACAGATTTTGCACCCGCCCATTCATTTTCCTTCCTGATTAAAATTTACCCAGGCATTGGGAGATTAAAAGAAAACACGATATGAAAATAAATTATAACGTTTACGTCATATAAAATCAACATTATTGAAATGAAAATAAATTATAACGTTTACCCAGGCATCTATATATATAAGTTTTAGGCGACAAAGTGAAATGAATGTTTGCATCATCTAAAATCGACGTAATTATTCATGGGCACCTATCTTTATAAGTTTCCGGCAAAGTTAATATCATATCCATTGATTAAGATGCAGAAATGAAATATCATCATGATAGAGTTTTTTCTGATTTTTCTGTTAGTCTTAAGCTGGAGCAGAAGAATAGACATAATTTCCGTGTTTGGTGTTAATTTCAAAGAAAATTATCGCCACTATCTTTTAACTGGTGGAAACTATAATTTAAACGAAAACTCATACCCAATGAACGATGCCAGAACCGCGACCATTGTAGGAACGGTGATCAGAGAAGTCACTTGATGCTCCTCAATTGATCGAACGGACACATTTGCATCAAATTTGGGTTGGAAAACGTGACAACCACCCACCATTAGCATGGTGATGCAGGAAGAAATTCCACCAATATGGCACAAGGGTGCTGTGTGGAGATAAATCTGTCAGAAAAGAACGAACAATTTTATCTTCGATCTGTATATTTTTTTTCTAAAAAGGAGATATTATGAAGATCATACATCGTCCTCAGTATAGCCAACTATGGCGATTTTCGCATATGATTGGATAATCAGAGACATGTGGCTGATGGCAACACCCTTTGGCTTTCCAGTGGTTCCTGTGATGAACAACACAATTGAAATCATTTTTAAAAATATCTTAGTTGTAATGTTGACGACCCAACTGCAAATAATTTCCGGTGGCCAATAATTTGTTTAATCTTGAGCTGAGGGATTCATATTATGGAGACATGTGGCTTTCCAGTGGCCAACGTTGGATTAGACTCGTTCTGCAACCATAATTGGCTATCCAGCAAGGGCTGTCTGGTTCAACTGACCCAAATGATCGCATACATAGGGTTCACAAAAGCCATGGCCCAATCATTCTGATCCCTCAAGAATTAAAATATGTAATATAAGATTTTAAAAGATGAGCTAATATTTTCTTCCGGTGAAAGTCAACAAAAAATACCCCCTTTTTTCTGGCCCAAAGACCATGTATTGTGCCGTTTTAACCGCCACAATTTTATATGATTTCTAATTTGGCACTCATACGCCGAATCTAACCCCAAGTCCCCTGGAAACTATGCCTCAAGAACTTGCCAAAGTGCAAGCTAAATCTCCATTTAAACACGTTTCACAGGAATAAGCTGGAATTGTTTACCTGAAGTGAAGCATATGAGTGCTATATCTTCTGGTGCCCATATGTAATCAAAGCTTGGATCTTCCACGGGCTTCTTAATAATATATTGGTCAAGCCCTGGAAATAAATCCAAAAAACAATTTAATCTTCCACGGGCTTCTTAATACATATTCCTAGCAAAAATCTCGTTGCCAAGAATGGAGAAGTTGATAGATGGTGGTGAAGAAATCTATGGTCGTAAATACAGTGATAAAATATATGAACCCCTGAGTTGACTTTCCTTCTTATTGGAGGGGTCTCTAGGGAAAGATGATTATGGGTATGTATACAATATCTAATAATATAAAGTGAAACAATAACAGAGTATAACGCTCCTCTCTCTCGGTCTAGCTCGCTCGCTCGCTCGTCTCCATCAGTTCGTCTCTTTCTATCTCTTTGCCTAGATTCGATTGGCCACCGACAAAAGATCCCCTCACCATTGTCATGGCCGTTGAGGCAGCGAGGGGACTCCCCCATGAGAACGCACCATCGGATGGAAGGCACCGAGCCGTCCCCAAGCTCCGCCGCCCACCGCCGACAACCCTCGTCCACTGCCAGCACCACCGGCTCCACGGCCGCCACCGCATCCTTGGTCTCCTTGTCACTCTGCAACTCGAAATTCTTACAGATGAAAAGGAAGGGGGAGACCTCTGATATTTAACTCTGACAGACGAGAGGCTACCCAGCGGTAATTGAGGGGGGCGGCGACGCCGCCGACGAGAGCCACAGCGAGGAGCCACTCGATGAACCACTCACTGCGGAAACAACAATGGCAGCGTAGACTCCATTAGCCTTTCCCCTCCACGGAGGTTCCTCGGAGGGAATCGAAATCGAAATCGTAATCGGCGTCTCCCTCCGGCGAGACGAGCATTTCGGGGACGCCGGCGAGCGTACCTGTTGTAAGCGGCGATGGCGACGACGTCGCCCCTCCGCACGCCGAGCGCCACGAGGCCGCGGGCCAGCCTGAGGACGCCCTCCACGAACATCCCCCCCGTTCTCCTCGCGCCGCTCTCGCTGCAGATCGTTAACGCCTCGTCCCGCCGGCGGGCCAGTATCCGGCTCAGACATTGGCAAATGTGGCCCCTGGAATAGCTGCTCATACTCTGTGTTTCCCTCTCTTCTCTCTGGTTTCCCTCTCTATCTACTGTTTGTCTATCTATCTATCTATTGCTCTATCCATTCGTCTATCAAAGTTTCCATGCTTTGCCGCCGTTTCTCGTCCGAGATAGATTACGTGGGGCCGCTGATACTTTTACCAAAAAACTCCTCACTACTACCGTTTAGATGGCCTTCCGACGTACTCCAGAGGGCCTTTTCGTCATTAAAGTCAGCATCCGCCTCCTCAAGTGTGTACCCTCGACGTCATCACCGTACAATACGACTGAAAACGAGATTCCCAGTCGACCACCCCAACCTCTGCAACTAATTGATTTAAAATTACGTATTATTATATCTTACAATATAATTAATTAATGGCTATTAAACCGCAGCTTTGATGAGGTTAAAGTTGCCGCAGTAGAGGAGGCCCAAGGGAACCCAAGCTCGGTCCTCATGCTTGCACCTAGCCGAAAGAGAGGGAGCTCTAGAGAGAGAGAGAGAGAGAGAGAGAGAGAGAGAGGAAGCGGGATTCCAAAAAAAAAAAAATAGCATTCCTTTACAGCAGATGGAACCATGCAGGACGTTGTTCGTGGAGCTATTCTATTTACAGGATCTTCTGCGGAGGTGGCGGAGGAGGGTGGTGGTGGTGGTCTTGGGGGCGGGGATCTTGAAGGGGCTCCAGGACTTGCGGCGGTGGGGATTGTCGGAGAAGAGGCCGGCGGCGAGGGCCTGCTGGAACCAGACCTCGAACGCCTCGTCGTCCTCCTCCTCCTCGGAGGCCACCATCTCCGCGTCGAGGCCTCCTCTCGCGGGGTGGTCCACCCCCATCACCATGTTCACGTGGAAGCTCGGCCGGTGGGTGTTCGCCCTGCACGCCATCCCCTGCCATCCATCCCCTCAAAACAAAAACCAAATCAGGAACAAACCCTTCACTTCCTTTCCTTTCCTACATACTCTAGAGAGAGAGAGACAAAGATCAACGCACACACAAACATATGCGGCAGGGGCCCATTGGGTATGTCCTAATTTTCCATGATATAGCTTTAACAGTGGAACACAAATAGGCAGAGAATCATAGGGAGGAGATGCGCTAGAGAGAGAGAGAGAGGGGGGGGGATATGCATGGAGCTGACCTGGCAAATGGCCCACTCAGAGACATCAAATATCTTGCTCTCTGCACAGACAAAGGCACGGGGGATGTCTACCTGGAGAAGAGAAAAACAAGCCAGAATCTCCGTCACATCACCTCAAACACATTTCCAAGCGTCAATCCCAATATAAAAATAAATGCACGATAGCTGGAGCACTCCAACTGCGTGAATTTGAGCCAATTAACTTCTTCAAAACCGAAGAAAGTTTAATGGCTACCTTTTCGGTCATGAATCTTAATATTCAAATAATGATCCAAGATCGAAGATCAGTGGCTACCCAATAGGACTTCGTCGGAGCATCTGAAATGCATGAAGTTGGGGCCTTCACTATTCAATACGCAAAAAATCTTAGTAGCTGTCCTTTTCGATCATTATTCTTGGCATTTTAGAAGAGATCGAAGATCGAAGCTCAGCAGTCATCCAAGAGACTCCTTGATGGAGCATCTTAAATGCATGAATCTGGGCCATTTATCTTATTCGAGGCCAAAGCATAAATATTAGGTATCCTTGCCGATCATCATTCTTGGTATTTAATAAAAAAAGGATCTAAGATCAAAAGTCAACAGCCGTCCATGTGATTTCTAGACAAAGCATCTCAAATGCATGAATTTGGGGAGTTTAACTAATTCAAGACCGATATTATCGCGCATCTTTTCCGATCATCCACCGTAATAATTAAATGAAAACTAAGGGGGAGGGTTATCTTGATATTAAATGCTGATCTAATGAAAAAAATGGGAAATTGCACTTATTAAAAACAGGAAAATATATAGATGATAAACCTGGGCATCGATTTTGACATTAAAAATGAAAAATCTAAGATACCTTTCCAGTACTCGAAGCGAATGCAGAGCACCCTAATTCAACCCACCCATCCCCGTCGCTCGCTGGGTGATGCTGGCGGCAATCCTGATCCAACACCGGCCACCCATGGAAAGACAGCGAAGAGACGTGAAGAGATGGGGAAAGAAGGAGAAACTCCATCATTTAATAAATGTGGTAAGAAGCCTGACCTGGCACCACCGGGCCCTGGCCTTGCTCCTGTAGGTGCAGATCCAATTATGGGAATTGCCGCATTTTGTGCACTCTATACGCCTGGATTCCTCAGGACGATACTCCACCCCGTCCTGTTGAATCGATGGCGGAGGTCATCATAAAAGAAGATGATGGAAACTATAAAACAGCAAGAACCAACCTGCGGGGACGAAGAACGAGACATCTCAGAGATGACCCTCGATTCCTCCTTCCTCAGCTGCTCATCATAGCCTCTTCTCTTCGTCGCATCCGACAGCACCTGAAGGTTGCCCACCGCTCAGTTGCAGGAGAATCTCCGCCAATAAATGCGCCATTATTGCAGGGCCTAGCAGCCTTACCTCATATGCAGTCTGGAGCTTCTTGAATGACTCACCCGCCAGAGGGTTTCCCATATTTTTGTCGGGGTGGACCAGAACTGCCTGTGTTATTGAACGAAGCACGTGATGATAATAAGCCAAGAGCGAGAGATGATCCCGCCCCCCCCCCGTGAAGAAACCCTAAAATCAATAGAGATCTGACCTTTTTCCGGTACTCCTTCTTCAGCGCAGCGAGATCGATGGCCCTGATCTGGGGAAATCCAAGCGTCTCGTAGTGGTTCAAGCTTCCCATTATCCTCCTCATCTCCTCCAGCGAACCCAGATCAGACTTCACCGCCTTGCTGGGAGAGCTATTCTTCTCCTTCTTCACAGCATTCTCCGAGGTGGACGTTCTACAGGGATTGACCGAGTCCACGTCCTCCGGCTGACCAGCCGAAGAAGAAAACTCGCAATCTTCGGAGAAGTCATCCACCACGGGTTCGGGTTTCCTGGTCTCTTCGTCCTGCATGGGCTCAGGGGTGCGCTCATAGCTTTGGAGAAAGCCCACCAGGAGATCGTTTGAGAGGAAGGCCAGGTTTGCCGACAGGAATATCCCAATCCACCCAAACCGGGCATACACAGAGTAAACACAGTAAGCAGCCACCATGAAGACCAGCACCCGTGCACGATTCAGGAAGAGCAAATAACCTGCACAATTATCATGGGAAAAAAAATCGCATTATTATGATTTTTATTTTTATTTTATTGTTATTTTAATGATGATTGATCATCTCCAATTTACTTTTTCCTTCTTCTTTTTTCTGATTGATGCGCTTCAGTAAATGTACTAAAGATGGGGGCGTACTTCCAACTATAAATAGCATCCCGTTGACCCAGAAGTTTCCATAGATCCACATGGTCAAAATTCCAAACAGGCCAACAATGAAGAGTCCAGGTGTATAGCCCAGATATCGAACTGTAGCACAAGCAGGCCCCTGAGACCACCAAGCGGGGGAAAAAGTTAACCATCATCACACTCAAAACGTATACACCAGAAACAGTCGACTGGAGCAATAACTATTGAGATACACCAAAGCAGGCGATTGGAGCAATAACTAGGAGACTGGTTTTATATCAACATGATTTCCTGTAGAACAAAGGAAAAATAACGACACTAGACAAAAAAAATAACAGTCAAAAAATCATAAAATCCAGCAGAGGTTATAAGAAAAACATGGATAGGAGAGAGCTCGGAGGGACATGCGATTTATCATTCAGGCATATAGATCAATATATTTTGACCACCACGTCTGGCTTCAGACAGTCAAGATCCAAGCCCCAGAATCTTGAGTATGGAAGTATGGCATGCACGTATCAGATCATTTTTCTTCTCTCTCTGACATTATCATAGGCTGTTTATTAAGAATTTTGCAATTGCATCTTTATATGAATCGTCAAACCTTCATATTGCAACACAAATCTCCTTCCATTTCTGTTTCCCACATCGATGTGATCCGGCTGCCAACTTATGGAGAAAAAAATGCCACAAAGAAGACAGCAACACAATTCAAAACCCAGGTTTGATTCTTTGAAATGAATAGTGTGTTGAAACATTTGAACAATGCTTTGGTGAAAAAGAAAAAAAAAAAAAGGATGAAGCCAGCACTCTGTGTCTGCAAGTTTTGAGTAAGAGATCCACAAAGCATAATTACTCCATCTTCCTACTTGGATTAGAAATCAGAGAAATTATGCGAATGTCATGATATTTTGCGATGAATTTGTCTATTAAGCGCACATCTCGGAATCCAAATCTACCGGTTATACATCCGAAAGAGAAGAGTGCAAATGAGAGATACTGACCAGGATCAAAAGCGCATAAACTAAGCAAGACGTTGACGTCAAACAGAGGAAACAGCTCCAGAGGATGACGAAGATCACCGCCGTGCCCAAACCAATCAGGGACCGGAAGCCCCTCGCGGCACAATCTCTCCACTGCACCAAGAGCATCAACAGGAAGCTCCCAAGTTTCTGGAACCCACTGAAAATCAAAGGCCAGTGTTGGTCGATTAGAGATGCAAGCGCATCGCCGACGCCGTTGGCCGCCACCTGGGCGCCCGTGATGGCCTGATTCTGCGACTGCAACCATTGCCAGCCTTGCTTCAAGAGACCTATATCTCCCATGGAGAACATGGACCTAACACTGCCCCCCGGGAGGATCTCTTCTTGCGAGCGGGGATATTAACAGAGCTCGATGTCACCAGTTATCGGGAAATCTGCTAAGCATCTTCCTAATTGCATCAACGAAGAAAATCTCCTCGATAGTACCTAATTCCCTGCCAAGAAAGGGACTAATTGGTCCCGGTCAACAGTGCCTACAAGAAGATGACTCATCTCCCTCAGCACCGCCGGCCGGCGCCGAGGAGGAACAGCTAAATCCAGGAGGAGAAATGGAGCAACAAAATAATCTAGGTTCCTCTTCCGCAATGTGCCTCCAGCCACCGACAAAAGCGAGCCACCCCCTCCCGAATCACCTCCCGAAACCCTAGAAAAGAGAGTCCACGGAAACAATCCGACCCCTCACCGTCGTTCCCCGAGGAAAAGCAGATCGGAAGAGGAAAATGCGGAAAGGGGGAAAGCGGGAAAGGTGGACCAGAAGAACACCCCCCACCCCACCCTAGCCGATGGAAGAACGAACAAAAATCCAGAAGAAGGGATGGAAATCCCCTGGCGGCATTCTCTGAGGAAAGGAAACGGGGACGAAGGTCATGGAAAACCCAGTACAGGGGTGAACTGTAGCTCTCTCTCTCTCTCTCTCTCTCGCTCTCCCCCTCCTAACTCAGCACCAGAGATGGCAAGCATGTGCGTTTCTCTCTACCTGGCCGGCTAGAGAGAGAGAACTTTAGGGGACTAGGAGTTTCCTTCTATCACACGTCATTCCTTCATACTCGCAATCTTTTATTTTTCGTGGGCCGGGCCTCTTAAGGCCCAACCCGTCTCCAAATATCGAACCGGGACAAAAAGCCCGAAATGAGGTTCAACATTGAAGAGCAATGAAGAGAGAGAGAGATAGGAGAGAGAGAGAGAGAGAGAGCAAAAGGCCATTCAACTATGAACATTTTCACATAAATACGTGCAATCGTAAGGCTCCTCTCAGCATAGCATCTGCATGAAACATACCAAATAAACCCAAAAGAATCAAGCATTCTGTAGAGAGAGAGAGAGAGATAGAGAGAGAGGACAAAAGTACAAGTAGATCTACTGATCCAGAGGAAGCCACTCCAGTTGGAGAGTGACCTCCCCGGACTCTACATTCTGAAGCTTCAGCGAGAGCTCCTGCCTGATCGTTCCCCCGACGACGTTGATGGGGCTGTCTTCGACGAGGGCGTTGTCTCTGGTCTTGAGCCATCTCCCCACCTGCATGTCCGAGAGCAGCTCTGCGTCCCCAAACGCCATCGCCGCCGTCACCAGCGGCTGGATGTCCGCCTCGGCCTCCCCCATGATGTCGTCTGCCGAGAAGGTGTCGTAGTCGTACACTTGCTGCTCATGCACACATCAAGAGATCAAGAGAGAGAAGAGAGAGGGAAAGAAATGGCAATGAACCTTCAGATCTCTGGATCTCAGGTGAGACCCGTCGAGCCAATGAATAATAATAATAATAATAATAATAATAAACACTCAAATAACAGTTTTTTAATAAAAAAAGGATAAAAAAGGGAAGTATGATGATACTAAATAATCTGGGCAGTTTCCGGCAGAAAGCTCACCAGTTTCAAGGGCCCGTAGGACTGGGGCACTGGTAGCTGGAACTCCTCGTTCCAATCGGGGTTCAGATTGCTCTTCACCACGGCCGTCCGAACTTTCTACAGAATCCAATCCAAACACATCAGATTAAAATCTACGTCAAATCATCTTAAAATCTGCACAGGGCGCTCAAGAAATTTTCCCAAAAGAGTATGAACAGCGCTGAAAACCTGCTGCCCAAGAATTAGAACGACGTATGGGTCGCTCGTGACCATGTCTCTGACAGCCAAGTTTCTGCCGCTCACCACCTTCACCTTGAGGTTTCCGATGAACTCCCTCGTGTCTGCCTGCCATCGGATGCAGCAGCCACTCATTACCAGAGATTTTAAGAGCAGTGATAGAATAATAGACCCTCCCTCACAGGGTGTGGGTGTTGAGGATCAGACAAGATGGCCAGATTGGCCGATTCCCACGCAGAATTCGACTCAGAGTAAAAAAATAAACGAAAAAAAATAATCCCATAATGGGTAGATTTTACTAATTTTGATTGATCAGGATGCACAAGGCTGCTAAAGTTCAATCCTTAACAAATCCAAGATAAGTGTAAATACTTTCTGAGAATTTACAAAAAGAATCAAAAAAAACTTAGAGAGAGTAGTAGTGTTTCTTTGCTGGTACTCGGATCATGCTGTTCGCAGAGCTTTTTTTTTTTTTTTTTTGATATTTTTTACGGTTCTTCTTCTCAAGAACAGTAAACACTAAAATGGGGAAACTGAAGCATCATTAGGCCGATGTGTACCATTCTTCTCGAAGGTTGCGGCTCCATGACTCTCCGCGAATCATTCGCAGGCTCACTAAACTGCAGAGAACTCCTCGAGGGAGTCAGCGAGAGGATGCGAAGGCTGGGTTTTATGAACTCCTGCTGTTCGTATTTTGCCCTAAAAAAAATACCAAAGAAAACCATTATTCGTATTTTCGGCAGAAAAAGACCCAGAAAAAATCGGACAACTTCATACTCAATTTATCTAACAAAGTCTAAAAGTATGCATGATGACGCATAATCTATTATTACGTGATGAATTTGGTGCGTTCATCAATGCTCGAGTCTGGTCTGGGCTTTGCGTATTCTTTAGGAAGGAAGGCCTCGTAGATCGCATTAGCATAGGAGTTCCCCCCAACCTCGACCATGAAGTCGATTTCATCATCCGACCATTTATCCAAAGTCAACGACAGAACCTGAAAAATGGGAGACCATTTTAAGCGCCCAAAATAGAGGACCAGTGATTCATCATATATATATTTTCGACCCAAAAAAATCAGCCCACGTAGGGACAAGCTGGTGATAATATTTTATTAAAATAATCCCCACCCAGGATCATACACGGTGGACACCCTCATCTTTGTCGAAATATATATATATTCAAATGAATAAAATTCAATATATTAGAAATTTTAGATGGGACCTTTACTCGAGAGAGATTAGCTCCTTGGGTCTCGGAGAGAAATATAAAGATTTTTTTTTAAAAAAAATACTACTTATTTAAGGACAGCAACCTGAACCCTTTGCAGGTTGCAGTGGATCCGTAAGATGACAGTAAGAGGATCTCACGTGAAGAAACAAAAAGGAAAAAAAATAGCCTAAGATTACCTTGGAGACACTCACGCCAAGACTCCTGTGGACACTGCAACATTTTAGGCACAAGAACACGCCAATATTTGCTGATCTGAGGGGAAAAAAAGTGGGTGTAAGGGCATGGAACAGCGTGACCGTTTCAATTTCCACCAATATGATATCAAAGTCAAATTCTGCCGGCAACACGTTGCCAAAAGTCAACGGGCCTCCGATTCCAACTAGAAAAGAGAACCCACTAAAATTACAATAAAAAGTATACAAATTTACGAGGCATAATCAGTCAAAAAGCATTGAGGATTGGCAAAAGAAATTGGAACCAATAATCATGCTAGCCACCGAAACATATGCCCTCATCCCATTCAGTAGATTGCAGCAGCAATCGGATGTCTCTAACCATTGAATCACATTTAGATGTAAACAGCATAAAACTGAGGTTGGGTTGCCCATTCGAGGAGCAAATTTTCACCAAAAATTCCACAATGAAGATACAAACAAGTAGAATAATCAATGGATATATACTTGTGTGACGACGAAGGGAAGAATTATTTGACAAATGTGAGACACGCGGCAGTCAACCACAAGTAGACACTGCAAGGAACTTACGCCCATTTAGGATCGCGAGCACCGCAGTCCGCACAAATACGATTCTCACTCTTCAGTGATAACTCTTTCAATCTTCTATTGACTGCCCATAAATAGGAAAAATAATTAGAGAATGGGGAGAAAGGAGAATAATGTTTACCCCGCTTATCTGAATGCTCAGAAAAGATTATTTTATCTGGTAATCAAAATCCATAAGAAGATATAACTTAAACAGAGATTACTTGACCCTCATGGGAAGCACCTAACAACCACTCCAAAACAAAACCAAAAAAAAAAAAAAAAAAAAACATCTTGTAAACAAAGAAATCATAAAAAACCCCAAAGTGTACCAAAACATCCAGAACTATCGCCTTAAATTCCATCTTCCCTTAATTTTTGTTATTAATGTGCCTCAAATAAATTCAAATGGGTGCACACACATGTACATCAAAATTATGACAATCGTATGCATACAATATTTGGAGGCAATAGTTCCCTGCCAAAACAGATCCATGGGATAAAACTGAAGCTCAGAACAGTAGAAGAACAACTGTGAGCTCGCCGTGAATGCCAAATCAAAAATGTGGACATTCGAAAAATCGGTCTCATTCAGATAGCACCTGTAGAATGCTTTGAATGCTCTTGCCGGTTGCTCATCCCTCAAAATCTAATCCCCAGTCCCCACACAAAACTGGTCTCCAGTTGATCCTGCAATCACCGGAAATTAATCATTAACAACAGAAAGAAGAGAAGGATAGATTTGCGAGAGCTATCTTCACCCGATGCTGATGAACGAATGCAAGAGGGAATATAAACTAAGAAGTGGTGCATCATCATAATATTTCCTGGACACCAAGTAAAAGATTGGCTAATGTCGGATGATCCCTCCTCATTCAGAAAATTGGGAACGGTTGATCGCTCATTCGAGATTTCATCCGGATTTATCAATTACGAAAGGAACAGAAACGCGCCGGATCACCCAAAGAACTACTGCTGGATAAGACCAAAAACATCCAAATCATCTGGGAAGAACCCCACAAGTCAGGAAAGAAAAAAAACCCTATATTCCGAACAGGTCTCCGCAACATCTCTCGTGGTCATGGAAATCGCTACCCCCGACGGGGAATAAGGAGGAGAACGAAAGGTAGAATTATAATCGAAACAAACGTAACCCAGAACGAATCTGGGATGAATCCGAGGCAAGCCACAAAAATTCATCGCCCCTAGTAGCCAGATCGAATTGATCAAAGCACCAAAACCCAATACGAGTTTCTTACGAGAATTTCGCCGATAACACAGCTAGGAATGGATCGCCTGGCCAACGAAAAGAGGTGGGGTGTCGGGTAGAGGTTGAGAAACCTTGCGACAACCGGAAGGTCACCTCTCCCTCTCTCTCTCTCTCTCTCTCTCTCTCTCTCTCTCTCTCTCTCTCTCTCTCTCTCTTCTCTCCTTCGTTGTCCCCAGGTCGCGCGGAACCTATGGGGATATTCGAGACAGGTGGAAAGATCAACGACGCCATCCCCACTTGGGAGGACTCTTCCGGTCTCCGGTCATCAACTGCGGCCTCGGCTAAACAGGGCCCCCAGCTTTCACCCAGTCCGGCGACACGCAAAATAACATGTCGCTTGTAAAAGAATATCCCTTCTTGTTACTCTCATTTGCTTTCCAATCCAAAACTTTTAAGTATTTGCCCTCATAGACTTAGTTTTCATAAAATCAGGAAAGGGTCTCGAAAAACTTGTCGTATATTTTAAGAAAAATCCCTCGAGATTATTATTTTTTTAAAAACTTTGAATAAAAATAATAACTTACACCTCATTAAGTTAATATTTTGTTAGTAAATATGACATTACTTTATATTTTTTATAAAAAAAGGCATTAAAACCCAGTAAGATACCCATGGTGTTATTGTAATTACCAAAGTTATGGATTAGGTTCACACGTCCACCAAGAGACTTAGAGAGGACCAACCTCCCTCATCTAGAACGAGGGCCTACTCAATCAATATCAACGTACCCCACATAATGAGATTCCAAGGCTAGGCCTTGACCGGGCTTGCCACGTTGTGATGAGAGAGAGAGAGAGAGAGCACCTGACTCGGGTGGGTCAGCTCCTTCATCTCGCAGGATTTCTCGACAAGTGGAAGGAAACCCCTCGGCCCCCTTCGGGTATCAAGAAAGTGAAAAAGAGAGCCCATTCAGGCCGCCGAAGATGATGGATGGGAGCTCGAGCTACCTCCGGAACCCCGTGACGAAGCGCCCGATTCCAGAAAAGTCCGGAACTATCTTCACGCCATTGAAGCAGCCTCTGCATTTGGTGGTCACAAAGTCGGCAATGAACTCGGATTGATCGTCCCCATTCGTCTGCCAGAAGGAGAGGAGAGATAGTAAGAATCGACTCAATCAGGCTGGCCTGAAAAAGCCCGAAAGCCAACCAGGCCCTGTAAAAAGTACAGCTCATTCATCCAAAATCAATCAAACGCCAAGCTCTGGGAGGATTCCACCTCAAAGACGAAGAACCCGCCGGGCCTGAGAGCTGATGAGGACCCATTGCAGAGGTGGAGGAGGTGGTCGAGCCCGTCTTCCCCGCCGTCCAATGCGAGCCATGGCTCGTGCCCAGAGACCTCGGGCTGCAGCCCCGGGAGATGGCGGCTCGGAATGTAAGGAGGGTTGCTGACTAGCCCGGCGAGCTTCCCGTCAAGATCACCTAGAGGTTGAAACCAGGAGCCCTGCCTTATCTCAACCTTGTCCTAGACATGACAAATAAGGTGGCCAGAGCAGAACATTTTCAGACATGCTTCTTGTGGATGTGGGTAGAATAACAGAGAAAATTGACTGAAAAAGGCGAAATCTGTAAACTTTTTTGTTCAGATAATATATTTCATGCTCTCGCTTCTCTCGAGGAATTAGACCGTCCAATTCAAAGCCCCATTAGCAATGAGCAGAATAGGCCCTCCCTCATGCTTTTATACTCGAGCTCTAGTTTCCTCATCGGACAGGAGATTGTATCCTGATCCTTTACGAACATCAAACGAAGACATAACTGGGAAAGAAAAAGGGTACAACGGAACAAGACCCAAATTTGGCTGCAAATGGAAAGTTGCAATTTTTTTAGTTGGGTCCTCAAAAAATTGAAATAATACATACATTTTCTCGTGCCATGTCTCCCAAAGATTAGCCTAGTCCAGAGTTTCATTTCTGCCATTCTATGCACGAGAAGGAAACCAATAATATCTCGACCATGTGATTGTTGGGGCATCAGAGAAGCTGCGGTGAGAGAATCGGAGCTTAAACCCTAGAGAAAAAAAAAGAAAAAATCTTGCACTAAACTTGTAGGAAAACAAACTCAAATAATGCTTTAATCCGAGGAGTTTTAGAAATGTTTCAGAGAAACCCAGATCAGAAGGAGTCCAAATCTCCAGGAAACGGGAAATACTTTTTATATTCAGCCAAGACAATGATCAGACTCCGGAAAAATCTCCGAGTTTTTCGAGGCGAAGCTGATTAAATTCGGAAGAACTTTCAATGGGAAACTCCCCATTGAAAGTTTTCAACCTTGAAGATATTTTGGAAATCATTTCATAATTTTGATGCAGGGAAGATTCAGACACTTTGAAAATACCCTCCGTTTTTTTCTGTTGGCCTATACTCAACATACAGTGGAAGAATTGATCGAATCGAGAAGAGCACACAAAAAGAACGTTTGCGAGGAAAACTACCCTCTTTCAGTCTCCCAAAATCTGGGAAAACAGTTCGAACGAGTCAATGCTCCCATGATGTAGAGAAAATAATTCTAGAAAATAGTGAAATAATTCACATTTTGCATCGTCAGCCCATCGTGGAAGAGCCGGTTAAATTCAAATAAACGCATGCAAAACTGAATAATTATACCTGAAGGAAAAAGAAAACATTTACTAACCTCTAGTCCATATCTCTGCACATTGATCTTGGCCACTTCGATGGCATCTGAGCTCACATCCGTCGCATAAACCTTTCCCCCTTTTCCATCCCCCAAAACCCTGGCGATTCCCACCGCCAGAGCGCCGCTGCCCGTGCCCAGGTCCGCCCAGGGCCCCCCACCCTCCCCCTCCGCCGCCGCTGTCACCGCCACCTCCGCCACCATGTCCACCACAGCCTCCGTCTCCGGCCGGGGGATGAGCACCCCCTCCCTGACTACCAGCACCATATCCCTCCAGTGCTCGCAACCCACCAGGTACTGCAATGGCCGCCTCTCCTCCACCCTCTCCCTCCAGATTCCGTACAACTCTCCCAGCTCCGCTCTCAGGGGCACCGGGGATATGGCGGCAGCAGCCGACGAGGAGGAGGAGGAGAAGAGCTGGTGGGGATCGAACGACTCGGTGGAGGCATCCTGGAGGAGCCACCGGAGCTCGCGGAGGAGGTGGGCCGGTTCTGGGTCCGACGGGTGCGGAGGACGAGAGGCGGCTGCGGCGGCGGAGAGAACCAGGGAGGAGGCCCACGAGTGGAAGGCCTTGAGGTCATCGCGTGAGGCGGAGTGGGTCAGCGGGCGGAGGAAGAGAGGAGTCTCCCACCGCCGCCGCCGGCTGGAGAAGGTTTCCGGAGTAGGAGGAGGAGTAGCAGACGGTGAGACGGCGGCGGAGGAGAACCGGGAAAGTCGATGGCTTGGCGGCCGGCGGAGGAGGGAGGCGGCCGGCGGCGGTATCCTAGAGACCACCATTTCTCTCACCCAGCAGCCTCCGTGGAATTATTCTTTGGAGGGGGGGAAGGATCCATGGACCGGTCACAAGGCCGGTTCGGACGGGGTCGGACCGGACTGACCAGATACTTTATTTTTAAGTATTTTTCTAAATTTAGTTAATTTTATTTTGTCGTACTTTAATTAAAGACTGGGCGAGCAGTTTAATTGCATGTTTCTCATTATTTCAAAATAATGATAATAAATGAGTAATTAAAGTCTGTCAGAAGGATGAAAGGAACGGGCGGTTATTAAATGCTCTATTTATTACGCGCTGGGTTGCAGTGCCGAGTATTATTATTCGGGCCAGCCCGGCCCGGGCAATGGGCCCACAGGCTGGTAGAGCTTCTAAAATTTTTTGTCTAGGCTTTTTTTTCCATGGGCCCATCGGTTAGAGAGAGAGAGATGCAGCGGTGATTCAGTGACGAGACAACCAGAGATCGAATCTTCTCGTTAGAAATTGCGGAGAACTTTTGACAATTGGAGGTGAGCAATCCGGAGATGGAAAGAGAGAGAGAGTCAATTGGAGGAATGAGGATCGCAGAGAAAGGAAAGAGAGAGAGAAAGGGCAAAGCAAAGATCAGATCTTCACGTTGAAATCTGTCATCGGACTTGCGCAACAATCAAATATCAAATTCCCACCGCCGCTTCAGCTCATTCGTATTTCTTGGAGAGCTTCGCCTGCAGCATCTCCACCGTCCTCGCGTTGCCACCGCGGAGGCTCCTGTGCTCGTCCACCGACCCCTCCTGGGCGCTGCACATCTGGGACTTGATCTTCATCCCGAGCTTCCTCGGCACTACGCTGGCCCAACCCCCGCCGCCGCCGCCCCCGCTGCTCCGCCCCCGACCCAGTTTCTCGATCTCCTCCTTCATGGTGGAGCACTCCTTCTCCAGCTCCGACACCCGCATCCGCATGCTGTCCATGCCCACCTTCAGCACCTGGTTCTCCCTCGCCGCAGTCGCCCACCCCCCGCCGCCGCCGGTTCCCTCGGCGGCGCCGCCGCTCCTGAGCGCCCTCGACCCGTCGAGGTTCTCCGACACGAGGAAGCAGCTCGCAATGGAGCTCTTCAGCTGCAGCTGCTCGAAGAAGAGCACCTGCACCACCACCCGAAGCGGCAACCTCTCGTTCTGCGCCGCGTGCGTGCACGCCTCCAGCGACAGCTTCTGGCAGTCCATCACCCTGCACAGCTTCTCCCTCTCCCCCTCCCCCATCCAGGGGTGCGCCTGCAACACCACAATCAGTAACAGTGAAACACAGCCCATCTCCTCTCTCTGTAAATCTGTTTCTCTCTCTACCTTGAGGTAGATGTCGATGGCGCGGTAGAGGGCGTCGTCAAGGGGGCGTGCATAGTCGGGGACGTCGGCGGCCATGGCCTGGAACCTTGTGAGCTTCAGGTTGGGGTCCGGCGCCACCTCCGCGAGGTAAGCGTCGATGAGCCTTGCTACGGCGGTCAGCGGCGCCAGCGACGGCGACCCGGCAAGCAGCCCCAGCGGCTCCTCCGCCGCCGCTTGGTCCGCCGCCTGGTCAGCCGCCAGGAAGTGGCCGAGGATCCTCTGCACGCAGTCGACGTCATAGAGGGTCTCCATAGAGTGGGAGAAGGTGGGCAGCAGGAGGTCCTCCAGCGCCGCCTGGTCCAGCTGCCCGCCGATCCTCCTCTCCAGGCCGGCGACGCAGGCGGCACCGGCGCGGAGGATCATGGCCGCCCGCAGCATGCCGAACAGGAACCTGGTGGGCACCATCCCCCTCTGCCCCGGCAGCAGCGCCTCCATCTCCTCCAGCAGGTGCCGCTGCTGCTCCTCCGAAGTTGCAGGTGGAGTGGCGGTGCCCGCACCGCTGTGCCGGCGGGCGAGGCCGGGGAGGTGCTTCTGCGCGTAGAAGACAATGGCGCCGGCGAGGGCCTCGCGGCGGACGCCGCGGGAGTCCATGGCGGAGAGGAGGCGCTTGAAGAAGGGGAGGGAGAGGGCGGTAGCGTCCTCGTACCACCAGTCGGCAGAGGAGCCGGCGGCGCTGCGTGGGCGGGCGCCGGTGCTGATGCCGTTCCAGAGGACGCTGCCGCCGGGGCTCTGCATGGCGCCGCCGTGCTCCATCACCGGCCAGCCGAAAAGGCCCGGATCGGTAACGGCCTTCGCCGCCAGCGACTCCACGCACCGCCGCGAGATTCTGAGATCGTCGGCGAGCGGCAGCAGCCCCTCGCAGGCCCGCAGTGCCGCCACCGACTCCTTCCACCGCCGGAGGACCACCTGGTTGAGGAAGACCTCCGTCTGCGCCACCAGGTTCCCCTCCCCATACTCCTCCGTCATCTCCAGGTGCTCGGCGGCGCACCGCAGCCCCACCACGTTGGCCGCCGTCAGCTCCACCTTCACGCCGTAGCAGAACTTTGCCACCAGCTCGAAGGTCGCCGCGCCGCCGGGCACCGCCGCCAACCGCACGACGCAGCCGCCATCCCCTTCTTCTTCTTCTTCATCCTCCTCCTCCTCCTCCTCCTCCTCCTCCTCCGCCGCCGCCGCCGCCGCCGCCGCCGAGGCCCTCCTGATCAGCCTCTCGAGCAGGCCGCTCCTCGACAGCAGCGGGAACTGCTCAGAAGGTAGGACGCACCCACTTCAAGATCCGGATATCATCCACGATGAACAAAAAAAAACTCACGAGGAGAAACGAGGGTCGGGTTGACCTTGTGAAGATGGAAGGCCATGTCTTCCACCTCAACGGTCACATCGCTTGGAAGCCCCGTTGAACAGAACCTGTCACGGCCCAAGAACAGGAAGGCGTAAGCAGATGGGAATCGCCAAACTAAGCAGGGAGGCCAAATGATTTACTGCCGACTAGTCTGGAAGGCGGGTCGGATAATATTTTATCTTGACTAATTTTTCCGAGGAAAAAAATAAATGCGAAAATGTTAATAGAAAGCTGATAGAAACCGTTTAATCAAATCGAATAAATTTGGGGGAGTTAAAGGCGACTTAATTGGGCTAAACTTAGGGATCATTTTTTGCCAATTTCGGTAGAGATCATGGGGCACCATCGCCATTTAATTTTTTGAGAAATGTTTGAACATAAAAAAATAAAAAAATAAAAAGGGAAATTAAATTCGATGGAGGAGTCAAATAATTCGGAGAACGAACGGCAGCCGCAAGAAACGGAAAATAATATTCTGAGAAATTCTGGAGACTGAAAAAAGGGAAAATAATTAAGAGAGGTCTCCCCCGACCACAAAAAACTTATCAACAGTGTGCAGGGTCGGCCGGCCCGGATTCAGATCGGCATCGGTTGACCCGCTTGAAGGAGCCCAAAGTTTGACCGATCAGGGTCAACGAAACAGACCACCCCCCCCCCCTGAGCTGTATCCGGATTGGGATCGGGATCTGACCCACCAATCCGGTTGCAGCCATGACCTCCAAGGATCCGGATTTTTTGATAATATGAATAAATGAAAATATATAAATATGTAAATATAAGGAGAATAATTGCCAAGTTCGAATGCGTAGGGAGCGAAAACCAATTTGAGGGCTGGAGGGAAAATATTTATAATTTTAATTAAATGTCGGGAAAATTCGGGGAAAAAGTTTTCTTATGATGAGCAGTGTGATCTAATTCAGGTTAAGGGAGGAGACCAGGGCAGGAGAATCTGAGTTAAATAGCATACGGAGTGGGCCCACAGAAGTGTATGACTATTTATGGTAACTGTTCGATCTTCTGGGTCCAAAGATTTACAGATGTAAACAGAGAAGATGGAACACGAGAAAACCCAGGAAACCCACACAACTTGAAATGAAGCGAGGGAAAGAGGGAAAGGCTGAGGAGGGAGGGTGAGGGAGGGGAACACAACGGCAGACATAAGAAATGCATCAGATCTTGACCCAACCTTCATGAGAGAGAGAGAAAGGGGAGAGAGAGAGAGAATGTAGCATACCAGGCCTGCCCTTGACGTTTGAATGCATCAGATTTTGACCCCAGCTTCATACAAGCCATCTCCAGCAGTTTCCCTCTGATGCTACCGCCGATCAGAGCACGAGGGAGAGAGCAAGACAAACCCGAGAGGCCCCGGGTCGATCAGTAGAAGGGAGACACAGGGACCCAAAACGAGCCAAAAGTCAAACCCTGGTCGGGAATCAACTCCTCAGAACCCGAACAAGCAGAGAAAAATCCGCATTTGAGACAACCCAGAAGAGCTTCTCTAGCTGCTAAGCCCCCATCACAACGACAGAGGTTGATCTCTGCCCAGCTTCTCCCTGATGAGATGCGAAGAGAGAGAGAGACCCAGAATCAGACCGAGAATCACCTCCGCCCCCTTCTCTGCACCGGGGAGAGCTCCTCGGAAGAAAGATCTGAGAGAGAAAAACCCAGTCGTTGCAGGAGAACCTTCGCCCCCCTATTCCTGCACCGCCGCCACCGGGAAGAAACCCAAGTCTTTCTAGAGAGAGAGAGAGAGAGAGACCCCTCAGGTCGAAGAAACCCACCTCCGTCCGCGGAGAAAAGAACAAGGAGTCGGATAGAAGAGAATGGAAGTGAGAGAGAGAGAGAGAGAGAGAGAAAGAGTCCCTCCGCAAGGGCAGCTTCTATTCTGTCCTTTTCCTCCCCAGCCCCAACTGCCTCACAAAGTGAGCTTCTACTGTCCTAGTAGAGAGAGAAAGAGAGAGCGAACGAGCGAGATAGAGAGAGGAGCAGGCGAGCGGGGACCACGGCGTGCCCAAGCCCCACTGTCGGAAACCAGGACAGGAAAATCGCCACGCCCCCTCCCTCTCTCACCTTCAGCAGCCCAACAATTCCTGCTACCCAACAAACAAAAGCAAACTTGGAGACAAGGGCATCCTCCTCCCTCTCTCTCTCTCTCTCTCTCTCTCTCTCTCTCTCTCTCTCTCTCTCTATCAGATATTTTATCTGCTCGCTCTTACTGGCTCCACCGGCGGTTTCTCCCCTTCTATTTTTTAAATATATGTGCAATAATTTAATAGTTTCCCACACTTACGACACCACACATTTCCTCAACATATTTTAAGGAATTTATTTAAAATAACCTTAAAATAATTTATTCCTATACCAATCCAATAAAAATTACCGACATTTAATAGAAATAACTAGCAGCACTCCCATAATTTTCCACGGTACATAATTTAAGGAATGCCTTTCCATTTAAGAGTAAATTTACGTACATGTCCTCCCTATTTAATTAGTATCCCCAAGAGCATATTTTATTGACCCACATAAAGTCGCCATAGAGTCGACTTAATTAACGGGTTTATTTAATAATTGACATGCCAGCTGGGCGCGCTTTGGTTTCATAAACTACTCGGGGAGGACAACAGAGCGACGGCGGGGATGCCTCCACGTGATTGATCACTGCATTCTCGGGCATCGTGATAAGATCAATGCGCGAGGTAACGTACTGACTACGCGGTCCCGCGGATCACTGTAACACCAGATCCAGTCAAGACTTCGGGTTTCGGATACACATGCTCCATAACTTCGGGTTCACGCCGTCCGCGTCCCAACACGAGGCGAGATTCACGGAGCTTGCGCCAGCTGGCCAATCGGACGGCTGAAAAGAAAAGCTCGATTGTACCCCTTCGCCGACCGTGATAATGGGGATGATTACGGGGTATTTAGGGAATTACGTAGCGGAGGCTCCCCATCTTCACGGAGGAAGCGCCAGCTGGCGAGTCGTCCGGTGATGCTAAGTGAGCTCTACCCCCCCAACCTCCCCAGATGTTCGACGACATGGCTCTGAGATCTCCTCTCCCTCACGAACCGAAATGCCTCTCGGTTCATAAAGGCCCGCCCCAAGGCCCCTTTTATGGAACTCTCTGGGCCGGGTCGCTAATAACGGCCCTGTCATGCCAGTATTGTGGGCCCAATATAATGGGATTCCTGGGTCTTCTGCCGGCTAGTGGCGAATTTCAGGCCCCAGAGATATTTGGGCTCAAATCTAAATGGGCCACCTTGTTCTCACTATGCGTTATCGGCTCAATGGGCCCGGTGTGAGGAGATTTTTCTTGAGCCCACGGGGAACGTCAACGAGTCAGTTGGAAACGGGTTGATGTGAATCTCAGCCGTCCGATTCGTAATATCTTGTTGGTCTCATCGCCTTTTGCGGGACCCACATGAAGAACTGTGGGACCCACATATGGCTTCATTCTCCTCAGGGGAGAAGAGGCTCATCATTGATGATGCAACCTCGGAGCCATCAACAGCTATGTAGTGCAGTGCACTCTAAGGTACGCTCGTACATCGCTTTGTGCCACGTCGTTGATCTGATGACACCTGCACAGGGCTTAGGTCGTCTTTTTCCGGTCCGATCTATCTACTCTTGTCGCGGCCTGACAAATTCGGCTAAGATGCGCTGCCAGCTCTGACTTGGCGGCGGGTAGGGGGTGTAATGAGTTAAAAAAGATGGGTAATTTACTCCCTTTTTATATGTAGGTGAATGAGGTGGGCTGATGCCCCATTTGGTGAGACAAGCGTGCTAACGTGCTCCACAAGTGGGACAGTGAGCGAGAGAGAGAGAGAGCCTTTTCTATCTCTAAACCCCTGTTTCTCTCTCTAGTTGTACGTGTATATTGCTTCTCATTTCCCACAAATCTCTCTCTCTCTCTCTCTCTCTCTCTCTCTTTCTTGTCCTATTTTGGTATCCGTAGTCAGCACCCCCCCATCGATATTATTAGATGGTAATAAAATCGCATAAAATCTCAACATAATTAATACCAAGTTTTAAAAATTGTAAATATACTCGCACATTTATTTCATATAAAATGTTAATATGACCGGTTATTATGACTCATCAGTACTTTCTTCTTCATTATGGTTTTCAAAACATTTATAAAATAATTGTGCATTTTTATCGTGAAATTCGAAAATTGGGGGGGGGGGGTTATTATTTCGTATATGTCATAAAAATAAGAAAACAGAGGATCCGAAATGGATCCGATGAAATTATTCTGGCGGTCTGATTGGCGGGTCTGCCTCGGAGGAATCGTATAGCAGACAAGAAAGCCCACATGCACCACCTTTCCTCTCCGTTTTCCATCCCCTGTTCGTAGACGTACAGAACAGAGAGAGAGACAGAGAGAAAGAGAGAGAGATTGACGAAGCCCTGAAGGGAGTTTCCATTCCTAGTGTGTTTACCTTTCGCTCCGGAGATTTTCCCCGGCAACTTAGCCCTCAGATCGACGAAGCCGAAGAGAGAAAAAGTAGGTCTTCAAAGAGAGAGAGAAAGAGATAGATATATATATATATAGAGAGAGAAGAACCCGAGAAGATGGGGTGAGTTGTTACAAGGGAGCATTCTTCTTTATGCCTTCTGTATCAGGTCTAATGAAGCAGTGAGGAGAAAACTAGGTCTTCTCCTCCCCGGCAGAGCCACCGGCTGAGTCCTCAACCAGTATAAGGCAGTTGGTGGGTCTTCTTCTTCTCCGGCGCCGGCGCCGGCGGGAGGAATGGGTTGCGTCTATTCAAGGGTGGAGAGGGAGGAGGCCGTGCGGCGGTGCAGGGAGAGGCGGCGGCTGATGAAGCATCTGGTGGGTTGCCGGGCCAGATTTGCCGCCGCCCACCTGGCCTACCTCCAGTCACTGCGCAATACCGGCGCCACCCTCCGCCAGTTTGCAGAGGCCGACTCTTCCATCGCTCCCGGAGACGCCGCCTCCGTCACCACCACGGGGGGCCGCCGTATCCGTCCGCCCCCCTCTCCTCCTCCTCTGCCTCCCTCTCCCCCTCCTCTTCCACCCTTCAGCCCCGAGGAAGAAGCCAGAGGATTCCCATTCCCTCCCCGTGGACGGCGAATCTGCAGAGAGCAGGAGGAGACGACCGTCGGGGACGAGAGCGACGGCGACGAGACCCGACTGCCGCCGCCGCCGCCGCCGGAGCACGGTTCAGCCTGGGGCCTGTGGGACCCCTTCGACTCCTCGCCGCCCGAACTGGCGTCTCCGGTCACCCATAAGAACGCCGGCGCCGCCTATGCCGCCGGTGCTGCGCCTCCGGCGACGGAGGAGGAAGACTGGGAGGAGACGAAGACAGAGTTTGACGACGAAGAGGACTTCGGGGAAGAAAACCCTACCGCCGCCGCGGCCTCCATTGGCGCAGAGGCGGTCGGCCTCAGCATGGTGACCAAGGGGAAGCTGCTGCCGGGGAGAGGGGACGTGGTGGGGGACGACAACTCGTCGGCGGTTAGCAGCTTGTTCACCAAGGAGACGGATTCGTCGATGGTGCTGTGGCGGAGCAGGAGGTCCTTGGCGGGGATCGCCAGGGACCTGGATGACTACTTCTTGAAGGCGTCCGCAGGGGGGACGAAGGTGGCGGCGCTTCTGGAATCCCACCGGGGCTGCTCTCTCCACCAGCTCTTCGAAGAAACTGAGGGTAACTAACAGTCTCTACTCCTGTCATCCTCTTCAAGATCTTGAGGGAGCTGTTTAACCTAGCGGATGGTTGATCCTATGAGCTACTAAATTGCTCGCTTAGTTTAAAAAAAAAAAAGAAAAAGAAGAAGAGAGAGGGTTTTTTTATTATGATTTTTCCATGCTGTGGCTAGAAATTGAGCTCAATTCTTCAGGTTCTCAGTAGCTTAGGGTTTTTGTTAGCGATCTAATAAATTAAAAAAAAACCTACAATTTGGAGATTTTGTTGGGAATTTCTAGATCTCAATGGGTATGTATAGTTCAGTTGAGTTTTTTTTTTTTTTGCTAAAATTGTAGATTTTATTAGTATACCGTGTGCTTCACAGGATTGTTCTGGTATCTCTCTACGTGGATCATGGTCCTTTGTTAGTGATCCAACGAGCATTTTTTCCCTTTGTAGGAAATGGATAATTTCTTAAGATTTCACTCACCCTAGCTAGAATGGCATCTTGATCCTGTAAATCCCCTCCAGATAGGGTTCTTGGGGCTCATTCAATGTGCAATTTTGTTGAATCAGAAATCGGGTTCTAAATAAGTATTGTCCATGCCCAGATTAGCATTTTCGCAAAAAAATCTTGTTGCATCTTGCAGAAAAGAACTTGGAAAATCTCAAACTCAGTTGACTGGGGTTCTTCGTAGTGTGCTGATGAAGAATCTTTCCTTGCTAAACTTGAAGAGTAAAAGATTTGTCATGTGGTGGCGGCATGCTTAATTTATGAGTTCCTTGCAGGAAGGAACTTCAAGTCTGCGAAGGTATTCAGCACGCTGTCGTGGAGATGGTCTTTAAGGTCACTGCCGTCTGGTGGCCCAGACTGCCCACCAGGTGCCGCCATTAATGCCCGGCAGCCAGGGCGCCATTCCACTACCCTTGACAGGTTGTTTGCCGAGGAGCAGAAGCTCTACAAGGAAGTCAAGGTTTGGACCTTGCCCATCCCATGCACAGCTTTTGGCTGAAACAACTACTTTTGTCAAATCTAGTGTGCTCATTCGAACATTTCTTCGACAGGATGGGGGAATTTCTTCAGTCTTCTGGGCGATTCTTCATTTTCTCGTCAAGATTTCGAGTTTTTGCATAAATTCGTCATTTTATGTTGATTGCTTTCTAGACTGTAGCAATTTCGTCTGTTAAAAATAGCAAGTTGTCAAAGATTTCTGGAAGAACATGTCCAATGAGCTTCCCCCATTTCCCTGAAATAAAGACCCAAGATGATGGGATAATTTTTGCCGATGAAAATCACTGCTGAGATAATCAGAAGACCGGCTACGGAATTAAATAGTCAGTTAATTGCGAGGATTAACTCACAGAGAATTTCCTTGTTCTTCAAGCCCGGTTTGCTCTGGGCCCTGAGAAATTTCCACTTTTGGTCGGTCACCTTCCATGGCCTCTGTGCAGGAGGAAGAGACGAGGAAGTTGGAATTTGGAAAGAAGGTGGCCTTGTTGCGTAAGCAGGAAGCCAGGGGACAAGACTGGACGATCACGGCAAGGACCCGCTTGAGTATGGAGGAACTGCAGACAGAGATTGTGTCCCTCCAGGAGTCCATAGGCAGGACCTGCTCATCCATCTCGAAGCTGAGGGATGAAGAGCTCCACCCTCAGCTGGTTGAGCTCTGCTCTGGGTAATTTCTGAGAATGCTTGTGCTGTTTTTGTGCTCCCTAAAACATAGTTTAGAACTTATTTATTATGTTGGATGAGCTGTGCCCGGGGTAATTTCAGAGAATGGTTGGTATTTTTATGCTCTGTAAAGGATAATTTTCAGTTGATTTATTATATCGGATCAGCTCTTCTCTGGGAAATTTCAGAGAACAATTGCTATTTTCATGCTGTCTTCTGAGATGCATTGTCGAATTTTTTTTTGTTATACCGGATGAGCTTGAAACCTCGGCCATCCAAGGTCAACAAATCCTGAATCACCCGGTGTAAAATTTATCTCGAGGCGAAGTGGGTCAACTCATGTAGAACACAGACACTTTTTTCCTTTATTTATTTTCTAATTTTTGCTAAAAAATCATTCTTTCTGAATCACTTTTCAGGTTCATGGAGATGTGGCGGACCATGTACCAGTGCCACCAGGTCCAGAACCACATTGCCCAACAGATGAACCATCTCCATGGGCTCTCAGCTGCCGAGCCGACAACTGAGTCACACATCCAGGCCGCCTCCCAGCTTGAGACTGAGGTCGATACCTGGCACAGCTCCCTCCATGGCCTCCTCCGGGCGCAGCGGGAGTACGCCCACACCCTCAACCAGTGGGTGGGGCTCACCGACTGCCTCCCGGCAGCTTCCAATGGGTCGGTCGGCCCTTCCAGAATCTTCCGGCTCTGCGAGGAGTGGCAACTGGCCCTCGATCGGCTACCTGAGAAGGTACCCACTCCTCTTGCTGATCCCATACTACTTGCGGGTTTCAGATTCCTGGCCTGAATTCGGGGCCTAGTGAGAGAAAGGCCCTCCCTTTGCACCTGAAAACAGGCTCAAATGACCTCCTGGCTACTGGGTTCCTCTATATTTTCTCTCAAGTGTTGTGTTGTGTCGTCTGACCTTCATTATTGATTGCCAGCAGGTGCCTGCCGAGGCAATCAAGAGCTTTATCTCGATCGTGCAATCGATCAGTTCGCAGCTGGCCGAGGAGCACCGCCACCAGAAGAGGTCGAGCCGGCTCGAGAAGAGGTTGATGAGGGAGCTGGATTCCCTGGATGATGATGGTGATGCTGGTGGTGGCGTGGTCTTGAGGATGGCGACAGCGGCCGCAGTCAACCCCCCGCCGGAATCGGCGAGGCGGGCAAAGATGGCTGCCAGGAGGCGGCGGGCCGAGGAGGAGAAGACCAAGTATCTGAGCTCTGTCAGCCAGAGCCGGGCCATGATGATCAACAACCTCCAGACCAGCCTCCCAAACGTGTTCCAGGCCCTGATGGGCTTCGCCAGCGTCTGCGTCCCAGCATTCGAGGGGATCTGTCGGTCGCCTGAAGCAGTGGCGGCAGCGGCAGCGGGTGGACGGGCCAGTGGTGGCAGCTCACCGGCAAGATGAGCCTGCTGCTGTGAGTTGTCCGCTCCACTGGCGGCCGATGAAACTCCGGGGGGGCTGTCTGAAGGGTTTGACTTCGTGAGGACTAAAGGGCAAACGGCAGGCCTGGAGAAGGATATTGAAGGATATTGAGGCTAAGAATGGCTTCCTTCCTAAATGTACAGGAGGAAAATATATATTATGACTGAGGAGAAACTTTTGTGGAGAATCTATCTTCTTCTGCCCTCGTCCAAATCCCTGAGGTTATCAACGAGCTGGGAGAAGGGGGGGAGGAGTTGTGGGGAGAGAGAGAGAGAGAGAGAGACAGAGAGAGATAAATGATACACAATGTGAAAAAAATTGCGAAGTCAAACCCGTTTGACTTATAGTCCTCAAGAGCTGAGTTGATAGGTTTTATGACTGGTCATCACAAAATGGTAGAAATCTAGGCTTCTGTAAAAATCTGGATAACGTGAATGCGCAAGGCCTGCCAATGCCCAAGCCCAGCCAGTCTTTTGGAGGGCTGAGACCAGAGAAGGGCCCCATGAGCCCAGACACCCGTGAGACCAGAGTCCATGTCAGCAGTGAGAGGAGCCAGGAGGACCAACGTGGCGCCTCCGTGGCTGGAACCTTTCAAAACTCATTCCCTGGTGGCAAATAAAGGCGGCGACCTTTATATGGCAACTCAGATGTCTGTCAACATCTGCGAATCATCATCATCATCATCATCCCCACCATGAAGTACAGGTCAGTTACCTAATTGAGCTTATTAATCGGAGTCCGGCAGGGCTTCACAGCTCCCGTTTCAGGGGTCTCTCTCTCTCTCTCTCTCTATCTAGGGCTCTGGCTCGCCCCAGTCGATGGACCTGTCCTCGAAGTCAAGGTGATGGAAGCGGCTGCGAGAAAGTCGACTCATCACAGCGAGACCTGCACACAAGCAGCAAAGTAATCCTTCTCAGTGAGCTGATTGATGAAAGAGAGAGAGAGAGAGAGAGAGAGTGCAGAAATTATGGGCTGCCGCATCATCAATGCCACATCGGCAGTATGCCAAGGGGCACCCCCCCAAATCAGCGGGGAGGCTCATCTTTTGACGATGTGGCATAATTGCTGCCGTCACAACTGCGCATCATCTTTTGATGATGGGTCGCCACATGGCAGCTTGCTGACATGGCATTCGTTGGGTGATCACCTTCGATCATCTTGTAGAGTGCTGACCACCACCTGTCCCGTGGGACCTGGTGCCTGTCCAGGGTGTCATGGATGACCTGGTTGTGCTTCCCTTCCAGGACGGTCTGCAGGGTCACGACGGCATCTCTGGTCCTCCTCAGGATGCTGTCCTCGTCAGCCGTCTCCAGCTGCTGGAGATCGCTCTGCGAGGAGGAGAGGCTGAGGCCAACTGCAAATTGGGCGGCAGCCGCCCACTGGGAAGACGCCCGCTGACGCCGCCTCTCGCTGTCCCGCCGCCTCACCGCCGCCTTGCTGGCCCTGGCCTCCTCGTCTTCAAGGACCAAGCTCTGCCAGACAAAATAGATCGTCCGTTTTAGTACACGATCTGAGAGCCAATTATCCATGATTTGGCACTGATGGCTGTGGCATTTTGTGACGGGATTTGAGATCATATATGATGGAGTGTGGTACCCTCAGGTACTGGGCGTTGGCGGGTCCGGTGCTCTGGACCATCTTCGAGAAGGCGCTCTCCTCGTTGGACAGGAGATCCTCCGGCGAGTCGAACTCCAGCACCTGGAGCAAGATTTTGCGCAAGAAAATGAGTGAGGATCATCGGGGACCAATTGTTCATTTAAAACAATCAAGATACTGAGCGAAAGAAGGATGCGGACTAGAATAAAAATGATGAGAAGACCCCACCCGGCCGGCACTGAGGACGAGGATGCGGTCGCAGTCGATGATTGTGTTCAGGCGGTGGGCGATGACAAGCATTGTGCAGGACTTGAACTCCTCTCTGATGGTCTTCTGGATGAGGGCGTCAGTGCCGACATCAACTGCGGCAGTGGCCTCGTCCAGCACGAGGATCTTCGACCTCCTCAGCAGAGCCCGCGCAAGGCTCAGCAGCTGCCTCTGCCCAACACTGAAATTCTCCCCTCCCTCAGAAACCTGGAGGCACAGGGGAAGAGCAGGAATCCCATCAGAAAGAACAGACATCTCGGAATAATCGCCAAGATAACATATATATATATATATATATTTGGAGTGAAAGAAAAATAAATAAATCAACAGGCAACTGTGGTATGAAACGAAGGAACCCAGAAAAGTGAGCGAGTGTCAGAGTGCCTGAGAAGATATCACAAGGTTATTTTTACGCTTCATGCGGATGATTGCATCAGAGCAAAACAAGAGTGTGGTGGCATTCACCTCGGCATCGAGACCAAGAGGGTTCCTCCTGACGGCATCTTTCAGATGGGCTCTCTCCAGCGCCTCCCAGAGATTTGCATCGTTGTGCTCGCTGAAGGGGTCCAGATTGAATCGAACCGTTCCTGGATACGCAGAAAAAAGCAAGCAAGGACCTCTAATCATCCCGGGCAGGAGGAGTTACCCACTTCTAAAAAACACGAGGAGAAGGAACCACAATCACATCGGTGCCGATGGAGTCCGGAATTGACCAGGAGAATGAGATGAGATGAGACGAACGCACCAGAGAAGAGAACCGGCGACTGCGGGATGATCCCGAGGACCTTGCGGAGGTCAGTGAGGCCCAACCTCGAGACGTCGCACTCGTCGATGAAGATCCTCCCCCTTTCCGCCTCCACGATCCGGAACAGCGCATTCAGCATGCTAGACTTGCCGGCACCGGTCCTGCCAACGATCCCGATCTTCTCGCTGGCGGCTATTTCGAAGGATATTCCATGGAGGACGGGGGGGAGCTCGGGCCTGTATCGCAGCACCACGTCCTGGAATTTGATCACCCCCGCAGCTGGCCAGCCAGGCGGAGGCCTGTTGCTCTCCACTACGAGGGGGGCCTCCGATGGCAGCTCTATGTACGTGCCGACCCGCTCGACGGCGTTGAGGCTGTTCTCTGCAAGGCTCGCTAGCCGGAGGACCGCTGTCAGGAGGTTCGTGATGTTCAGGGTGTAGGTCAGCAGCAGGCCCATGGTCGATGCAAACGCCTTCTGGTCCTCTGATCGCTGGTTCTTCATGACTGCAAATGACGCTGTGACCCAGATCATGAGCCCCCCCAGCGTCTCCAGCCGGATGCCTAGCCAGCGGTTGGCGCCCATGTTGAGCAGCGTGTATCTGACGTTGTTGTCCATGGACTTGCCATTAATGGCGGCCATCCTGTCGTAGGCCTTGTATGCCCGGATCGTGGAGAGTCCATTCAATGCCTCTCCGAACTGAGCGTACACAGGGGACCTCGTGATGGAATCCAGGCGCTTGACTTCGCGTGAAGTGCTCTGCGGGGAGGAAATCAATGAAGCAAGCGCTTGTGAGAATGTGCTCATTCATGGCCAACCAAAGTGAGAGAACCATTTTCTACCGCAAGAATACGACTTCTCTGAGAAAATTAATGTCGTAGGTCAGCGATTGTCTAAGCACAAAGCCCACAGAGAAAGAGGAACAAAATCAAATCAGGCAGTCGTACGAAAAATGAGTAGCTTTTGAGAGAGGACAACAGAAGAAAATGGTGGAATCCCAGCAATAGAGACAGCAGAAGCTCACAGAAAAAAGTCAATCAGAAACTTTTCTCAGACTTTTTACAGGAAAGAGAAATCCCAGCAAGCTACATCTCAGAAGGGAGTCCTATCTGAATTTCCATGGACCACATCAGTGCCAACTCGATTCAGATCGAGCTGCCTTGAAGATGTGCCAACATCAGTAAAGAATTTCTTGGTGAGATACCAAGATCCTGTCTCCTTGTAACAAATTACTCCCCAAGGATGGAAATTCTTTGCAAACCAGTGGAATGATGCCTTGCCTATTTACTGTCTATGTGAACATTGCAACAGACCCATTCAAGAGCTCAAGGCTTTTTTTATAAAAAAACAACAAAAATCCATCTGTCAACAACAATAAAAACTACTCTATCAACCCTTATCCCTTGGAATGGAGAAGGGACAACTCACCTGGTAGTACAAGTAGGCCGCATAAAACAGGATAATGAGGGGCATGATAGCCCAGAGAGAGACCGTGCTCACGATGCCTATAAGAACAAACGTGGAAAAGAGCTGCGACACTTGCCCGAGGAACATATTTACGAAGACCGCCACATTGCGATCGATGTCGCTGAGGTCCTTGGCAAACCGATTGATCACCCGCCCGAGTGGATTAGTGTGGAAGAACAGCATCGGGGCCCTCAACACGGAGTTAAGCATAGCATCGTGCAACTTCCTGGCCGCATAGAGGCTCGAGGTAATTAGCCAGAAGGAATTTCCCAATGTTACTATCACCTGCACGCATAATTACAGTGGTTGAGACATACAATTGGGGATTCTCTGAAACAGTGGGATGATAAAGTTCAAAGCTATTGAATGAAGCCTACCTGACCCAGACAGATCAGAGCGTAGACCAGATTGTAGAAGCCCGGGCCGTGTGTTTTCGGAGCGCCCTGATCTGTCCAGATGCTCAACCATGTACTACTTGAGATCCGAAGAACTTCAGTCAAGAAATAGCAGCTGAAGAGTATCACCACCACCCACAGACCTCCTAATGCGCTTTTGTACCTGGAGTGCAGTTGAAGGAAAAATAAAATAAAATGATGCATAGACATGCACAACAAGTAAGATGCCCGTTTGGAACACGAGATAGATCATCCGATGATCAGAGTATACAATGAATTTCATTACCAGTTTATGTAAACCCAGCCCTCGTACCATTCTCCATATATTTTAAAAAAATGCAAATAAATGGCCTTTTTTTATCAGAGAAATGCACAGATTTTGCAAGAACAATATAAAAATTTGGTTTACAAGACTCAAGATGACCATAAAATTCAATTGTTTATTCGAGTCAGTACTGGATCATGGAACCCCGAAACTAACATGACTGCGTGTCATGGATGCAATCTTATTTATATAAATGAATGGATCACGGGATAAATGAGTTAATGTGGAGCCACATGGAACCCCTTCACAAATAAGTTTTTAATGATGAAAGAAAAAAATAAATCTCAAACGAAAGCCAATGATACTAAAATGAGCAATAGAGGAGAAAACCGGAAGTGTTTCCCAAGTTACTCCTTAGAGCATGCTATAGACATTTATGGGCACACGGGCATATTGAAGTGACGATACTTACAAACCATGCACACAAACCTCCATCTCATGTAAACAATACATGACTATTTACAAAAAGTAACACTTAAAATCTGGGAAATCGGCAAGAGTGGTAGCTAAAATGAGGCAAATTACCAAGGGGTGAATGAAAACTTACCTCGAGAGAACCTTTGCACTGACGACGCCGGTTTCACGCTCCTCCTGTTTGATGAGCACAGATTTTCCCTCTTTTGTCTTCTTTGAATCACTCTTGGCCACCGGAGCATCCTCCTTTTTCACACTTTCCCCATTTATTGAAGGTTTCCCTGTATCTTCCTCGTTGTCGTCACCATCCACTTTTTCTTCTAGTTGTTCCTCCATTTTCCCAGCATTTTCCATTAATTTTTTGAATAGTACTCCATTAGAACTTAATTCTTCAAAGGTCCCTTCTTCTTTTACTGCACCATCATGGACTAAGATGATTCGATCTACATATGGGAGAAAATGCAGCTGGTTGGTGACAAGCACTCGGGTTTTCTGTCTCAATTCATCCTTGATACATTTGTCAAAAACCTGGAAGAAGAGACAGTACCTCAGACTATGGGAGATTGCAAGATACAGAAAATAAGTTTCCACATCAATAATCAGACACACCAGTCTTAAGTAGCTCAAAGAATTTCATGCAGTAGTAATTTTTCGTGCAGGTAGTATTTTCATTTTATCTGATCACACAGGATGCTAACGATATGGAAATTACTTTAACAGGAAGGTGAAAAAAATCACAAAGACAGACGTAGGAAATTTGTTGAAGGCTTTGCATGCACCCGGTCAGATGAGAATGAGATGCCCATCATGGAAGGGAGAAAATACAGCCGTTCTATGATGATATGCCTTTTGACTTCTCTTCCATCGATAAAACGACAATTAATTTTCATGGGTATTGTGTTCTTCTCCACTATATAAGATCTTCCAGCAGATTTTTACGCCCTGAATTGGCTTCCCAGTAATGTAACAATGGAAGAACGACAAGTCTGGTTCAAAAATAACAACTAACTTTTTTTCCTGGTTCACTTCTCTTCTGCAGGCATCGATCAACATCACAGCTGAAAAATGGAAATGATAGGCGCAGAAACAGGCCTAGAGATGTCTTCCGCATTGCATATATGGGAATAGTGAACAGACAATAGGACAAAGGGGAAGATGAAATAATGTAGTAATGCAGATTTAGTGAAATTGAAGAATAAGATCAAATATAAATACATTTTTTCTTGCCATCTAAAGTTTAAATGACGCACCCCATATAGATTCCGATGCCACATCTTTATCAAAATAATAAATTAACAAAGAATCATAGGTAAAGGTCGAATCTAATAAGGAGGAGGATGCATGAAGTTTGTGGCCTTACCAATCGACCCACGTGGGTATCTAATGCACTTAGAGGATCATCAAATATATATACATCTGAATCGGAATACACAGCTCGAGCCATGGAAACTCTTTGCTTCTGTCCACCACTGATATTTACTCCTCTCTCTCCAATCTCTGTAAGATCGCCGCCCTGAACCAATGAGACAGGCCCTTAAATACTATTATATACTTAAACGTGGGCACATTTAGTATTCAGAATAGTAAAGAGTTTCAAACCCGTACAGACTTTCGTAACTAAAAACATCTAAACTTACTGGCAATAACTCAAGATCATGCTCCAGTCCTGTCACTTCTATGGCCTTCCCATAGCGTGACTGATAAAAATCAGATCCAAACAATATGTTGTCACGCACCTATATGATAGACATTATATAAAATTCAAGATGTGTTAGCAACATAAAAGTTAAATTAGCATAGTTTGTCAGAGAAACTTGTACAATGTACGAGAGAGAAATGGAAAAAGCAGAAACAGTCTAACATACCGTGGCATTAAAAATCCAAGACACTTGTGGGACATAGGCAACAGTGCCTCGGATAACCACGCTTGTATTGGTATCTGGCAATGGCAAAAGTTCTCCAAGCATTGCTGATATCAATGATGTCTTTCCTTCTCCAGTGCTGCCTACAACTGCCACCAGGCTACCAACAGGTATATCTAAATTTATGTTTGACAGCGTGGGCGTCTCTTCCTGTGTTACATAGAAGTGTTTTGTTGGGGATACAATTATGGAAGTTTCCGAAAAGAAATACAAGAACATTATACCTGGTTTCCAAGAAAATAATTAAGAGAAAGTGCACACAAAGAATGATTGGCAAATAAATCCTAGATAAATTAGCCAATTCTTACAAGCACACAAATTTCATGCTAGAACAATCAGAAGATTAACTGATGCAGCCTTGTAATGAGCAAGAGAGAGGAAGCACACAAAAATTGTTCAATTTCATTCGAAGTGCCAAAAGGTAAGCGATAAAGAGAGGAAAACAGCCCGTATTTATTTAGAAAATTAAGGCAGAGAAACAATATCAACACGTGCTCTCAGCATCATGGAGTTCTACAACTATTAGTGATCAAGCAATCAAATTCTCCATTGTAGTTTGATTGAGAAAAATGAAACAGATGAGATGCCTGCTAAAAACGATTACACTACAAGGAATGCTTTTCTTAATGAACAATTGCTCAGATTGGTCAAATGGAAAACATTAATTCATTCTGAAGACTGATGCGCTCTTTGAATGGGGCAATAAACATGTTCCTAAATACAATTATCTAGTAAACTCGTATCATTTGATGTCCTAAGCACATTAAACACCTGAAAAATATAATAAAAATAAAAAGATCTTGATATGTTAACCTTCGAGTCCCAAGAAAAGTATCCATCCTTGATCGAGATTGCTGGAAGTCTTGGATCAAGAGGCGGATTGGGTAAGAGTGCTCTCTCTTCAGCAAGAAGTAGATCTTCCAATCTCTTCAAAGACACATTTGCATTTACAACCTGGCAAAAGAAAAAAAGAACATAACTTGAGGAACAAACGCATTAATGTAATTTTTTAAAACTAAAAAATGGCTACAAATCTTCAGAGAAGAAGACTAGATTATTTAAAACAAATAGCTAGTTAAACAATCATTAAAAACTTAAACTGTGTTTTTACACGTTATTTGTAAGATTATAAAATTCAAAGCTGATTTCAGGACTGTTATAATAGTATCTGAATGTGATGTAGATATTTAAGCAGTATATGTCATTTGACACAAAACTAAATACACTTTATTGTTAATGGCATTTCAGGCCACAGTTAAGAGAACTTGTTCACTGTTAAAATTGAGCATAAAAACATAACAGTCATTCTATTTTATTAAAATGTGACTGGACCTCGAAAATTGCGTTTTAAAATAGTATAAATACCAGAGAACTATCAGCACATAATCAAACTTTGGGAGAGGCTCTGCCAATTAAGTTGCGTTTCTGGTGTAGAACTCCGAAATCGCCCTATTCAGTATTCTATAGATACGTGGAAAGTTAAAAAAAAACTAAGTTGTTTCATATGGAGTTACAAGCCGTTCTACTTGGCTGAGACTCATTCAAGTCTCTACAGTTGAAGCCCTCTAAACTGATTGATTCCTGAGAAAAACTTTACATTTGGAACCATATTGAAGGTAAGGAAATCTGGGCATTGGAGAATGGAAACTGAGTTCCCAGGACCAGGGGTCATCTGCTCACAACAAAACGAAGATGTCAGAAAGTTAGCACATGAACAATGCTAGTTGCAAGAACTTGGTGACAGGTCCAGCACGGCCCAACGATTTCTCCGCAGATATCTGACGAAACAAAAAACCCTAGACAGATATATGGTCGAAGAAAATGACTTCTCACCCATTTTTAAGTCTGGCTCCGGCCTGGTTATATACAAACACCAGGCCCACAAGACAATTAGGAACTGATCCAACAATGAATTGGGCCTAACCAGTTAGGAACCGCTCCAGCAATAAAACCTAAACCCAACCAATGTCTTTTCCCACACTCTCCCTCAAGCTGGTGAATAGATATTCTCTATTCCCCACTTGGATACAGGACTCTGAAACGCTGGACTAAAACCCTTAGTAAGTACATCCAAAAGTTGGTCACGTGTAGACACAAAAGGTGTGTTAATCAATCCGCCCTCAAACGTTTCTTTGATAACTTGTCCATCAATCTCAATGTCTTGTTCAATCATGTAGTAGTGTGTTGTGAACTATGTTGATTGCAGACTTGTTGTCATAATAGTCTTATTAGGTCGTCTGACTAATCTTCAATTCTTTTAAGATGATCTTCAACCAAAATAGTTCACATGAACCTTGAGCAATTGCCTAAAATTCATCCTCAGCACTCAACCATGCCACCACATTTTGTTTCTTGTTTCTCCACACCATGTGATTGCCACTAAAAAAGTGTAATATCCAGAGGTTAATCTCGTGTCAACCACTGATTATTCATAATCAGAATCTATGTGCGTCTCAAGTACTAATCCTCCATTTTTCCTAAATAGAATATCTTTTCCTGCTGTCACTTGGAGATACTGTAACACTCGGTGAGCTGCTTGCAGGTGGACTTCCTTGGATATACTGTAACACTCGGCGAGCTCCTTGCAGGTGGACTTCCTTGGAGATACTGTAACACTGGCTAATCATACTCACTGCATACACAATATCTGGCTGTGTATCAGACATAAATAAGCCTTTCTACCAGGCGCTGATACATTCTCTATCTGGCTCATCCTCTTCTGCCATGCCAAGTTTAAGATTTGGATCAATTGAAGTACTTGTTGGTTTGCATGCGATCTTGCTTCTCTAAGAAGATCAGTAATGTACTTCTATTGAGAGATAAAGATGTCTTATCTTAAGTGAGCTACTTCAATCCCAATAAAATATGCCAGCTACCCAAATGGTTTGATCTCAAACTCAGCCAAACATTAACTCATATATTCTCTACCATTTTCGTCATTCTCAGTCACAATTATTTCATTAATATATACCAACAATGTTGTGACTCACCAAGAGGATGAGTGTTTAATAAACAATGTGAGATCCTCTTGACTTTCTTTATACCCTATGGCTCTTATAAATCTAACAAATCATACCCAATGTAAGTGCTTAAATTCATACAAGGCTTTTTTAATTTCACACCATACAAGCAGGCAAATTATTTCCATAACTTAGTGGGCCGTCCATAAATATTATTTTCTCTAATTCAGCATGCAAAAATTCATTTTTAACATCACACTGCTGCAGCTCTTAGTTATAATTAACTGCTAATGATAACAAGATTATGACAATATTCATCTTCACAACCAGAGCAAAAGTCTCTAGGCAATCAATATCATATGTTTGAGTGTAACCCTTGGCTACCAATCTGGCTTTGCATCTCTCTATAGATTTATCTGCTCGACACCCCAGAGGTCACTCTTTACTGCAGCTAGCCTTACTAACTCCCAAGTTTTGTTATTCTCTAATGCCTCAATCTCCTCATTCAAAACTTGTTCTATTTCTTATTAGACAAAACCTCAGATAAGGTGGTAGGGATGACAATAGTGTTTAAACTAACAATGAAGATTCTATGAGATGGTGGAGAGCGTTTATAGGACAAAAAGTGTGCAAGAGAATATAAAGGTCGTCCTGTGGATTCGTTAGTCCCTTTCCTGAGGGCAATAGGAAGATCCTCACATTTTCAAGGGATCACCTTTTACCAAATCTCACATTTTTCAAGAACAGAGTTTGAATTTTCTTCAGGTTTTCTAGAACGTCAAAGTAATGATTTGGCATGAGCTCAAATGCAGGTTCATGGACATGGATACAAGCTTAGACCAAGGAACATGAGAAGACACAAAGTGACGACAGATCCAAAAAGAAATTCCCATCCTTATATTCATTGATTGAATACTCCCCTTGAAGATAGTGTGTTGAAGTAAGACTCTTGTCCATTGAAAGAGACATCCATTTAGACAGAATCTTTTTTTTGATGGAGAGCAATATACTATATGGGATAGAGAATAGCACATAAAAAGGCATTTTAACGGCCCTGAGGTCTAATTTCTCTCTATGTTGACTATAAATATGAATAAATGATACACAGCCAAGTATCCTAGGGACAAGATTATTTGTAATTTGTAGGTTTGGATAGAATAATAATAATCTCTTCATTTGACTCTTGAATCCTAAGACTCTAGAAGGCAAATGATTAACGAGGGCTATAAGAACTACTCCCCAACAAGATTTAGGTGCATTATTTTGGAAAAGAAGAGTATAGGAAACCTCAAGAAGATGATCATTTTTCTTTTTGCTACTCTAGTTTTCTTGGTGTATTGACACATAATGACCCATGAACTATCCATTCTAGTTGAAAGTAGGAAGTTATGGTTTGATTGAATTAGTCCTTGGCATTATTTGACCTAAACCTTTTGGCAATTACTTTGAATTGATTCTTACTCGTAAAACAAAACTTTGGGAGAATAGTTTCGACATTAGATTCATGTTTGAGCACAAAAATCCAAGCAACACAAGTAAACTCATCAATATAAATTTCAAAACCATCTAAGCCCCAAAAACATTAAGAACAGTTGAAGGACCCCAAATATCACTATGAATATGAAATAAAGGAATAGAAGTTCTTTCATTACTAACTGGAAAAAGCACATGTTTGTGCTTAGAGACTTTTACTTCGATTGTGAAGATGAATACTTGCAATGTATGTCAATAATCAAAGAAGGAAAGAAGGAAACATAACTCTAAAGCCCTAAATGATGAATGCCAAGCTCAATGATGGTGAAGCCAAATTCTCTCCTTATTGGATGAACGAAGCTCTAAAAAATTTGGTAGATCGCCCTTTGTAATGTTTGACTAGCTTGGTACTTCAAGATAGTAGAGTCCTTGTTATCTAGCATGTCCAATCTTCCTCCTTGAAATCTTGTCATGTCATGGAATACATAATGACTACGATGGAAAACCACTTTATAATGTAAATCTTGAGTAAGCTTTCAGATAGATACAACGTTTTTGGACAGTTTAGGGACATGAAAAACATTTTTAAGGTTAGTAAAGGGTTTATTTTAACATCTCCTACACCTGCTATTTAAGTGAAGGAACCATCATTGTGACTTTTCCTATTACTTGGGCAAGGAGAGTATGTGAATAAGACATTTACATACTCTCCTTGAGTGTATCATATGGTCAGTAACTCTTGAATCTATGATCCAAGAGTCATCAAAGGTGGCACCCAATGCATCTAATCCAATAGATAATGGAAACTCACCTGAATATGCCAATAAACAAGAATCAAGTTTTTTTAATGAGGTCTCACCCTCTTGACCTCTTCTTCATTGAGATCACCCTCTTTATCAATCTGTTCATGCTTTGTGATTCAAGGATCAAGCCTCTTCTTCTTTCCTCCAATTGTGTTATATGAATATCTACAGTTTCTGATATCTATAGAAAAACTGATTGCTATTTACAGCAAAAGCATTGTTGGTCTTTAAGGCTGAGAGTATTGAAAATAAAGGTCAATGATCAAGGGAGATTATTACCAATTAATGCTGAAATGATCGACAATGAAGGTCAATGATCCACAAGGGGTTATCAGAAATCAAGGCTGGCGTTCATGCAGCAGTACCCATTACTTCCTTTCATTCAGTCGATTCTTCTCCCTTATGGTCGAGCACCCTGCGTCCAGAACAATAAGATCCTCTGGGTCGCATGAACAAAGGCACTTTGGAATAATAGGTCCTAATCTGAGCAAACCCAAGGCTCCGACAGAAGGCAGGAAGCAAACCCTGAATTCTCTAGGAGCCAGAGACTAGAAACCAGGTTCGGATACCATGTTGAGAACAAAGAGCCCTAGGTGGATATTCGGTGGAAAAAAATGACTTTTCACACTTTTTCAAGTCTAGCTCAGGCCTAGTTATATGCAAGTACCAGGGCCAGAAGACAATTAGAAACTAGTTCAACAATGAACTGGGGTCAACCAATAAAGAACCAGTCTAGCAACGAACCCTAAATCTTAAATCCTAAACTTCAATGGTAGCACCATTTGCTCTAAGAGAAATCCAAGAGCTTAAACTAATCAGTTGGATTACAACCACAGAAGAAAAAAAGAGAGGAAAAATACAAAGTGGAAGAACAAGAGGACAAAAGAATACTGCAATGTCCACTGCTGATGACCAACTTCTTTCCTCATTTCAAACTTGCTAGACTATATCTCCATCCACCATGATGGTTGAATAGGATCGAGGGGCAGGGTAAAGAGATGATTTTTTAATTTTTTCTTGAGGGTGTTTTAATGATGTTTTAAACATTTATCCTCTTTGTAGTCAAGATAACACAGGGTCTGGAGCTCTGATATGCGCCCAGCACTCGTGGAAGAACTCTAACTTTATTGATCAAAAACTGTTTACAAGGAGAGCGGGATCCAGTATTTATACCAAATCCTTAGAAGGTTCTAGACATACTGACGTAACACAAAATGAAAGGTATATGAAGACATATATGTCAACATGTAAGGTATACAGGTTATTAAGTACATCTCGACAACACTCTTAAAGAAATATACTTTCACATTCATTAAACAATACAAGGTTATTCTAATTTTCAAATGATATGACTTAAGATTGATCAGATCACTGGTTGAAGAAGTTCTCAAACGATATACAAAACTTCTCAGACCACGATAAACATTTTACCGAGGTATTAGGGGAGAAATAAACTAAGCACTGATCACCCCGGTGAGAACCAGAAATAAAATTGTTACAAGAATTGAGACAATAACAATATTTGTCAAGAATTTTTCGATTAGAGCGGAGATATTTTTAAGGTTAATCGAGATCACAGCTACATACAATCCCATGATTCATCACATATAACAATCATAGATATAAAAATAAACGATGAATTTCATAAAAACCCTTGCAAACTTACCTATAAGAAAAAATGACATATTTTATCACAAATTAGGAAGGAACAGGGCAACAAACATTTTTGCCATCCATTTGTATTTTGACATGCCATTAAAATGAAGATGAGCACTGCACCTGGGTCATCAAATTTGGAAGCATGTACAGAGGAAATCGTAGCACTTGAAACAGTGAAAGGCATGTAAATGCCTTTGCAGGTGTCAGATCCCCTCCAAGCAGCGTGTACATTCCAAAAGAAATCACAGTAACAAGAACAGGAATACTGTTCAGGACAAAACTGTTACACTGTAAACACCAGCTATAGTTAGATTGAGAAAAAGAAACTTTGTGCAAACAATATGGCACAGCTACACTAAAACTAGACCAGTAATACATTCACCAAGATGAAAAAGAGAACAATGGCAAGCAAAACTGATTAACTTCCACCTACCGCTGCCCAATATTGACTCCTCCTGTACCAGAATAGTTCATCATTTCGAATGTTTTGAATTTTAGATTGGAAACTCTTCTCCCAAGCGTAGCATCTATTATTTTTCAAAAGAAACAGTTCATTCATTAGACACAAAGATCCACACAGCAAAAGCATAAATTCTAATACACATAGATGAGAGCATACTTGACCACATCCATAGCTGCTAATACTTCATTCATAAGCCCTATTCGCTTATCAGCTCGTTGAAGGCCCTCCTTTGTCAGTTTCTGCATCCTCCGTACGACAAACGTCTAATGCAAGAAAAAAATTAGCAGAAATATTGTCTTCTACTCAACATATATTCCAAAGAAACTAAATATACTGACAATTTGGGACCTCGAAAGTCAATTAAATGTTTTCAAGTGGTCTGGATACCTTGGATCTACAGTAGCACTAAGTGCACTTTGTTGAAGGAAAATTATAAGTAAAAAAAATGAGGTCCTCCTTTAAATATTGACCCAGGATATAAATGACATATGCCCCTAAAACTTTTTGTGAAATTCCTACACACTGAACCCCCACCTTTTGAGCAAAGCAGATGGTGGCATAACACCCAAAGAAAACATATTCCAACTACTTACCAATAACTGGCAAAATTCTTCTATTCTATTGTAATGAGAAAGATTATCGAGATGTTTTTCTGGAAGTTTTTTGAAATCATACGAGAAGCATGCGTGTACACCCCCTGCCCTTCTGAATGGATGTTTTATGGAAGTTCATTGCATTCCAGTACAATCCAACTGCAGAAGGAAAATCACCAGGCGAAGATGAAGAATTCAACCTATAAGATCAGACATGAAATCTTCAATATAATCAATCAATGCCTAGTTGTGCGTGCTTAGTCAACCCCCCCACACTCATCTACTTCTCAAACTTATTGACTGGGTTGATTGGAGACTTGCAATCATTAAGTTCTACCTGATGATGACAACCCCAAATACTTACAAGCATATTTGCCTCACTCATCTTCAATTTGTCAATAACCCAAGCTTCTTTGAAGTAAATGATTAGATGATGGTAGCGAATTTGAGGAGACGATTACTCTTGCTTGAATGATAACTTGATCAATGCTAACCATTATAAATCTGAAGTTGTAGTTATTTCAACAGTTCTGAAAGTGCTGACAAATGTTTTAAGGTACTTAACAAAACTGGGCCCTAAAAATGCAAGGGCTAAAGCCCGATGGCTTTTCCCAAGAGAAAGAACAGCCCCCTAGGCACCTACATCTCTGTGATGTTTGGCTGATGAAGCTCTCCAAATGACATGATATTCTCCATCTTTCACCTCGATCTTCAAGCCTCACAATAAGAGAGGAGACTATGGGAAGGTTGAAACTTCAGGTAGCCGATTCTTCATGAGGGTAGAGGTAGCGGAGAATACCCAAGCCTCTGTGCTTTCCTTAGGCTCCAGAAGGACCCCATCAATGTCCAGATGTACCTTACAGCACCACATGAAGGGAGACATTTGGGATCTAAATTAGAGGGTATATCAGCAAGATGGCTCATGCATCGTTCCTCAAAGTCAGATCGGAGCAGTAGTTGAAGCTAAAAATTGTGGAAACCTAATGCACAGAATCAGACGAAGAATGCCAGCAGTTGTAAAAAGATCTGAAGCAACGGGAGTCTATAGAGATTGAGTCACAGGCCAAAGAAATGAGTGGAACGCGATCTTGAGAGCTCCATAGGCAGGCCCACAGATCAGGGCAACATCTCATTATTGTTGGAAATAACCTCTATGGAAGGAAGCAGTTGCCAACAAGAAAGAAGCAACACAAGGGTTCCCCTGAAGTTCGTCATGAGTGATGATAGATATAAATCCACTTAGCATAGAAAAGTACATAACTGAGCATTTATTCTTGCAATGCTCTTTCTTTAGGCAGGCATATTTTGGAGAGGTGGTGCAAACTGACAAAAATAACATGGAGGCATTAGACAAAGGTTAAGGCTGTTTGATGAATCAATGAGTGATATTAGACAAAAACGTTGCAGTGAATTGTGCTTCGCCAAATCCCATTGGTATTGTCAGGAAGGAACAACAGAGCCTTTTTGCAGAAGAACTGGAATTGTGCATAGACTCCTTTTATAAAATAGAAAAGAAAGGAACTCGTGATGAATCACATTTTCTTAATTCACTGCACACTTAGATGGGAACGGGCCAACATACAAGCATCTTGAGCAACGTGAATTTTTTAAGGCTGCTGTCTTGGTAACATGACCTTAATCAGCCTTTTTCTGATTGATAGTGGAATGCTGCAGGACAGTTCTCATGTTGAGAGTGAACCACTGTAAAACTTGCGTGTGCTCCATTCTTTCTTCTTTAGCTTCTTTCTTTCTTCAGTATTTGTAATTTGCGTGACTTAGGGTATCCTAGTTCCCAAAAGAAAGTACTATGAACACTATGCGTAAGATAATTTCCACCCAATTTGCATCAACCCGTCAAAGGTACATTCACATTCTCTACCATTGTATAAAAGTCAGAATATTTACGAAAGACTATCATGAGTCTACAGATTCAGTGTCGGCACATTTTGAAAAAGATAAGTTAGAACATGAAGAATATATGTTCATTTAAAGCCATTCCTTGAGATCAAGGATAAACAGCATTTAAAACAATAAACATAAGTCTATAATTGTTACACAAAAAAATCCGATGAACACAATATAAAGCCTGAATGAATAATATGGGAAAAAATAAACACTAAACTAGATTTTGTCAGAGATGATATCAATCACAAGCCAATCAAAGATGTACCTGTATGGGAAACAACAGAACCAACATCAATGCCCCAACAAGTGAAGCAACACCAAGCTGCTTGTATAGGAGAAAAATAGAAATGATAATGCGAAACGGAGCTGACCATAAACTGTGAAGTTGTTGGCATACTTGCTGCATGGAGAAGATGTCAATGCGACTAACATCAGTGCACGCTCCTCCAAGAATTTTAAAAAAATGGGAGTGCTGAGATAATGTTTTTGCTAAATTGTTATTAAAAATCATACAGTATCATATTAGGGACATTTTGCTAAGAAAAAATAAATGCACGACCAAAATTGGGGGACGTAGACTACAGAAGATGATTCACAGCATTGACTTTAGCTCATCATTTCATTACACACTTTCAAGCTCTGGCTCAGAAATTTTAAATCGCTAAAAGATGTACGACTTATATGAAGAAAGAACTTCCGGCTGTAGCCAAGCCCATGGATAGATGAGCAGCTGAAAATTGGCACAAGCTAAAAGGGAGACGGTGCGCAGTTGAATGTTGAAAGTATTTACAAATACAAAAATAATGATGTAAGAAACAAACCTGAAGCTGTTCTGTATCAGCAGTTATCAAATTTGTAATCTTCCCCGATGCAATTCTTTTTCGAGCTTCGGGTGCAAGTCTCAGGGACTTGCGGAAAACAGCAGCAACCTATAAAAATACAAAAATATGCTATGATAGATCTTATACATTCGGTCAAGGATTGTAGCCATGGATCTACAGTTAGAGCAAAATGAAACAATAAAACTTGTCAAATATAAATTTTGATGATTTTCTGAAAACATTATCATGGGGAATCAAAATCCTATACAAGACTGCAAATTCTGGATCCGCTTGCAAGATAGAAGACACAAAAAGTGGAAACTGTAAAAAGGTCATTTTAATAAGCGTAGGTTACATCTGAACACTGAGACCACGATCCAGTAATAGAAAATATGCATGCAAAGAAATGTCGTGATAAGAAAAATACAGGACATAATTAATTGAACAGCAAAAGCCATACCAGGGTTGACCTTAGGCGGAAACCAACACGCATGACATTTTGAAAATATTGTGCCTCACTTAGAACTCCAAGTGCCTGGACCAAGAATTTCATGCCAGTAAAACACAAATACAAAGCGATTATCTAATCAGCCCATAAAAGTTTAACATTTCAATTGGTTTAGGCGATCAGGAACCAAAGCTATATGTCATCACATTCACCAGATTGGCTTCAGAAATTTAATGAATATTCTCAAAACATTTTTTTGAGAATATTCATTAAATTTCAGCAAGGTACAAGATGTCAGTACAATTCAAAGACATCACCCAGTAACTCTGACTGTAGAAATTGGTGATGGTAGTTAAGGCTGCGTCAGTAAACATTTCTCCATGGTAATGACAATTAGGAAAGTCTCAGTCGACATTCCCTCCACCCAACATTTTTGTGGCAGTTATATTCACTCTTGTACCCCTGCTACCGTTGGAAAGTTGCCTGTGGTACATAATCGGTCTTCCCCTTTTCCTTATGCCCAAGCTTTCTAGTATCAGGGGGTACTATAACTGAGATTTCTGTTGAGGTAAGACCATTTCAAAACAAAAGCCCAAACATATTGGAATACATTTTCTAAGTTACTCCCAGACGTACATCTAAGACGAAAAAAAGTTAAGTCGCACAGTTTACTATTGTCACATAATTTTCCCTTGCTTCTGATTTATTATTTTGCCAATGAATGTTTAACTATAAAACAGAAGCAAGTGTAATGGTCGCCGTTCACCATAAATGGATTTTCTTTCTGACGATGCATTAGCCATGGATAGTTTTAGTGAAGTGGGAAATGTAAGAAGAGAGAAAGGAGACAAAACATAAAAATATCAACTATAAACAAGATTGCACGACAATTATAGGAAAAGTAAAAAGTAGGTTCCGGCGCAAACCACTCCCAAGAAAATTAAGAAAGCATAGATGTAGCCGCTCCATGATGGGTCCCCTTCTTGCATAGACTGCAGAAAAAAATACAAATACCTAAGTGATAGTTCACAGAATTTTTTCATAGTTATTTTTTTCAACGGAACAATTTCAGCATAGATAGATAAATAGGGCGTGGCTTGTCCACAATATAAGAGTCTGACAAGGGATATATCTCATGTTGTTCTAATCAAGACCATGAAACCTCAGCGCTGTCCAATCATCCGCAACTAAATGATATGAAATGAAATATGATCGAGAGCCTTCAACAAAATCTGTCAGCATTCTGAAAGACACCGGGACCAGGAAATATAAGGTCGGTCTTAGTATAACGTTCATCACAGGTTATCGATACTAGAAATGTGCAGAATATATCACAGAAGAAACCAAGAAGGGAACTGCAGTTATGTGAGACAGCTTACTTGTAAGAGAAGGTTCAAGATTACAGGGCCCACAAACTGTGAAACATCGTTACCAATCTGCAAAGAAACGAACAGGAAGAGCTAAAAAACATTATACCACATTAATGGACAAGGAAAATGGATTCAACAGGAAATTTTGGAAATTAGACAATTTCCATGGCTAAGGCCATGACTTTGATTAATAGATACAGAGTTAATCCTGGTTGCTAATGTTGTTGTGTAATCAGAAATTTTCCACTCAATTGATAACTCTGAAAAACATTCAAGGAACTCTAACAATTTTTAGAGAATTATCACGTGATTTTTTATAATTATGATTATTTCATTTGTAATATCCCTAAACTCCACTTTCCTTTACTAAATGATTAAGAACGTACTTTATACATCTCTCCATAAATTGATCATAATCTACCCCGAAATTCAGAGAAAAAGGAATGAAGGACAGCTAAATAGCCCCACAAAAATTGGGCTATCTACTTTTAAATGAAGTCAAAGAGATCTATTCAAAATTTAGAAATCTCTTGGAGGGACATGACAACAGCTGTACTATTTAAAGTTATCCTAGACTGATTGACAAGATTAAACCTCATCAGTGAGAGCACTCCCATAGAAAGTCAAAACCCATCTCCAAATTTGGTCGAATGCAAGAAAGCTCAAACATGCATCTAAGAAATCAGATAAAGTCCCCTGAATTTATAATGATTCCCTAGCCCTCCATTGATCTTCCTACTTTATAGATAGCCTAAAACATGCCTGTGCAGATCAAAGTTCTTCGTCTCTCCCACCAAAGAGGATATAGTTTTTCTTCCATTCATTGTGATTGTATTTCTATAATGAATAACGCAGTTCGTCTCACAGATATCTAGTTACTTGTCGACATTGATACATCAAATCATAATTTCCACGGTCATTTAGATGGTGATGTATCCAGATTAATATTCAATCATAACTATGAAGGCAGGAAGAGGTCTACAAATTCACCCCTTAACGATTCCTGCTATGCTGTTCCCATCAAAGATGCCGTGAATTACTTGCTAAAAAAGACTCTCTAGAGACTGTTCAAATTATTTAGGCAAAAGTCATCATCTAAGCTGCTCTGATCACCATCCAGCATACCGATAAGTCCTTGCATCAGTTGTTAACATAGGAACCGGTAAGAGTGCTTTATTATATCAACAAATCATAAAAAATATCAATGCAAACAATGGATTGAAGCAGTAGGCCACTTAACCAAGGTGAAATAAACCAAGATCACGTGTAAGAAATTTGTTACAACAGTCAAACGTCTTGGAAAATGAATCTAACAGGATTAATTAAGTGCAGACAGAAGCAGTGTCGCATGAAATTGAAGATGCTCCACATGATACCTTAAAAATACCTCCAAGCCAAAACCTGCAGATAAGGATAAAACAAGTTCACTAACAAGGGAGAGAAGAAGAAAATTCTTCTTGGAAAGAATGTGAGCCCCATGAAAACATTGTTTTTATGATCTCTACCTCCCACCAAGACTAGCATTAAGAGCCCTCAGAAGCCACGGTTTAGGCTTCCTAGATTCTTTGATCCAACATTTCTCGAAGCTGAAAGTTGAGGATAGATTCATTTAGTTTTTAGGCATAAAGATATAATGGAGTGTTCCAGTAGCAAACACCAACATGTTAAGAACACCTACTCTTGATGCAGTGTTTCTGTTAAATCCCATGTGTCCAATTTCCAAACATCCTTTTCAGTGATAGGTCTTCTATAGCCCTTCTCCATGAGTGGGGTCATCCATGAGAAATATATCCCTAGCATAACATCAAAGAGGAAAGTTAGATCAAGAAAACTCCATTTCAGTTTGAAAGAATCCACTTGAAGATGGGATCTCAGCATTATATATATTTTTTCCATTTGAAATGCTATTTAAATGTTCAAAAAAAATTCACTTACTATTTTATGATCTGAATACTTACACGAGAATATATTAGCATGCCTCTCAGGGCAAATCTGTTCATCTCCAGGAAGAGGTTCATACTCTGTACTGTCAGCAGACACTTCCCGTTCAATGGGAGTGTAACCAGGATATGGATCCAAATTGGGAACATAGAACAGTAAGAGGAACCCAAATAACAGCTGCATAAGAATTTTGTAAGTACAGAAAATTACTAAAAAAACCAGACTCTTAAAATATTTAATGTCTACTTAAGCAGAACAGATATATGAACAAGAAAAGATAGTAAGCATACCTTGCAAAGCATTTCACTTGCATACAAATAAATGATTGATCTGAGAAAAAGGGAAACAAAATTCAATAAATGTTCCTGACACATTAGAAAACAAAACGAGAAATCATCAATAGATGCAAAGAGAGCAAGATGTAGATAAACACGGCAATAGGGATGGGTATATACAATTGTGACATGATCCCTATTTTTTTTCACTGCATGATCCATGTGAATTACACTTCCGATTATGTGAGGGAACTCATATCATCATAACAAAGGATTGTTATTAACAATGTCTTTGGTACCAATCCCAAAAGGCAGTCCATGAAAATGGGAAACGAACAGTCGCTGAAAGATTTCGCAAGCATTCTATGAAGACATTCCAAAGAGGGAGCAGCACAAAAATGAGAAGTGAATAACCCCATGTTAACCTTCCCAATGGAAAGCCCCCATCAACATAATGGTTCCTTGACTGGATAGTACATTGCCCAGGAAATGTGATCACAGCTTTTAAATTCCCTGATGTGTCAGCTCCCATAAGATGATCCACGTAGGGATCAACTAGCTAGCCACCACATGATTGAACCAGACAAAAGTGGCCAAATCTTCCATAAATAAAGTCAAGCCAACTTGATATTGTTTTAGCACAGGTTCAATGGAACTCGTGCCACATCACACGAATCATTGTGATATGCCAGCCTTGGTGACAAAACATTGAAAAGTAATAGACATTTCTAGGTTCAGAGATTATGCTATATCTATAATTTATTTTAAAATACCACAAATTCTAAACATCCTCCACCTTACTCTCTTTCTCATAATATCCTGCTGCCCGACCTAAGATCTGAAAATATTCACCAAACAGAAAGAAGATTGGGCCCACATGCGTCCATGTTATATATGGATTGCCATATCAGAGCTACAAATATCATCTGGGTAAATCGTCCATAAAATCCCCATCAGAAATGAGAAAGGTAACATTTTTATAATAATATAGTAATTACTACTGTTGATTTCAACATTTGAAGGAACATATGGCTCAGACGAATCGCAGTAGTACTTAAAATATAGAGGCACGGATTAAAAACTGGAGAAATCTATATCCTTAAAGCTTTAGAAATGGGCAAGTTATTGAATCACGCTTAATATCTCCCTCCAAACTAAATGTACCAATGAAATCTTTTTGGGCCAAAAAAATCTTTATTTTTCTGAGAATCATTATTAGTTTCTGAATTTTACCATTATTAGTTTTCAATGGCAATAATTTTTTGAATTTCATCAACCATTTTGTGAACTCATTTCATTATACAAAGCGAAATAGGTATCTCAAACTCAAGAGGAAGATATTTAAATAAGGAAACAATGGAACTCGTTAATGTCAATCCATACTTACCCTCTGTCAGCTCAAACAATGCGATACATAAAACATATAATTCCGTATAAAAATCCAGCATCCATGTTATTCAGTGAACGAAAAGGGATTCCTAAAATCATATTGAAGTTCACGACATTGATGAATAGAAGTAAAGAGCCAATTGCACATAAGAGGACTAGTTACCTGATGAAATACTCCCTGACAGAGAAAAGAAGACTGAACATTGCACATTCACCCACCAGAGCATAGATAACACCGAATCGGACATACCAACGCAACTCATAAATGTAGATTTTCGTTTCTACAAGGAGCATAATCAGCAGAGAACACCACGCAATAACATTTACTGTTAAAGAGACAATCTGCAAAAAACAAAACGTATAAAAATAGATTATGCAGGGTAAAAATACCGTCCACTCTTGAATTTGCTTACCAACAATGAATCCGGGAAAAAATTGGGAAAAAGCAAAAGTCTGAGGGGAATAAGAAATCATTAACACAGGATTAACCAGGTCAACTTTCAAATTTGACAACGAATAAAAATATAAAATTAGATAACATATATCAAAGACTCAGCAAACCTCAAAAGGGGCAAGAGTAGACTGGCCATCCATATCCACAATTGATATTCCCACGATTAGTCGGAACAGAGACTCTACACCACAATAGACAGCAAGAGCCTCCAACATGTAGTTGTAATAGTGTGATCTCAGAGAGTATCTTTTGGCGTTGAGGTCCTTCTTGATGAGCCAAATACGGTAGCAGCACAAGACGGCCACCACCAAGTATGAGATACAGATGACCACTGACTCCATGGCACAGGGTGTGTAGGCTCCGAAAGCATTCTGTACTCTGCTCCACAATCCATCCTCAACAGGCCTACAGTACCACTGGATCAAGTCGTTACCCATCTCTGATTATCGAGGTCACTTGAATTTTTATTCCACCTGCCCTACTCTCTCTCTCTCTCTCTTTCCCTCTCTTCGTATATAAGGAACTGTTTCCTCCTTCAAATTCTTCCTCCTGAATCACCACTCATTGATTCTGAAAAAATAGTAACACTGGTTTAGTAAAATTATTCATAGCAAGGATAGAAACACTGCCTAAGCAGCTTCTGTTCTTTGCAATAAAAAAGACCTGCACTGGCCCTGACTACTGAGAACAGAGTCTCTCTCCTGACATCCAACTTAAAGGACGCGAAAAAGCGACAACCCACCAAATCAGCAAGTAGTCATGAAATCCCGGAAGGCAATTCTAAGACAGGAAACAGTAGATAAATAATGAAAGCTTAAAATCACCGAATTCTAATATCTTCCCAGTAAGAACTGATTCGAGGATGAAAAATGGAAGTGAGAGCAACCATCTTATGTCCCAAGAATCCAGGACGGGACTTACGGAGCCATCCATGGCAGATTCAAACAGAAGAACGCCTGTCGCACAAAATAAAGTCGAATCTTAATAAAAAAATTGGAATAACTCGGAGACCGGCAGGAATCGAATTACGCAGAAAACCCGAAAATCTCACTGAATCTGTAAAGACCTACACCAGAACGAGTATGACTCTAACCAGAACCACAGGAACTCTGGAAACCCACAGCCGAAAAAGAAGAGGCAGACGGGAAACCAGGCACGACCACAGATGTCCTCTTTCCCAGGCCTTCACACCCTCTCACTCCCCAACCCCAAGTTCCCGACATGGTCACCTATCCCGACCCCCTTATTTCATGGTCTTCTGCTTGCAGAGGGGGAAAGGATCAACCAACCAACCACACGAGACCCGGAGGATCAGGAAAGAGGGAAGGGGTGAAAGAGACAGAGGGTGGATCCCCACCTTTTCAGTATTCAATGAACAGTGACAAAAAAATCCTCCAAAAGCCCGTCGCTCGTCCTCTCTTTCACGAGGACGACATCCCTGGTACAAGCCAACGGAGCCTTCCCAGGCCGCGAGTCGTCAGCTCCGAGCCCGACGGACCCAACGGTCCCGACCGAGCCGAGCCCGACCGGCCCGACCGTTGCTACCTCTGAATTGCTGGAGGCCCCACATGCTACGACCGTACCCACATGTGAGGTCAACGTCACAGCGAATTCTGATGACACGTAACCCGATTCGGCCACGTGCCTTACCGAAACCCTCGTCCTCCGCAAAAGTCTATGACTGCGTGGTGATGCGACTTTTCTTGTCTAATGGTACATGATGGAGAAGTTGTTTTTTATTTCATCGGTGGGCCACCGTTGATAAGAATCTTTTACTTTTGTCCTGTTTTGATTCTCCAATCTTTCCATGCAGCGTTATCGTCGGCGTCGAGTGAGTGGCCAGGCTTCTCTCTCTCTCTCTCTCTCTCTCTCTCGCTCACGCATGCTCTTCATAATTCCAGTAAATAGTCTGTTATCTACCACATAAAACGTGCACACCATCAAAATGCATCTTATCCTTAAATCCAAGGTTTTAAATTGTTATCATGAAAACAAACCACAAAATGAAAATTTTGAGACCTATTAGTATGTGTTATAATGTGCATGTTGCATTAATTTGACCTGAAATTTTGTATTACAAAATTGTTCGATCAATGGGCCATAGAATCTACTATTTTCTTCTCTTTAATGACTAGTTTTTCTTTTGAATTATAACGCAACTAATTTGACATTTTTTTGTGTGGCAATTTCCACATAAGGTATGATTTCTTACATTGAAAAGGAGTTTAAACTCTAGACCCAAACATCATAAGGCTTACTTGTAGAGATTAGTCACATTTTTTTCACATATTATAGGTTTTTCTCATTATGAAACATTTTGATAGCTTAATAATATGCTTTTATTTTCTTAAGTCAACCATTCTATTAATATCAAAATTTATCTACCCAAAAGTCACATGTATTGCTACACTTGAGCCATTTCATTTGATTTTTTAGGGACATGAACTAGGCTAGGCCCTAGAATCATCAACGATTTAAAGGATTTCTGCATTAATTGAAGACAAATGGAGAATAAGGTAGAAGTAGAAGCTTTGTTCATGTTAGTATGAATATCTAGTTGTCAATCGATGATAAGACTATGATCAATCCATCAAAGGATTAGAGGAATATGTCATCTTTTATTTCTCCCCATAAAATTGCAAAGATGGCTAAGATTTGGAAGATTCTAATTTGATCACATGCATCATAATTATATTTCAAAGATACATGTATGAGATAGTTAGTAACATGGTGAGCAAAATATGGTATTAATGATCAATTGAAAGATTGTATGGTCAGGATGCATCTATATCATGATGGTCATTGATATATCCATGCTCTAAAGAATCTCTTAATAGTTTGGGACATCCCTTGGGAATCTCTATTTGTAGGCAAGTGGTGAGAGGGGATGCTTCACAAAGTTATTCCTAAAAGGCCTCTCTTTTTAATCTTACTTTATCAAAGAATGACAATTACAATTTGTATTGATTTCTAGGAGACAATTAATAGAAACATTTGTTTGAATCATCTTCACATATAAAACTACGTCACTAATAGAACTTTATATTGAAATAATTTGATCAATTATCTTGTAAATGTTGCTGCCCTCAGTTTTGAAACTTCTAAGTGAAAATTTATTTGCAAATTATTTACATAGTATCTATTGAATCGTAAATCGATCACATGATACTTACATTACAAGTATAATATTATTGAGATATATTAACTATGCTTAAATAATTTTATGGCTAAAAATGAATATAAGAAGTTATATCTTTAAGATATTTTTCATGTTTAATATGATACAATATCATATTGTTTGGAGGTAAGTACAAAAAAATGTGTCCACATACGTCACGAAGTTTTATATAAAGTCCAAAAATGCAAAGTCACATGTGGAATTCAAACACATGACTTGAGTGACATGAAGTCAAAAGTTTTAATAAGAAAAAAAATCTAAAAAATCAAAGCACATAAAGTTAGGTGTAAGATTTAAACTTAGAACATAAGCTATAGAAAGACAAAACTTATGACAACAAAAATATTTGAATATCATAAAATTGATTGAGTGAACAGATTTAGGGGGAGCACTCATTAAAGGGGAACTCATGACTCAAATTTTGAATGCTGACTATAATAAATGATGAATGTTGACACTTTTATATGTAAATGAAGTATTGTAGTTTTTGTTTGAAGTTCAATGAATATTTGATCTTTATGATGCTACATCAATATTATATATTTGAATAATTTTTTTAGTGATTCTATAAGTATACAGAAGGAGGAGATTATGGATGTTCTTGGTTTTGATAATTATATGTGAAAATTTTATTGATAAGGTGATTATTAAATGTTGATGGTTATTTATATATCTCATAAATATATATATCAAATATGCAATATATTCATCATGATTATTATTTAAATTATATTTATTGATCTTATGAACTTACTACTAATGATAAAATCTAAGGTGTTAATCCTAGATATTAAGTGACTTTTTTAATTGAAGAATACTAAAACATATGAGAAAATTAGTTGAAGAATCATCTTTCAATGAAATGATAAGTATATGGTTAAATGGTACAAGTAAATCATGTAAATTATCTTATCTTTGATTATATATTTTCTCTAACCATATTATATAACGTTTATCATCTCCAAATGATGATAGAAAAGTTCTTTAAGATTTCAAATAGATTAAATCATCAAGAAAGTTGGAAAATGAAAGAGATATTCAGGTTTTGGACAAAGTATGTCGATAGTGATACATTAGCTACTTAGATGGGTAAAAAGTCTTAGTAAACTTATTGATTTGGATCTAACCTGCCCATACAACTATTTTTGATCAAGTTAGGAAACCCTACTTCAAATTGGAAAAAAAAGGAGGAAGAAATAAGGATATTAAAACATTGGAAGCTTCAAATGCTGTTATTGTGTATATTGAAAAATTACAAGTTTTTGAATAAGGTTTTTGAATGTTGGAGATCTAGTAAGATCATAAATCTGTTAAAAGATGAAGGTTCACTTATGAGAGAATATTTTTGCATTGAAAATAAGTGGTGTACATGAAGATTCAAGTTAAAAAATCAAGTTCTTCTAGTTGTACACATCAATGATATGCAAAAACACTATACCATCTTCTCCAACTAATTTTGACAAAATGATCAACTTCATGATTCTAACTCTCCATCAGGCCCTAAGCTAATTAGATGATGAGATGGGAGAGATTTGGGTGAATGCACAAGGTGCTTGTAGCCATATTTTGTCTAAGAAAGGCTAAGTCTATAATGAGACTAAGTTTAAATGGTTGATATTATGAAATTAGTATGTAATTTCTAAGGAAATTAATAAATACTAGAGGGAAGTTCCCTCTAGAACTAGTAGTTAGGTGAGGAGTGTAATAGTTAAAATCATTGGTGTTTTTTGTGAATGAGAGTTGAGACATAAATTTGCCAACACATACTATGATGCACATTGATATGGGGTCCTTGGATGTAGTGGCTCATGAACCTATTTAAAGCCTTGTGGAGAAGGTTCTACATACTTGTTCTACATGCTTGTTGAAGCAAAGCTTCCCCAACTAATAGATAGTCAACGTGTCAAGAGATCAACTTCTTCTTGACTCTAAATCAAGTTGCCCTCCAAAGTTAATCTACTACAGCCAGCTTGTAGAAAGGCAAACATCTCAATTAGTTGAACATGCATCCTTGAATGAGTCTATAAAAAAAATTACATATCTTCTTATTAGATGTCAATAACAATACTAGTGAACTAAATTGACTTGTGCTTAATATGTTGAAACCTTAAAAAATGGTACTAAAGATATAATCATGTTTTACATATTTTATAAAATTATTTTGATATAATTATATGATTATTTAAAGCACTTTCATTATATACATTTTTTATGTCTCTATGAGACATGTCATGCTCAAGCTTAGTGTGAGTTGTAAAGAGAGAATAAGGAAAAAGAGTCTTCTACCCTATGTATATGTAGGGGGAGAGAAAGAGAGTACAATAGGTCCATTAGGCCCATACAGCCCATATGGCCCACTCACACTCCCTCCCAAATTGGAAAGTAGATGTCCAAAATTCCTTACTTGCTACAGAGAGTATTGTAACATATTTCACTCAAACATGTGGTGTTGTGATGAGTCCTTTGAGGACTTTGTCGTAGATATAGTGACAATCCACCTCAAATGTATTTAAAGCTCTATGTTCATGACAATCCACCTCAATGTACCAAAGTGATATAGGTATAGGTTTACATATTAGAAAGAACAACTCTTGAAGAAGTGAATGTATCCACATCATTATACCAAGTGATAAGGTTCCCTCCAAGGTATGTGCAGTACTCAAATGTAGATTTATGATCACCCTTGTCAATTGCATAACTAGAATTTGAGTAAGCCTCAACTTAGAGATCTCTATGTTGCTGATTTACCATACCTTGTCTTGGAGCATGTTTGACATATGCTAACACTCTCAATGATCTTAACTAGTGTGTTGTCATGACTTGTGCATAAACTAGTTGAAAAGTCTCACAGTGTAGACAATGTTAGGGCAAGTGACTGCTAGGTAGATTAACTTCTTGATCAATCGTTGATATCGATTGACATCCTCAAAGAGAGGAGGTGGTGTCTTAGAAATTAATTCTTGAATCAATTGGTGATAACTCAAGTTTACATCCCAAGATATCGACGTCTTCTAATAAATTTAGCACATATATATAAGATAAAATTATTCATCCACATTGATAGGTGAACTTGATCCTCAAGAAATAGCAAGATTTGCTCATCTCTAATGATGAAGCATTCATGTAGATGAGCCTTGGTATGTGTAATGCCAACTATGTGAGAAGGATGTCATTAACATAAAATACTAGAATGATACTTCGAGTAACAATTTATTTACAAAAGGTAGTAAGGCCCACTATGCATCTCGTGAACTCATGAATTATCAAGATTTGACCAAACTTAATAAACCATACCTAATGACTCTATTTGAGTCTAAAAATAGCCCATTTGAGAATGCATACCTAAGATGACTCCCCCTAAGTAGCATACCTTAGAGGTTACTATATGAAAACTTGCAGTTAGGTCTTTGTAGATAAAGATGTTGGAGATGTTAAGTTGTGTGAGTGTCCACCCTTGATTGAGAGCCAAAGAGAACAATACACAGATGGAGTTGAGGTGAATAACTAGAGAAAATATTTCTTGATAATTGATGCCATATGCTTAAGAGAAGCATCAAGCCACTAGATGAACTTTGTCATGAATAATATTATCCTCTGAAGAATACTTGTTTGTAAACATCCACTTACAAGTGACAATATTAGTATCCTTCAGATGAGGAGTTAACTCTAATATTTTGCACATGATCATAGTATTTACTATTGGTCCATAGTCACCTTTCACTCAGGTACTTCTAGAGCCTTCAAATATATCTTACGTATTAACTCGCAGGTTAGTGTTAAGATGAATGTGCAAAAAGAAAGATGAAGGTGGTCATAAAAAATAAAATCAGAAATAAGGTGATGGGTACATGATGTGCCTAAAGTCATTACTAATTTAATCACTCAAACTTAACATTTACAACTAAACCCAAATAAACTCTTTTTAATTAAAAAATATTTTAGGTTGATCCTCAAGAAAATTAGAAAGTTGAAAACACCATTATCCAACTCTAAAAGTTAGGAAAAACTCAGAAAATATAGAAATTAATTGTGCTACATTTTCTCAAAATATATTAACCTCATTTCATGTGGTGCTCATGAAATCGAATTTCGATCTAAGGTTGGGTTGAAAATACATACAATATAGGAAATGATTTTTCTAAAATCTAGAAACTTATTTTAAACACTTTCTAAAATTGTGAAAAAATTATATAAGATAAGAAATTAATATGCTATGTTGTCTCAAAAGATATTGGCCTAATTCTATGTGGCACTCATGAAATCATATTTGATCCAAGGAAAGGTCGAACCAAGAAACCCAACCTAGAAAATGATTTTCGATAATGTGTATGATGATTCTATCACCAAATCACTAAAACACGATTTTTGGACAAGACAAAATATTCATTTGATTTGTAAGGAAGTAAGATCTTCAAGGAAAATCATAAATCTAAAAGAAACTACACGATTTGATACATATATTATTTGTTACCCATAGAATGATTTTAACAGTATGCTTGATAATTATGTCACCAAATCATCAAAATATGATCATTAGAAGAGATAAAACATTTATTGGATTTGTAAGAAAGTAAGGTATCCAACAAAAAGTATAACCCTAAACAAAATTACACGTGTTGATAAAGATTTTTTTTTATTTACCTTGGAGTCATCATGAAGACATGAGAAGTCAAGGATAAAAAAGAATAACTCATTAGAAACTTAATGAAATGTCATCTATTAAGTGATGATCATCATCTGAAAAATGAGGAGTCTAAGGAATTAAGAAATGAGAGAAAAAGGTGGAGAGATCATACTGACAACCTTGAGGCCTCAATTGTCTATCACTTAGCCACCACCTTATGTTTGAACACAAAAAAACACCTTTCATTTGCCCTCTCCAAGGTTTATATATTGATGAACTCCACTAAAAATTGAAACATTTTTTCACAGAAAGATAGGGAGCAAAGAAAATATAGGTTAGAAGGGAGATCCAAGGGGTAAGAGGGGTCTAAGAGAGAGCCACCAGAGCTTTGCGATGTCACCGGCGAGAGGGACCTAGATGGAACAAGAGGATACAATTGTTAAAGGATCAACCAATGCCCAGTAACAACGGCCCATTAATAGATGTACGAGTGGGCTCACTACAAGATAGTTATAACCATCTTGCTAGTTCAGATGTTCAATCTATACCGATGAGAGCATGTCCCTGAGATTTCCTAAAATAAGAAATTAGACTCTTATAAAAGGAGGTGTACATCAAAGTTGAAAGGCATCAAGAATCCTTATTGTATTTAGTCTCTTCTTCTCCTTCTCTCATCTTTTTCATTTCTCTTCATTGTATTAGAGCCAACAATGGGACATAATTCTTGATCAATGACAAATTCCTCATCATTCCTTATCTACGTCATTATGTAGTCACCAAGTTGGATTTTGAGTCAGAGATGTGTGTTTTCATCGATTATAGTGCCTTTCATCATAGTTATAGGTGTCTTTCCTTGACATGTGGTCGAATTTACATCTCTCAGGATGTAGTATTCACTAAAATTTTTTACCCTTATATAGAGAATTAGGGTCGCAATTCTTCACCTACTCAAATTGCTCGTGGTGTTCTTGGCTCATGCCTAATTGAACCCTCAACACCTACACCCGTCCTTGACATCATTAACTCCTTCATTCTCTCACACATATCTCTTGTTTCTAACCTTAACTCGCTACTCACTCCTTTACCATCATCACCTCATTGTGATATCAACCAACCTCCTTATGACAACCTTTTACCTATCTCACCACCTAGTCATATTCTATCCACTAATCCTTTGTCTCCCTCTAATTTAGACCATCATTCTTTACCTTTCCATATTCAAATCAAATCACTTATAGACATTCTTCACTTTGTTGACCAAGTCAACTCTATTGAACCCGTTAAATATCCTCTTTCTCACTACTTTTCAGCCACCACATTGACCTTATTTGAACCACCAAACTATTTTACTTCTCAACAATCCAATTGGGTCCAAGTCATGAATGAAGAGTATAATACCTTTCAAAATCACACATGGTGGCTTGTGCCTTAGTTATCAAATTGATCGATCATTGGGTGTAAGTAGGTGTATAGAACTAAACTCTCACCCAATGGCAAACTTGACTGATTCAAAGCTCAATTAGTGGCAAATGGATTTCATCAAGAGGGGGGCATTGACTATCATGAAACCTTTAGTCTTGTGGTCAAGGTCACCACAATTCAGCTTCTACTTTCATTAGCAGTCAGTCAATAATGACATATTCATCAACTGGACATATCTAATGCGTTTCTTCATGGCGATTTGAAAGAACTTATCTACATGGAGCAGCCTTAAAGGTTCAAGCATCCTAGGTTCCTTAATCATGTCTCCCAACTTCGGAAGTCTCTGTATGGTGTTAAGCAAGTACCACAAGAATAGTTCCATAAGCTTACTAGTTAGCTCAGGAGACTTGGCTTCACCAATTCAAAAATTGATACCTCGTTTTTTTTTACACACTATGGACCAATTTATGTTCTCATCTATGTGGATGACATTTTAATCCTTGGGCCATCCTCAGCTCAAATTAACACTCTTGTGAAATCCCTCAGCTCTCATTTCACTCTCTGAGATCCTGGTCTTACATCTCATTTTCTTAAAATTGAAATTCGGCCTTACAAGGACGAATACCTTCTCACTCAAGGTCATTACATAGCCTCTATTCTCAAGAATTTGTGTATGGATTGTTGTAAGCCTTTGCCCACTCCGAGTCCCACTGCTTCTCTTATTTCAGCCACAAAATCACATGGTGTTCTTGCTGTCTATTGTAGTGTGGTTGGAGCACTACAATATCTAAGCTTGACACGACCAGATATCCCCTTTGTAGTTAATTAAGCCTATCAATCTATGCATTCCCCCCAATTGACTGATTGGACTTGTCTCAAGCATCTTCTTCAATATCTTAAGGGAATAATTGCCCATGGCCTCTATCTTAAACATCACTCAGATCTCTCTCACCGCATATAGTGATGCTGATTGAACAAGAAACACCTTCGATTGTCGATCAACTGGTGGTTTTTTGATCTATTTTGGCTCTAATTATTCTCATGGAGCTCCAAAAAGTAATTCACAATGGCTTGATCTAGTACATAAGCATAGTATAAGGCGATTATTGATGCTTCTTTGAAATTAATTTGAACCAATTCTCTTCTTTGCGAGCTCTAGATATCTCTACCACTCCTATACTTTGGTGCGACAACATTGGAGCCACCTATCTCTCTATTAACCCTATGTTTCATGCATGAATGAAACATATTGAAGTTGACTTTCATTTTGTCTATGAGCAAGTCACTACACAGAAACTCTGCATTTGTGTTATTCTCAGTCGTGATTAGGCAGCTGACCTTTTGACCAAGGTGCTTCTCAAACATCAATTTTTCCTTCTATGGTCCAAGTTCAACATCCTATCCGACACTTCACTTGTAGGGGAGTGTTAAAGGATCAACCAATGCCCAGTAACAACAACCCATTAATAGATATATGAGTGGGCTCACTACAAGACGGTTATAATTATCTTGCTAGCTCAAGTGTTCGATCTGTATCAATGAAAGCATGCCCTTGAGATTTCCTAAAATAGGGAATCATACTAGTATAAAAGGAGGTGTACATCAAAGTCGAAAGGCATCAAGAATACTCATTATATTCAATCTCTTCTTCTTCTTCTCTCTCATCTTTCTCATTTCTCTTCAATGATGGGCCATAAATTCTCTTCTTGGGAACAAGAGATACAGAAATTATATATCGATTTTTACCTCCCAATCAATCTTTAATTCTAATATTTTTACTCAATTGGGTATGACATAAATGGGCCTCTCGTTGTTAGGTTAGCACCTACACTTATTGGGCTGGTGCTTGGCGTATCACATTGTTGCTATGTCATCAATGCTCCCCCCGTATATTGTCAGCTTGTCCTCAAGCTAGAACTCAATGAAATGTGGCTGCCATCCATGTCACTTCGTTCTCTAGTAGACCCTTCAAATGGATGAGGATGAGGAGTCTTGAGGGTGACTTTTGAATGCCCAATAGTTCTTCTAGCTCCACTTGCAGCTCTCTTTCCTTAGTGAGGCTGGACAAAAGTTGGATGGACAAATAATTCTTCACTAGAGCATGCCTGAGCTGTGAAATATGAAAGACATAATGAATCAAAGCATGAGTGGGTAAGTCAAACCAATAAGCCATTAGTCCTATTTGCTTAGTGATCTAATAGGGTCTAAAGTACTTCAAGCTTAGCTTCTCATTCTACTTTTGGGGCAATGTCTTTATCCAATCATCAACTTTAAATTGCACATCTAAGGGGGACGTAGTTGACCTATAGTGGTTGATGGTTAGGACTCTCTCTCATACAATATATGAAATGACGATATCTTAATCATTTGATGGAACAACATGTTATAACTCAACTCAGCCTAATTTAGATGCTCGCTCTAACTTGTCAATCTGTCCCCTACAAAGCAATGTAGATAGCTCTCTAGGCTCCACCAATTGACAACTTTCATTTAGTCGTTTGTCTTTGAGTGATATGCATAACTCATAATGAGCAAGGTCCCTTGTAGCAAGTGTAACTCCCTCCATAATGCATTGCTAAAGACACTCCCTTCATCAGTGACAATGGATAATGAAAAATCATACAAGTGCACAATGTCTTGAATGAAGATGACTATCATGTCTACTGTTAAAAATGGGTACTTTAGGAGAGAGAAATGATTGTACTTGTTAAGATGGTTCACAACCATTAGGATCGAGTCAAATCTCCTAGATTCAAAAGACATTTAATGAAGTTCATAGATATATCTTCCCATATGCAGTTTGAGACGAGTAATGATTGAAGAAGACTTGTCGAAGTGAGGTAATTGGACTTGAAATAGAGGTAGGTGGAGCATTGGTTGATATGCAACTTAATGTTGCCTTTCATCCCTAACAAATAAAATTGTTTTGAGATGTGACGGTAGGTCTTCAGAAACCCATCGTGCCCCCCTAATGCTTGGCCATGAAATTCCTTGAATAGTTTTTGGACAACTATGGATGAGTGGGGTAAAGCCAATTGACTCTTGAATCTCAACAAGTCATTGCAAAATGTATACTATTGATTCTTAGAAACTCTTCCTTTGACCTCCTAGATAACTTTGGCCGATTAGAGTTAACGTGGACATCTTGCCACACTATCTATAAGCCTAACTATGAAGAAATAGATATGACACAAAACACCACCTCCTCCTCAACTGGTAGCTGAGACAATACATCCGTTACTAAATTTTGGTGTCTTTCTTTGTAGTGAATTGTAAATGAGTAACTTATAAGTTTGGCAAATAAGTCTTCATTATCATGAGTTAATAATTAATAAATAATATAGTTTTAGCCTTAACTCAGGATAAATAAACTTATATTTACATTAAAATATGAAAAGTGATTTTTAATTGATTAACATAATTTTTTGGGTAATTATGTGATTTTATACGAATTTATATACTTTTTACAATCTTACTTTTGAGATAAATAAAAAAAGAAATAAAAATATAAATATAATAAAATCGAGGGGACTCATCACCTAGCTAGGCCCGCAAGCAGGTTAGAAGTGCAGTCAAGGAGGAGTTGCTAATAAGGGATTGAGCGGCTAAGACTGATAGGGGCACGTGTGTGCCACTCCCCTTCCACGTCACCAATGGCTAGTTGGCTATGGGGCAAGGAGTGGTCGTACACACACGAGAAAGGGACTTGATCAAAAATATAATATTACTATATATTCACTAAAAACTTCAGCACACAAACGATGTGAGACTAAATCCACGTCACACCTTCCCTAGAAAGGGCAAGCAACTAGCACGGGTTTGAATCCTCCTAGAGCCAAAACTCATATTTTTTATCTGATTATCGCGACTTTCCTACATATTGTTGGTGAAGGATTAAGCAACTAGGATCGTTGGATCATCGGCTAAAATCTCGTCAATGTGATTCGTGGAACATTGTTACTAAAATTGTTAAATAATCACAATAAAAGGATCGTGAATTCATTGAGTAAAGCATCTCTGATTGATTGACGAACAAGCCGTCGTTAAGAAGAGGACAATCCATTGGAAGACAAGTCGCCACCTCTTGAGAGCGTACCAGATGCGATGAAAAGCCTCATCTTGCTGCGCAGAACTAAGGATAAAGCTCCCTGACATGTACCCACCTCCATCCAGCTTCTTTCCGTCAGGTGACAATTGCTAAAGACCTACAAAGTCTCGTCATTTTTCTGCTCTATTGAGTAACAACTGACGGAAATGATTTGATGACTCATTTCATTGATCTTAGACTTTGTAAAGAAATCTAGAGATTGCCCACATCATCCTTGTCCAAGGAGAACCTTCAAGGTCATGAACACTGTATGACGATCCTCTCGAATGCTCAAAATTCTAGTGCATCATCGACGCATCACCGTCGCGACACCAGAACTCTATTTTCTTACTTTTAACTTAATTTTTACTTCATTTAGTGATAATTTGTGTGATTTAAATTTACCAAGATATACTTTATTCTATTATGATTCTTCTGAATTTTACAAATCTTAGTTTGATCAATTAAATCGTGTGTAATCACTTACGTAAGAATCACTGGGTGAAACTTTGTTTTTGCTCGATTCACATTCGCTAGGCACTGATGTCATCTGACGTCCGCATCCTTATTTCCTTTTTTTGTGAATTTTAAATATATTTTATTTTTATTTCTTAGTATTAAATTCATAAAAAATAATATTCTTTGAGAAAACTTTTGAATAATTATCTGATATTATATTACATCCCTATGATTGACTTAGAAAATTATCGGTATTTTTGGAAGTTTTGTTGAATTATAATTGATATATTTGTTCAGAAATACTTCTAAATATTCAAAAATTCATATTTTCTAGTTTTATAAATTTTAAATTTGTGTGATTTACTATACAACAACTAAGTCATGTCAAATGTGCATACACCTCCTTTTACTCAATCATGTATTTTGAATTGTATTGATCTATCCAGATGATAAATGTTTGAAACATCAGGTAATGCTTCCATTTTTGGATTGTCATAATAATTGCCATGAGTTCTCGCTCATAAGTCAATTGGGTACAATCTTTGATAAGGAGGACCTTGTTGTAGAAAGGTATGAGGTGCCCTTGTTGCATCAAAACCATGCCAACCTTGACACTTGAAGGATCAATCTCAAGAATAGAGGGTTGAGAGAAGTTGAATACCAACAGTAAGGTTGAGCATAAGGCTTACTTCAACTCTTCGAAAACCTGTTGAGCTATTTTTGACCACATGAAAATATTTTTTTTAGAAGTTGAGTGAGTGGTCAAACTATCTTCATGTAATCCTCTACAAAATACATATAATTCAACCAGACCTAAAAATCATTACAACTACCTTTAGTTTATTGGAGGGAGAGCAAGTTTGTACATCTTAGACTTTGTTGTGGTTGATCATCACCCTACCTGTTGATATCCAATGTCTCAAATATTCTAGCTGCCCTTGATAGAAAGAGCACTTTTTAAAGTTGATTGTTAGCTGATGGTCTCAAAGAAGTGCTAATATGATCTGGAGGTGAGCCCCATAATTAGTCGATGATTGGTTGAAATTAGGATATCGTCAAAGAAGACCAAAACGGAATGTCGTCAGTATAGCTAGAAAATGAGATTCATTAAGGCCTGAAATGTAGAAGGTTCATTAGTCAATGCAAATGACATCTCCGGGTACTCATAGTGACCTTTGTGCAACCAGAATGCAATTTTCCAGATGTCCTCCCTATACATGTGGATTTAGTGATACCCCAACTTAAGGTCCAATTTGGAGAAGAGGGTGGCACTGTGGAGTTCCTCCAATAACTCATTGACAACCAGGATGGGAAAACAGTTGGGGACAGTGAGCTTGTTTAGGCTGTGGTAGTCCGCGTAAAAATGCCACAAGTCATCTTTCTTCTCCACTAGGAGGGCTGGGCTAACAAAGGGGCTGTAAGAGGGTTGAATAATCTTGTGCACCAATTACTCCACTACTAGCTGCTCTAGGACATTCTTATAGGGATGTGAGTATCGATACAGCCGCTAGTTCACTAGTGCCAAGTCCGATTGCAAGATGATGGCATGGTCGAGGGCCTTGGGTGGTGGAAAGATAAATTTGTCGGAGAAAACCTCGAGGAAGTCATACCATAAGGCCCAAGGGTTGCTCCATGGGCCTCAGTCGCTAGCGCCAACATTGTCAACACTGACGTATAGTAGAGTTCTCCTGTACTGGCCATCTTCATGAGGCATGTGGCTTTCCCCTGCCATGGTCGCTTGCTCGTCGATGGTTCCCCCCAGCAGCGTGTGGTTCATACTGTCTACACAGAAATAGAGCAGGAGGAGGTCGTAGTTGATGGTGATCCACCTTAGTGTCCGAAGTCACTCGACTCCCAAGAAGATTTTTATGCTGATGTTGTCCAATTGGAGAAAGTCATGTGTGACTATGTACCCCTGGATCAGCACCTGCACATCACAACACACCCTATCATCGAAGGTTGTTCGGTTGTCGTTCAAGGTGATGTGGTATGATTGGGTCCCGGTCATTGGCAATTGCAAGCGAGCAGTGAGTTGTCGGCATATATAGTTGTGTGAAGCCCTGCCATTCACCATGACTGCCACCTCGCAGCCGTAGATGCTCCCTTTCATCTTGAGGGTGCCAATTGACGAAACACCCAAGATGGCGTGCAACGAGATGTCCGTGCCTTTGAAGTCATCTTTTGGATCCGGCAGCTCATCGGCCTTGAATGGTGTCCTCCTCATCACCAACCCGTGTCTCACCGTTGTCATCGTAGATGACTATGAGGTTGAGCTCCCTCTTGCAACAATGGCCTAGAGTGAACTTCTCATCATAGGAGAAACATAGTCCTTGTGCCTTTCGCCGTTGGAACTCAATGTCCGTGAGGGTCAAGCACCTCACGGTCCATGTGGGCCAAGAAACCCGCTAATCTCTTCAAATTAGATGATCAGCTCTTTGACTATGCCCATCTGCTTTAGAGCCATCTGTTAGGCCAGGGGACGGTCGTAGAAGGACCAAACCATTATGAGAACTGCTTGGTGAAGTCACGCCAAACCGTGAACCCTTCAATGTGGCTCTAGTAAGGGAACCACGATTATGTCGTACCCTCGAGATGTGTCATGACGAGATGCAGCTGGTCTCGTTCCTCGGTGGGGTTGAGCTCGAAGAATCGGTCGGCACGCATGAGCCACTAATCGGGGTCACCTCCCAAAAATATGGGCTGCTCTCCCTTGCGATGCAGGCATGCTTCACGCCGAGGGTCGCGAGGGCCCATGTTGTGCTCGCTGCCAGAATCCTCTTCATAGCCTCCCTAATGTTCCTCCCATTACGCATACCCCATCAGATCCCTAGGAAGAGGTCTAATGTGATGTAAAGGTGGGCGTTCCTCAGCACCACGACCCCCCACCCCCCGCCCCCCCCCCGATCCCATGGTTCGTCGTCGTGGAGATGCGGTGGACATGGGGCATGATGGTCTTCCAAGCCTTGGACCCGCACCAAAGGAGGGCCCTCCTCTTGCTCATGGAGTCGCTGGGCCGGTGTCAGGTGAGGAACTTTGGGTGGAGATGGGCCGTGGTCCCGCAAAGGCAAGGCCGGGGCCATGTCTGCCTTAGGGTTACTGGTGGTAACCCATCTCATGTCGGGACCAGTTTGATTTCCCACCACCCGAATGTGGTTACATCGCGATGCGGAAGGCTCGCCAACATGACTCTCGGATATAGAGCGGTATGGAGGCACTTGGGAAGATGTCCCATCGGGTATGGTGGTATAATCATCTGAAATGGGGGTATGGCAGTGCTCTAGAAGACGTCCCATCGATTATGGCCAATGCCGATATGTGGGGTCGCGACGGGGGCAGCAGTGCCGAGATGGGCAGAGGGAGAAGGCCCAAGGAGGGGCGGGGTTGTGACGGGTCCCTAGACTCTAAGGTCTTGGACCGGCGCTGCTCGGTGTGGTGTGTGGTCAACCGGGACGTCGATGCACTAGAGGCACTGTGGGAGCGCAACAAGTGGCTCCTGGAGGATCCCCTAGACACGACAACATGGGAGGCCAGAGTGGCAAGGGAGGCTTGGACGTCGGTGAGCTGGGTGGCAACCACCTGGACTGCAGCTGAGTTCGTGGCTTGAGAGGCAGCTATGTGGTCTGCCTTCGCTTAGTCTGCAGCTGCAGCTTGGGCAGCAGATACTTGGTCAGCCACCAGGGCCCAGATCATGTCTTTGATCTTGGTGGCAGACTAGTCCATGAGGGCAGCTTTGGAATGTGTGATCATGCCACAACAATGGTGGGAGGATGGCTCTGATACCAAATGATGGAGTCCCTATGAACTCCACCGAAAATCCAAATGGTTTCTCATAAACAGAGAGGAAGCGAAAGGGAATATAGGTGAGAAGGGAGATCCAAGGGATAAGAGGGGTCAAAGGGAGGGCCACTAGAGCTCTGCGATGTCACCAGCGAGAAGGACCTGGATGGAACAAGAGGATAGGATGGGTCATGAATTTCTTTATTGGGAAGGAGAGATAGAGATGTTATTACGTACTAGTTTCTACCTCTCAATCAATCCTTAGTTCTAATATTTATACCAACTAGGTATGCCATTAGTGGGCCCCTCGTTTTTGAGCTGGTGTTTGGACTTATTTGGCCGACACCTAACATATCACACTGTTGGTATGTCATCATATAGCCACACCCCTTTTGGACCCTGTGTATAATTTTTTATGCCTCAATCTGTCCTTTCTCATGTTTGGGGTATTTGAGATTTAACATTCTATGTTCATTCTTCTCACTTTGGTAAATTCATAGAAATTAATCTCCATGGAATAAAATTTTAAATTTAAATCCATGTTCTTGATAAATTTAGATACATTCTCAAGGTGATAAATTTTAGAAAAAGGTTAGAAAATATTAGTAATTAAATCCATAAATTACATGATGTAGATATAACTAAGTTAAAAGTCATTTATACATATCTTTTGACCTTTGCTCTAATATGATGAGATATAGTAATTCATACTTATTACGATTCATTAATGCAAAAATCAGTTAATTAATTAATTAATTAATAGTGATAAATAAATATTTATCAATACAACTCAAAATACCTTTTCAAAGAGTGATCAACAAATGAAGGTCAAAGTTAGGTGGTGATGACATACTTGAGGATAGAGTTGAGGTTGGAGTAGGCAAAGGTAATGAGTCTAGGTCTAATGATTCAATGAGCTTTGAGTCTGATAACTCCTCCAAAAGGGGTAGTGTTAATGAAGTGATAGTGACGGTAAAAGAGGTGAAAGAGGTTTGTGAGTGATATAAGTAGTAGAGAATAACCAAGTGTCCTCAAAGAATGTGATATCAATAGAGACAATGTATTGTTGACAATCTCAAAGGCATATGTAGTAATCCTTCTAAATGCAAGAGTAACCAACAAAGACCTTCATGGTGGAAGATAAAAGAGATCCATATGAAGATGAAGATGAAGATGACGAAGTGAGACTTCTCCTCCAAAGGGCAAAGAAGAAAGTCGATTGAGTAGGTAAATAATTGTAAGAATAGTGTTAGACCATAGGTAGTGAGGGACTCCCATCTCTACTAATAATGTTTGGGTCACATTGAGAAGGTAACAATTTTGTGCTTAGCTACTCTATTTCGTTGAGAAGTGTGAGGACAAGATATTTGGTGGAGAATGTATAAAGATGTGTAGTGATCTTGGAAGGGACCTTGAATGAATTTGAGAATGTTATTCGTTCAAAAAAAATTAGAGTCAAATAGTACCAAGTAGTAACTTCACAAAAAAATTATCAAATAATATGAAGTACCTCAATACAATCTTTGAGTAGATAAACCAATGAGACAAGGAAGTAATCATTCATAAAGACAATGTAATAATAATAGTTGACAATTGTAAATTAGTAGTTACATCTATGTATTAATATCTTATATATAGATACTAATTGATGAGTAGATAATACAACTATACATATGTTATTGACTCATTATGACATTCATAATGTTTTATCTTAAGTCCTAATATATATATATATATGTTGTATTATGAGACTAACCTCACTTAACTTTTATGAAGTCAAGTGGTAATTCTCTCACATTTTCTTGATAATTATTTAGTTGTAAAGACTTAAGGGAGCTCTTATTATGAGTTAAGGTCAACTTAATAAATTTTTTGGCTTAAGAGAGGGCGTTAGTTTGACCTAACACCTTGGGATTTAAAAAAACTATCAAGAGATGAGATCTAGGCCATTTATCTTAAGGCACCTTAAGATGAGATTAAGAGAAAGATTAGAGTGACACCCTCATGGAATGATCTAGGTTGTCTACTAAGAGAGTCGGTTATTAATCATAACTGTCTATTTGAAGGGCTTAATTCTGGAGAAGATTAAGACATTTCACCCCCTTCTTGAAGGACACTTTTTGATTCTCTCTCTAGTAGTGGCTAGTCAAAGAAAATAAGAGGAAAATCAAAACCTGGTCAATGGTATTCTTGTGCCCAAGATCATCATGGAGAAGAGATTACTTAGAGCGCATCAAGATCATCATGGATCAAGTATTACTCGGCCTAAGACTGGTGCACAACGAGATTTGTGCAAGATCTAAATTTGGGACGTCCTTGTAATCCTCTCTATGAATAGATTAATTTTTAAATCAAACTAATTTTACTATTTATTTTATTATTCAATTATGTTAAATCTATTCTCTCTTATTTGTTATATTTTTTATAACTCTTGTCTTCACCTCTTTTACATTTAGTTCTACCTTTTACAATCACATATATATATAAGAAATAAAATAGGTAGAATTCTTACTCTCATTACCTACGCTCCTTAAGGATTGACCCTTATCATAAATAAAAGAGTGAGGTTTTATAAATATTATTTACATAAGTTTGATTACATCATGATGACATATTCAACCTCTAATTCAAGTTCATTAATAGCCAAGGAGAGAAGTGGTATGAAAATGACTCACACATCATAATTAATTAAGTCAAAAAGTTTGAGACTTTTAACATAATTGAGACGTTTGTAAGTAGCCCTATAGCACTTACCTAATTGACATAATTTACACAAAAAAGGAGAGATAAAAGTCCAAAGGAGGGTTTTCGGAGTTTGGAGAGTCTGAGGTGGCCAAGTCTGTGATGCCAAAAGATGGAGGAGTCAACACAGGTTACAATAGAGGCAAGTCCTAAGAGAAGATGATCAAGAATGAGTTCATAGATGCCATGCCCATTCCTATGGCCCAAACCAATCCTCTTCCTCGTCCTCAAGTCTTAAAATATGCAATAAAAGAGAAAGAATTTACTGAGCAGTGGAGAACCTAAGTAATGACACTAATTGATAAGAGATTCATGAGAAAATTGAAAACATATAAAGCATCACTTAAATGAAGGTGAGAGGTGAGATGAGTCATATCTTGCCCCTTTATAGGACAAGTGCATCCACCCTCAATAGCAATTGAGTGAGGGTCATAAAGTATAGATAGGCAAGAGAAATGGTAGATGTATTTGACATATGAGCCGATGTTCCCAAGTTTATAATCCAAGAGGTTGAATTTGAGACAAGTAGAGTGGTAATACTTGAAGTGGAAGTCATAACATGGGTGGCAAGATGACTCGTTGATATAGCCTCTTTATACTTCATCTAATCATCATATTCTGCTCGAGATAGAGATATATTAGAATTATTAGATAATGTCGAGTAGGCTGCAGTCCAAGCCCAATCATCTGGCTTGCCAAACTTATCCATGCACTTGTCTAAGTAGTGGTTGATCTACTTGTAATGCTTGCATAAAGGTAGACAACCCCAACCACTCGAGATGCATCCTTCATTGTGTCCATGGCCACGCCAGTTATCTCGGCCACGTCCTTTCCCCCTTCCGCCCATAGTGACCATGGCAAATGAGTTAGGGATGACCAGAGTGGAAGTAGGAGTTTGGATGGTAGACACATGTACAGACTTTGAAAAAGTCATTACAAGGGAGGTAGGATGTCATCGGTGAGGACTTGACCCTAAATTTGAGAAGTAGTGAAGGCCAAAGAGATAAACAACCACTACCAACTCTTCACGATATTTAACTTGTGTGGTCAAAATAGTGGTGAGAGGTTGATAGACCTTGAGTTTGTTCATAAGTAAATTGAGTTTTGCATAATAATCTTGAATTGTCATCTCACCTTACTTAAGTTTAAAGACTTGTTCATAGACTTCCACTATACAAGAAATATTCTTTTGATTTTCATATATATATTCTAAGGTTTTCCAAACTTGTTTGATTGGGGTAATAAGAGCGAGTGAATGGGCAATAAAAGAGGTGATGCTCTTAAGCATCTAAGAAATGATGACCGAGTCTATATACACCATTCGTCATATTTGCTGCTTTTCTCTTCGGGAGAATCCTTGGTGAGAGATGGCAACTTTCATGTGACTGAAAGAAGTACTTGAAGCTTACCACCTAAAATATATAATTTGTCCTATCAAATACTTCCACAAGACTAATGAGTTGTGTCATGAAGGTATTTAAGAGAGGGGTGGAGGGCACTGAGTTAGCCATGGGGATGAAAGACTAATTAGGTGACAAACTGTAGTGTCCCCAATTGAGGAGATATTGACATCAACACATGTATGGTGTGGGCCGTACAGTGCCCAATGTGGTGAGGTGGCATGTTGGCAGAGCTGGTGTGTGCCTTGCTGGTGAGTTGGGTGCATAGCATGCAAAACATATGCCATTGGAGGAGATAGGGGCTGACAAGGTTGTACAATGAGAGAGGGCCGACAAAGAATGTGTGTGAGAGAGGAGGAGGCATAGGATGAGAGAGGGAGCTGGTGGTGTGCCCAAGCTCTAATACCATGTGAATCATAAAGAGAGAATGAGGAGCGAGAGTCCTCTACCCTATTTATATATAGGGAGAGAGAGAGTACAGTATGTCTATTAGGTGCATACAGCCCATAAAGCACACACTTAGTATGTTATTTTGTTAATTTGAACTTGAAAGTTTCTTTAGAAAATAACTCAACTCCTTTCACCACAACAAACTTGTGGTACCTTTGATTAACTGATTTATGCTTTGTTTAGGTGTTCATAACTTTATTTAGTGACCTTTGATTAACTAAACATTCTAGAAATATCTCTTTCATTAAATCCATCCAAGAATTGATATGATTTTGAATCATGGCAATTAAAATTTCTCTTAACTTCAAAAATGGAGGTACTTCAATGAAACATCAATATACCCACATATATATTAATTTATGGCTGCATCCTCTTTGAGATTCTTCTTGGGCATCATTTGAGAAAAATTCCTTCATTGTGTTAGACATTGGACATAACATGGCTCCAATCCTTTGCTTGTACGGTGGAACAAATTCAAAAGCATATATTCAGACATAATCAAAATTTATTGTGCTACAAGGAGCATGCAAGGAGCATGGAAAAAGAAATATTTTAATAAAATATTTTTTAACTCCAAGTATGGTTGGGAATTTAACCTTATTTTATTTAGATTTGCTTCATTATAATGCCAATTATTCTTAGTTTTCTACTATTGGTTGATAGTTATATACTTCCCATACCTGTATCCTTCCAACATTCACTGTAAAAATTTCATAGAATGTTATAAAAAAGATATTACAAGTTAATAATTTTAGGATCACAAATGGGTAATGATTTTTCCACAATTTGCACAAAGGACAAAGTTATGTATTTCAAATAAAGTTTAACTTAATAACGACCAACCATATAAATAAAGTTCAATTAAAGTTCAACATGGTACTAACTGAATCATTACAATAATAATTGACTTCCACATCTTTCCATTGGGATAATGAAATGAAAAAACTCAAGTTTTACCATATTGTATTTGAAAACTCAAGGCACATTCTAGTTATAAGCTTTAAATGTGTTAATATCATTGTCTTAAGTCAAGACAGAGTTATATTATTTCAAGCAATATAAATTATTTGGCTTTGATGCACCACCCTTGATCATATTTGTGTTCACGTAATCTAGAGGGCTGTTCATTTCAATAATTTGTACAACTTCATAATTTTATATAAAAGGTACCTACAAATTCTTATTGTCCAAAGCTTTCTGATTTCTACCATAATACCTAGAAAGTGGGGGAGAGGGATTTAAATGGCCCAATATAACAATTTCCTTATAATTTTGTAGTAAACCTGTTGGAGGTTATACAACTCTGATGAAGTCGTGCTTCCCTTCTGTAAAATATAACGGGTCGGATCCTGGTGTTGTCCAGATTCCCTTCTCGGTATTCCGAGCGGCCTTCACTAAGATACGCTTCTCTCTATGTAGACTATCATGCGCTGTTTCTTGACACGGAGACCCCTCGTCCTCTGCTACTCTTAGGCTTCCTCTCCCCTCCTTCCTTCAGTCCGCCGCCTGGCAGCGGAGGTAAGCGAAAGGGAGGGAATGTGCGTGTGGAATATGGAAACGGGGAGAGCGTGAGAGGGAGACTGAGGAGGCGAGGGGCGACATATAGCGATCGAGAGAGAGAGAGAGAGAGAGAGAGAGAGGGACTGCGGAAGGGCGAGCCAGAGGAACTCGTTAGGGCCAGACATGAGTGTGTGGAACTACGTTGTGACGGCTCACAAGCCGACCAACGTGACGCATTCCTGCGTCGGCAACTTTACCAACCCTCAGGAGCTTAATCTCATCATTGCGTAAGTTTTTTCTTTCCTGTCGCAATGGAGGAAGAGGACTTCCGTCCGATTTTGTTTTTTCTTGACCTTTGCTGCGATTACGCCTTCCTGAAGCGCTTGTCTCGTATCTTCTTGAGGTCTTCGGATCGTAGTTCTGCCTCTCCTTAATTACATGCTATGTCTTCTTCTGTTGGTCTTTTCAGTTCTTGCCTCGTTATGCTTATATGATAATGTGTACAAGGAAGAATTCCGTGGGCTTGTTTTTCGGTAGTTTTGATACTGTTGTGGGCTTTTCTTTGGGCAGTGAGAATTTCATTTTTTCCTGCTCTTCTGGTCTCTGTTCCTTGGTCCCTATGATTGTGAATTAGGCGTTTGGCAACTCGTGTAAATTTCGTCTGAGAGTTTGTTGCTGGATATTTCTATTTTTTCAGGAAATGCACTCGAATTGAAATCCACTTACTCACTCCGCAAGGTCTACAGGTACTTTTAAAGAACCTACTTTAATTTTTCTATTGTCCTTGTGTTTTCGAATTTATTTATTTTCCATAGTTTTTGGTTTCAACCTTAAAGAGAGTTTTTCTTCCTCTTCATTGTTGTTTATCTCTGTTAACTTTTTATGGTATTTCAGTTTATTATTCGCTTGCTGTCTCACTATCACTCTGTACTTTCATTACATTAAATATTTTATAAAGATAACTTATGGATTTTTACCACGTTAGCTTCTTATTTCTTCTGTAATAGGATCCTATTCACCATAGCACTCTCCATAGTATTCCTTTTTATACTCCTTTTTTGTTTCTCTTACAAGTTCCCATATTGGTGGCTTCCCTTTTGATGGGAATCAGAATGGAATTATATTGATGGGGACTTTATATTAGGTTCACGTTCAGGTTTAGTAATTACTACTGAAATACATAGTGTTGTTGTAACCAATAGACGGATGAAAGAGGAAAATGGGCAAAAGCAAATAGAAAAACAGGAAGGCAAGGCACTTTTTCCATGTCACCTTGCGCTTCGCATGGTCTACTAAATAAGCTTTGCAAGACTACCTAGTGTTCTCAAAACCAATAATATCTCTCCGAATTTTCTGCTTAAGGAAATATCAATAAGATCTTTTTCCCTTCTGTTTTTGGAGTGGCATCCTAAATTTAACTCTCAAAATCAGTCTTTGATTTATTAATTGATCTTTATTTAGCCTCTGACGACGGATATCATGTAGAATTTCTGCCCATCTCTGAGTGTTTAACTTTAAACTGGCTAATCGGACTCTTACTGCCAAATATTGTGACCATATTTGTCTCATGTTCTTACGTTCACAATGTTAGAGCTATTTCACTGGTTTATGATGGATGACTTTCATATTGATTATTCTGCTTTATCAATTTTTTCACTGTTATGCTAATTTATGAATTTTTTCTTTCAGCCTATGCTAGATGTTCCAATATATGGAAGAATTGCTACACTTGAGCTTTTTCGCCCTCATGTAAGAATAGTTGCATCTTTCTAGTTATTGTTTCCCATATTGTATAACCGCTATTATTTAATTGTGGAAGGTGCTTATTGTCATCTTTTATATTTGTTTCTGCCTGATTTGGGTGTCAGTTTTTTTGTCCTAATCATTCTGTTATCTTCTTGTTATGTCTTCCTCTAGGGGGAAGCACAAGATTTTCTGTTTATTGCAACAGAAAGATACAAATTTTGCGTTCTTCAATGGGATGGGGAGTCATCTGAGCTTATCACAAGGTAAGACCATGAAGTCATACGCAGTCTGCTATCTTTTTCGTATAAACTACACAACATTTTGATCCTAGTAACATGCTAAGTCTACTGGATGGACTCATGTCATTCTTTTTATTTTGTTCTTAACTTGGTTGACATATCATTGTTTGACATGCAGGGCTATGGGAGATGTTTCAGATCGTATAGGTCGCCCAACTGACAATGGACAGGTATCTTTTCTTTTTTTCTATTGCATTTTATTATTTTCCGTCATCCAATCATAGTCGTTGACATGCCAGTAGCGTATGGTTATTCCACCCAAGTTTTATGTAATTGCTTGTTTTGGCACTTGTGGGAAAGGGCACTGGATGTCCAAAATCTTTCCTCAAAGCATTAATACTTTGATGGAAATAATATTATGTTCAGCAAAATTGAATGTCATTTTGAAAACAGACGAGCTCTGTTACTCTACTGTCTCTTTTACTTTTACTATTTTCCCGAATTCATTTGGATTCAAAATAATATGATTCTGGAGTTTTTTCTTATAAAACACTTTGCATGTATCAATTCCCACTTAACTCTTAAGTATCTTTACTACTGGTGCCTGCATGGAGCCATCACCTTTGGGCTAATAAAGGACATGTGAAGTGTTATGTTACTATCATGTGAACAACAATTCACATACTTGAACGTGGAATAAATTAATTATGTTGGGCTCAAGATGACTGGGACGTACGCTTGGAGAATATTTTCTTGGATATTTGTCGTATAGGCCACAGATGTTTTCAAAGATGAAATCATGAGAAACAGCTTCCTTTAGATTGTTTATTTATGCCCGTTTTTATCCATGCTATTGATATCATCTTCATTTGATGTCTGTAGATTGGCATAATTGATCCAGAATGTAGATTAATTGGCCTTCATCTGTATGATGGCTTATTCAAGGTAACTAGTATCAGTCAGTTTTTCTCTATAGAATATTTCCATTTTAATCATTAGAAGTTCTTGAACGATCTTATAGTGACCGGAAATTTGTTCTACTCTCAGGTTATACCCTTCGACAACAAGGGACAGCTAAAAGAGGCATTTAATATCAGGTTGCTTTCTACACATTTTTCTTGCTCAGTGTGCTGGAAATCTTCTGCATGTAGATCTGTAGGACTGCATGGTGATTGTAGACATTGTATTGCAACTAATACTCGAGCTGAAAAAAAATCTTCTGGTGCCTACTGTGGCAGGCTGTTCTTTAAGGTTATATGAACGTGAAATTAAGAAAACTCCAAGAAAGTCAGTATGGCCAAGTTGCTGTTTGGCTTATGTTTTTATCTTAAGTTGGATTGGGTGTTTAAATTTTGCTGTATTGGCAGATCCAGGTATTCTTAGATACTGTCTGGATGGCCCCTTTGTTCTGCTGGACCAAGTTGACCTGTGTATGAATTCGCTGATTTATGTTTGATTGGCCAGGTTCTGGCTGATCTCGTCCAGTTTTGTCCATTTTGGCTTGGTTTTTATAGCTCATTAATCAGAATCTCCCTCCAAGCTGGGTCAGGTGTGGCCAATTCTAAGTACCGATTTTTCCCTGCCCCACAAATCTCTGTTATTGTGGAACTATACGTTACTGTGGCTCCACAGAAAAGTGTCATGCATAGGAATCATATTTTCTGTGCACACTTGGATGTGGAATTATGCTTTGCCTGCCCCATGAAGCTCTGTTATTGTGGAACTACACTGGCTGATTTCCCACATGTCTGTGGTCTACAGACAATGTCATGCATATGAATCATATTTTCTGGGTGTACTTAGATGTCCTTCTTCTGGCTTGTGAATTCATTCAATGTGTTTTTGAACATGCACATACCTGTTTCTGGCCAACATTTCTAGGAGTAGGATTACTCTTAGATGTAAATTGATTGGAAGCATCATGTCATGTATAGCTTCCTTTGATGTGGCATTCCTGCCACTTCCCTACTGGAATCCTTATTTACCATTAATCATGTTATCTTTGATTCAGGCTTGAAGAGCTTCAAGTGTTGGATATCAAATTCCTCTATGGTTGCTTGAGGCCAACAATTGTAGTCCTTTACCAGGTGTGTATGCATTATGATGTACTTTCCAGAAATAGGATCTCAGAGGAAATGTTTAGCAGAGAATTAATGGCTTTTAGGATCAGGATTTTACATCGAAGACAAATTTTTCATTTCTGAAAGTGCCTCATGCCCATTAAATCTGTGAGAGAAATAAATACACTGCTTTTAAATATGCTCCCCCTTCTCGCTGGTACAGTTATAGGTAGCCGATGTTATGAATATTAGTGATCTGAAGTGGTGGAAATCAAAATTCATGGCTCCCTTGCCTACACAAACTCGAAGCCAACCCTTCACCCAATTATAGCCTTTCAATATATTCTTCTTGGTTGTTTATCCGTTGAAAATGGTACAATAGCTATACGCAGGATGATATATGGCTTCTTGCAGTCCTCTCTAATTGCCCAAAATTGGTTCCAGCTTATCCCACATCTTTCATTACTCCAGAAGGGTGCCCTTATACATGTGTAGCATCTGAGAGCTTCTACCAGGTCTCTCTTGAGAACGCTTAGAACTATGTGATCCACAGACTCTCCTCCACATAGACAATAGGAACCACTGATATACATAATGATCTGAGGATTCCTCTTTCCATGAACTAAAATAGTTATTGATAGTGTGCATGTAAAGACCTATCTCATCACTTGTTGGAAGTGATTCCCGTGAAAGCCAAATCCTCAAATCAAAAGGCTCAGAAGAGGTGAAAGTGAAGTGAGCTGCGATAGCTTTGTTCTACTTGTAACATGATTACTGTAGACAGGGAAGGTGGACACGTGACGGAGGAAATGGGGAAGATGATATAGGGTCACAGTTAAATTAGTATATCCTGTTGTTCCATATGGAAGAGACAAGCATGAGATGATGCATCAGGTTTTGGAGGTTCCATCACCCTACAAAAGTGAAGATTTTGATACAATGAGTTTCAGTTAGAAATTTCCGTCATGCTGTATAAGCCAGACAAACAAAACGTGTGCAATGAGGTGCTGGATCAGGGCTCAAATGTCATAATATTTTGAAGTGCTCCTCATCTTGTCGGTGTTAAGTAAAGATGATGCTACCATCAGCTATTTCGCTATTCGCTTTTGTTGTGTTATCTGTCCTCCATGGGATTTTTCCCTTTGGCGTATCAGATTAAATAACTCACCATGTTTGGAGCTTCATGACTTCGCAGGATAATAAAGATGCACGCCATGTTAAGACATATGAGGTTTCTTTGAAGGACAAAGACTTTGCCGAAGGCCCCTGGCAGCAAGCTAATGTTGATAATGGAGCTGGTCTGCTGATACCTGTTCCTATGCCACTTGGTGGTGTTATCATAATTGGAGAGGAGACAATTGTATACTGTAGTGCTACTGCATTTAAAGCCATCCCAACAAAACCAGTAAATGCAAATTCACTCTGGCATATCTGACTTTGTATTTTGGCTTTTTGATTTAATAATCTTGCTTCTTGTTAACATTCCCTGCAATCTTCTTAATTAGTCAATAACTAGAGCCTATGGAAAGGTGGATGCGGATGGTTCTCGATACTTGCTTGGTGATAATTCGGGAGCTCTAAGATTGCTTGTTATCATTCATGAGAAGGAAAGGTAAAAGTGTTCTCCTCTCGTTTGTTAGTCATCACACTGTTCTAGTGTGTTTACATTGAATTTTTTAAGTCTTATCCTGTAGACCTTTTTTATGATTGCCATTTACTGAGAATATCCTTCCATCTGGATATTTTGTAGGGTAACTGGCCTTAGAATTGAGCAGTTGGGTGAGACATCTGTTGCGTCAACTATATCTTATCTTGACAATGCTGTCGTGTATATTGGTTCTAGTTATGGAGATTCGCAGGTACGCTTTCGACTTGGCCGTCCCTTTATGGTATCCATGGGAGTTTTAATATCATTTTTCATTTTCCGTCATTTTTAAGAATAAATTAAAGTTATGCTGATTCCATTTCCTTCACAGCTAATAAAATTGAATATGCAACCTGATGTGAAAGGTTCATATGTTGAAGTCCTTGAGAGATATGTTAACCTTGGGCCAATCGTTGACTTTTGTGTCGTGGACCTTGAGAGACAAGGCCAGGGTCAGGTTGTGACTTGTTCTGGAGCATACAAAGATGGTTCTCTGCGGGTTGTTCGTAACGGAATAGGGATTAATGAGCAGGTTTTCTTCATTAACTTCTACATTTACAACTCCATGTTTCTTTTTCTAATTATTTTATTTATTGGAGGTTTTTGATTACTTGTGCATTGATCTCTAGGCATCTGTGGAGCTGCAAGGCATCAAGGGATTATGGTCTCTGCGACCCTCAACCAATGATCTGCATGATACCTTCCTTGTTGTGAGTTTTATCAGCGAGACACGTATACTTGCAATGAATCTTGATGATGAACTAGAAGAAACGGAAATTGAAGGCTTTTATGCACATGCACAAACATTGTTTTGTCAGAACGCTGTACACGATCAATTTGTCCAAGTGAGCTTCTTCATCATTCCTTTTTTAATCCATGGTTGCTAGTTTTTCGATTTTAATCTTTCCTTTTAGTTCAAAATTTTCAGTTTATTGCAAATTTAGTTGGTGTCTGCGTGGATTATCTTATGCTTATAAATGTCTTTCTAGTTGAACTTTTGTTATCCTTTATGATCCTCACAGTCATATAGTTGTCATTTTCCCATTAGTGGTCTCTTTATGTAGAATAATTTTTTTGGTTTCTGTTTGATCATTACTGTACCTTTGTTGGTGATATATGACGCAAACCATAGAACAAACCATAGAACAATTGTTGATGATACAAGAGTAAATAGTCAGGGAAGATCTCTTCATCTCAAATCATAGAACAATTCATAGTTTTATGCAATTTCCCTGGTCACAAAAAAAGACACTACTTAGAAGGAAACTGACCAAAAAGGAAACTGCCTAGGTGAAGGAAACTGGCCAACTAGGAAACTAAGAAACAAGGAAACTGACAAACTAGGAAGTTGTCCATCTTGGAAGCTGACCAACATAATCAAACTCCAATTACACATTTTTCCCACACTCTCCCTCAACGTGGTGAATAGACATTTTCCATTCTTATCTTGGATACAATACTCTGAAATATTGAACTAAATCCCTTAGAAAGTACATCCACAAGATGGCTGTGTAGACACAAGGTGTACAAATCAGTCCACTCTCCAACTTCTCCTTGATTAAGTGTCTATCAATCTTGATGTGTTTTGTTTGATCGTTTTGTATTGGCTTGTGAGGTATGCTAATTGCAAACTTTTTGTCATAAGAAAGTCTCGTTAGGACACCCACAATCTTAAGTCTTCTAAGATCATCTTTAGCCAAAGTAGTTCATATACCTTGAACCATTTGCTTGGAATTCAGCTTTTGCACTAGACTTGCTACCACATTTTGTTGTTTCTTACCTTTCCACATCACAAGATTACCACAAAAAAGGGTGCAATATCTGGAAGTTGATCTCCAGTCAACCACTAACCCTTCATAATCAACATTTGTGTATGTCTCAAGTACCAACCCTCCATTTTTTCTAAATATAATATATATTTCGTAGTGTTTTTTTGAGATATTGTAGCGCTTGATGAGCTGCCTACAGATGGATTTCCTTTTGACTGCATGAACTAGCTAATCATATTGTGTATCTCTATCTGGTCCTATATGACAAATAAATGAGTCTTCATACTGAGCCTTGACATTTCCCTCTCTATCACAGCATTCTTCCCTGTCTTTTCAAATTTTAAGATTCTGATCTATTGGAATACTTGCTAGTTTGCATGCGGTTTTGCCTACTTTCCTAAGAAAATTCGTAACATACTTTTGCTGGGAGATGAAAATGCCCTCCCTCAGGTGCTACTTCAATCCTAAGGAAGTATTTCAGCCTCCCTAAGGTTTTAATCTCAAACTCCTTAGCCAAACACTAACTTAGATATTGTCTCTCTTTCTCTTTTTTCCCAAACATTGTTACGTCATTAACATATACCAAGTTTGCTGTGACTCCCCTTGAGAATGAATAGTGTGTGATTGCTTTGGTTTTGTCTGTATCTCATTTCAATCACAACACTTGCAAATCTATCATACCATACCAAGGTGATTGCTCAAGTCCTTAAATACGTTTTTCAATCTACACACCATATGAGTGGCCAATCTATTCTCATAACCTGGTGGAACTTTCATATAATTTTTTTTTTCTAGTTCACCTTGTAAAAATGCATTTTTAACATTAAATGTTGCAATTCAAGGCATAATTAGTTGTAATGACAAGAAGATTTCAAAAATATTTTTTAATAATTCTTGAAGGAGAAATGACACTTCCAAACCCTAATCAATGGACCCTAGTATTTATGCTATGGTCCTAATAGACATATGTGGGCCACTTTGGCCCAAACTACTATATGGGCTAACTTGGCCCATACTAGATAATAACATAACTTGAATAACCTCCCTCAAGCTGGAGCCTATATATCATAAGCTCCTAACTTGTTACAAAGAAATTTCCCCTATGACTGTTTAGTGACTTGGTAAACACATTAACAAGTTGATCCCTAGAGATAACATTCACATTAGTGATGAACTGTGCTTGGATCTCTCTGATGAAGAGACAATCAACTTCAGTATATTTTGTCCTCTCAGAGAATACAAGATTAGAGCCAATATGAATCATTGCTTGATTATCACATTTCAGTTTTATAGGACTTGGATGAGAGAAGCCCAATTCCTCAAGATGTCTGACCCATTAAGTTCACATGTAGTGTGTCCCATTGCCTTGATTGTGAGACCACATATTGTTTCTTACTCTTCTAAGAAACAAGATTGCCACCAACAAAGATATAATATCCAGTTAAAGATTATTTGTGTGGACTGTAGCCAGCCCAATCTACATCTGAAAAACGTTGGACAGTGATATAATCGCTATTCTTGTGTAGTAGTCCACTTGGATTTCTTTTGAGATATCTCAGGATCCACGTAACTCCATCCAGGTGTTTTCTGTGTGGTCGTTTTATGAATTGACTCACCACATTAATAGCAAAAGAAATATATGGTCAAGTAATGGTCATATAATTTATGTTACCAATTGGACATCTATATCTCCCTTAGATTCTCCAGCACGTCACCTTTGTCAAATGATAATTTTAAATTAGGGTCCATGGGAGTGGTACTTGTTCTCGTACTTAACATGCATGCCTTTATAAGAAGATCAAGAATGTACTTTCGTTAATTGTTTGTAATTTCTTCCTTAAATCAGACAAATCTCAATCCCCATAAAGTATTTAAGACTGTCAAAATCTTTAGTTGCAAATTGTCTTAGTAAGAACCACTTGAGTTTAAAAGTGCCTTTGTGATCATCTCCAGGATAACGATGTTGTCGACATAAATGATCAAACATAATACAACCAGTGGAAGAATGTTTATAAAAAACAAAATGGCCAACCCTACATTTGTGAAGGTCAAACTTCAATACAAAACTACTGAATAGACTACCCCATTTGGAAATTGCTTCAAACCATAAAGAGATTTTTGTAAGTTGCAAAACCAGACTAGACTCTCCCGAAGCAACAAAACTAAGTGGTTGTTTCATATAAAACTCCTCCTATAAGTCACCATAAAGAAATACATTCTTGATATCTAGTTGATGTAAAGTGAAGATAATCGTATAACCACTACTAAAAAGTTCTTTACTAAAACAATTCTGACAATTGAATAGAATGTCTCAGAATAATCTTCACCATATATTTGAGTGAATCCTTTGGCCACTAAACGGTCTTTCAATCTATCCATAAATTCATTTGGACCAACTTTGACATTGAAGACTCATTTGCATCCAGCCACAAATTTACTAGGTGATGGTGGAACCAAACACCATGTACCATTCTAAGTTATGTAGAGGCATTTTTGGATAAACCGTCAGACATAAAATTGATTGGTTGCCGATTGAGTACTTCAGTAAGTTGGACAAATTTGGAGAGCTCTTTGCCATGTATATACATGTGTGATAGGAGGTTGACTAGTAGACTCAACATGACTGTCAACTATTGGATCAACTGTAGGAATGGACTCAACAGTAATTGGTAGAGGTAGAGATTATTCTAGTGACATGGTTGGCGAAAACTCATCAAAGAAAAATGTACCCTTAAAGAATGTAACGTCAACAGAGACAATACCTATTTTAAACACGAGAATATCCTAAGAAGATACACTTCATAGATTTGGGATGAACTTTATCTTGACCAATTCTAAGTTTTTGTACAAAACATACACCTCCAGATATTTTAGGTGGAATATTGAATAATGGCTCTCTTGGATGAAGGAGAGTAAGGAACTTTATTGTCTAACACAAAGGATGATGTCCGGTTGATCAAATGAGGGGCTATGAGTTCAACATGTGCCTAGAATTCCGTGGGAACATACATATGTAGTAGAAGTGTGCACACAGTTTTAATGATATGTCTATGCTTCCTTTCAACAACTCTATTTTGTTGAGTATCATGACATGATGAATGATGAAGTATCCCATAATGGGTTAGGTATTGTATAGAAGTGTTGAAATATTTTTTTGTATTGTTTGAACGTACTACTTAAATGGTTTTCCCAAATTGGTTTTTAATTTCAATGCAAATGAGCAAAAGATAAAAATAACTCAAATCTATCCTTCATGAGATATAGTCATATAACACGTGAATAATCATCAATATAGGTAACAAAGTATTTGAAACCAAATTTAGATGTGACACGACTAGGACACTATACATCTAAATGTACTAAATCAACCATTGATTTTACTTGATTATAGGTTTGTGACCCAGTACTAAAACGTTGGTATTTTCCCTACTGACATGACTCATATTCTAATATTTCCGACCCAGGAAGATTAAGAGCTAATAACTTGAGCTTTTTAAGAGATGCATGACAGAACTGACTATGAATTTAAAGTGGTGAAGTAACAACACACGAGATGGGAGAAGTTTTACCCACACGAGATGGGAGAAGTTTTACCCAAATAATACAACCCTCTGTGCTCATCGTTCTCCAATCGTCTTCCACATCTTCAGGTCCTGAATGAAATAGGAGTGAGGAAGAAAGGTTAGAATAGTTTGAAGAGCACGGATGAGTTTACTAATAGAAACAAGCTTGAAAGGAAACTTGGGTACATAAAAAACTGATTTTAGAGATAATTCAGGTGATGGGAACATCATCCTTTAACCTTTGACAAATGTTGTAGATCCACTAATTAGAATAATGTTGGGAAGACCAGGATGATTAGAATAGGATGTAAACCTACCAGATATACTTGTTATATGATCCAGTGGCACCTGGGTCAAGGATTTAGGATGATGATTCACTTGTGGATGTATGAGATGCCTAAGAGAGGCGAGCAATGTACCCAATTTGAACAAGAGATGCAATTGCCGATGATGTTTGTTGGACATCATGAGACTGAAGGATCTGAGTATACTTTTCATTTGACAAGACCATCTGGTGAGTGGTTCTAATCTCCCCCTCTTTTGAAGTAGCTAGATTAGATCTTAGCCCATATCTCTAGTATGATTTTTTTGACCACAATGGGTACATTCAAATCTCTGACAACCTCTAAAATTTCTACCTCCACCTCTCCCTCAGCCACACAAACACCATGACCATGACCATGGGAGGAGGTATCCACAACAACTTGAGTAGACACTAAAGCAATTGTATTGACAGGTGCTGACCCAATAGGTGCTAAAGTAGTATGTGTACCTTCTTGGTCTAGAAAGGCTCAAGAGATACATTGATAGGTCTCAACAAGAGATGGTAACTCACCTCTAGACAAAATCTGACTACAAACATAGGAAGGTACATATACTTGAAAAGTCACCCAGGAACTTAAAAATAGTCATTTGGTCGTGCTGCTTCTGCATTACTTGAACATCATTGGAGATAGGTAGTAATACATGAAGATCATCATTGAATCGAGTCACCTCAGCGAAATATTGGCTCAAAGTCTTAATCTCTTTTCTTCATCCCATAATATTCAATGGTCATATAGTACATCTATGAAATATTATTTGAATACATAATATTACCAATATTATGTTGACTACAAACATAGTACAAGATGGTCTCAGAAATTCTTACAAGTGCGATGATGACTTACCAAATCAACAATATTCGACTCTATTGAGTTTCGTAATATGTTGAGAAGGTTAGCATCTTGTTGCTCCCATTGCTCCATTTTGGCCAGGTCGAAGGGTGGTTCATCCATGAGGTGCTTAATCTTGCCTTGACCTTTGAAGTAGATCTTCAGATATTTGTTCCATTGAGTATAGTTTCGTTCATTCAATCTTCGAGTTATGATAATATGACTCTAGACTATTATTGTTGGCTGTGGAGCTTTGGAGTAAGAGTTAAGAGATTTTGATTCATTAGACAATTTTTTATTGAGTTGATCATTGATTGTTGCCAATGAGTTGACTGTTGACTAGCTCTTAACTCCTATGGAGAAGGCGCCTCTACATAGCTCCTGTTGAGTGGCCTGATTACATGAACTTTAGCGGCAACATGCTATGGGAGATTTTCTGATCTTAGTTAGAGAGAGATAGGGCACTCAAATGATGGTGTCGTATAGGAGGTGACGTCAAGCAAGGGGTGATGTCAGACAGAAGGCAACACCAAACAGGGGTCAACTACAGACAAGAGATGATGCTAGATGCTGAACAAGGGGGAATCCCAGATAGGGGCTGACACTGGACAAGGGGCAATGTCAGACAGGGGACGATGCCAAATAGGGGGCAACCATGGATAGGAGGCGATGCCAGACAGGGGGCAATGTTGGACTTAGGAAGAACTCTTTCTTCCACTGCTAGGGTTTCGAACTTGATTGCTCTGATACCATGTAAACACTTCTTGAAGGAGAAATGACACTTCCAAACCCTAATTGATGGACCCTAGTATCTATACTAGGCTCCTAACATATAAGTGGGTCACTTTGGCCCAAATTGCTATATGGGATAATACCATAACACTAACAATATTCATCTTTGCAGTTAGAGAAAACATCTCTATGTGTAATTGATCCCATAGGTTTGAGTATAGCCCTTGATTGTCAACATTGTTTTATCTCTTTATAGATCATATGCGTGATACTTCACTGTATAGCGCCCTATGTACAACCCATGGGTCTGTTTCCTATTGGCAGCCTTACTAATTCTCAAGTTGTGTTATTTTCTAGCACCTCCATCTCCACTTTCATTGTTTGCTAAAATATGATAAAATACAGATGGATTTTCCAGTTCTATCTTCAGGCTCATGACTTGATAGTGTCATTTCATATAAACTCTTCCATAGTGTGAAAATATATGATAGGATATTCATTTGAATTTTTTAACCCCATGTCTTTTGTTGAGTTGGCATCTGTTCTAATCATGATACCATGTTCCACATTTTGTTTTTATATTTGTTATAATTTTAAAATACTTAATTTGAATTGAATTAATTGCTCCCTCGTTTTTTCAGGTTACTGCGAATTCTGTTCGACTAGTCAGCTCTGCATCTCGTGAGTTGCTGGATGAGTGGAATGCACCTTCTGGCTTTTCTGTTAATGTTGCTACCGCTAATATTTCCCAGGTTCTATCCAAACCCTACCTGAAATTATCGAAATTATGCTTCTTTGTCATTCTCAGTTTAGATATATTATGTTGATTTAGTTCATAGTGTGAATGCTTTTGCATCACAAGATTGGCATCACATTGTCAAATAATGGCCACATAATTTCCTGGGTTTTAAAATTAATGCCTTTTGTGTATGTAATAAGAAGGCCCTATGTGAATTTTAATGACATAGCACACGTTATGAACCCAGTATTATAAAATATTTCCATGTGATTTTTAAACGCTGAATTGAAAGCATAATTTGCTAACTTGTTCCAAACCCAAGTACAATTGGGATTGGGTTTGTGGTGTGTTTGGTATGGGCCTTTGATCAATTTGGCTGGCCCATTTTGGAAATTGTGTTGATTCAGAACTGAATCAATCCAGCTCGTGTCCTGTGCTACCTCAGAAGCAACATTGTTATCAAATTCGAGTCAGCAACAGATATATTCATATCGGGTCGTTTTTACAAGGTTCAGGGAGTAGGAGAGCTGGAGGGAATCCTAGAAAATCCTTTAAATGCATTCCATGGCACCTGAGTCCTAGATCCCAGAAAAGATTCCCGAACTCTTAAAAAAATATATTACTAAATTGGCCTATATGATTACATCAGTGTATCTAATAGCTGGAGGGAATCCTCACTTTTGGTGGAGCACTTATTCTGTATCTTAGGTATGCAGACCGATTACTATTTGGCCAACATATCCGGTTCAATGTCCAATTCATCACGATGAAAATTAATAGAAAAATTACTCTTCATCTACTATATTTAGATGATGGAGAATGAGGTTCAAACCACCCTGAGCAACTCCTGTCATGTGACATTTTGAAATCTCAGTTTCAATGTTAGATCTCAGCAAGCTCCAGCTTGACTCATTGTGCAGGTTCGTCTGTCGCTATTGAACAAGTCAGATATGACCATTCTTGGGTGGATTGTTTGCACTTGAGTACCTTAATAGAGTTATACCCTTTCAACCCCCTCCTTCCTACTGGAGGTAACAAGCATAATTATTTTTCATGAGACACACTGATTCACAGTAATGCCTATTTTAGAGGGTCCATCAAATACTCTGTGACATTGTTTGTTCACCGTAGCCTTGATTTGACGTCAATGATTTAGGGACTTTGTGGTAGTGGATGGTGACATAGGCTTTTTCTAGAATATTGGCTGCAGTGGTCATCAAATACTCTGTGACATTGCTTCTATCGTGATCACATTGCCATTGCTGCCCCTCTGACTCAACGTGGAGAGCATCTGTTTTTAAAAACTGGTCCTTTATTTTGTACTTTTTCTTGTGTTGGTTGGCCTATCAATGCATGGTCTTAGATAACACGGTCAGATTAACCCAACTGGATTTGATTTGAAAGGATTCTCTCCATTTATATAGAATGAAGTAATAATTCCAGTTCTTTCTGTTTATCTGGATTCAAAAAGTTCTTTTTATCGGCTTTATATTATAGTGAAGATAGTGGCATCAACATCAAGGAATCTGTTTATAAACTAAGGTTCCTGTCGTATGCCTAACAGTTCACTCAGTTAAACCTGCACAGTCTAGTCTGCCCCAGCGGCTCTGCAGTACCAGTCATTTGACCCTAGGGTTTAGTTCTAGCTGAAACTCACCCCGCCAGATCTGCTTCAGTATCTAGCCAAACCTTGGACATCCATTGTCTTTGCACAAATCCATGTGTCCCAGGTGATGCTAAATTTCGTGAACTGTCCAGCCATCGGCAGGTGACCACTAAGCTTTTTTCCCCCTTCTTGATCAATTTCCTGCTCTCTGATGCTCGTGAAGCTAATTGGTGGAGCACAATCCAGATTCTGATAAATTTTTTTGTCAGAACTTTGAATAGGACTCTCAATTCACGTTCAATATTGTGCGACCTCTTTATCAGCATAAATCACATTTTCTTCAAGATTGGCCCTCTCCTTTGTCCATCTCTCAATTTTTTTATATGTGCCTGTACTGTTACGTAATTTATGTTTCAGGTTCTGTTGGCGACTGGCGGTGGTCATCTGGTTTATCTGGAAATTGGTAATGGAAAATTGACTGAAGTTAAACACATCCAACTGGAATATGAGGTGTCGTGTCTTGACATCAACCCAATCGGTGAAAACTCGAGCTACAGCTTTCTGGCGGCTGTTGGGATGTGGACGGACATCAGTGTGAGGATATTTTCTCTCCCGGCCCTGGATCTCGTCACAAAGGAGCACCTGGGTGGAGAGATCATCCCTCGGTCTGTTCTTTTGTGCAAATTCGAAGGAGTATGCTCTCTATCCACGTTGATCTCCTCTTGTCTCTTCTCCCTTTCTCTCAGTTATCAGAATGCATTCCACTGTCGTGATTCATTCTTCTTTCCGTACCACTGCACAGGTACCTTATTTGCTATGCGCCCTGGGAGACGGACATCTGTTTAATTTTCTGCTGAACACAGACACTGGGGAGCTCTGTGATCGGAAAAAGGTTTCCCTGGGAACCCAGCCCATCACGCTTCGGACCTTCTCCTCAAAGGACGCGACTCATGTGTTTGCGGCATCAGACAGGCCCACTGTCATCTACAGCAGCAATAAGAAGTTGCTCTATAGCAATGTCAATCTGAAGGAAGTCAGCCACATGTGCCCCTTTAACTCTGCCGCCTTTCCTGACAGGTGCTTCGTTGCTCTTCCCTGGCCTAGTTTCTAGGCACTTATTAGCATATATGGTCCTCATATACAATCCACAATTCCCCCCACCCCCCAATGATTTGAAGCATATGAAATCATTTCCCTCGGAATAAAAATTGTGGTTTTCGATGATTATTTCTGTCTGGCTGGCTTTTTAGGCTGGTTGGCTCGCTTAACTGTGTGGAAACTGTGGCATGCATATGAGAGTTGCGTGCCTCGGAAAATAAAGATTAAAACTTCGTCTTCCAGTTGTTAATTTTGTCGGGCTTTTAGGCGTATAGATGATTTACCCAATGCTTGTGCTTGATGATGTTGGCAGCCTTGCGATCGCCAAAGAAGGGGAGCTCTCCATCGGCACCATTGACGACATCCAAAAGCTCCACATTCGCTCCATCCCTCTGGGAGAGCACGCCCGCCGCATATGCCACCAGGAGCAGTCGCGGACGTTTGCCATCTGCAGCCTGAAGCACATTCAGACGGGTACTGACGACACCGAGATGCACTTTGTGCGGCTTTTGGACGACCAGACGTTCGACTCCATGTCAACCTATGCACTTGACAGCTATGAATACGGCTGCTCTATCCTCAGCTGCTCCTTTGCAGACGACACCAACACCTACTACTGCGTTGGAACGGCTTATGTTCTGCCCGAAGAAAACGAGCCCAACAAGGTGAGCCACTGGAGTTCCATAATCTATTTGATGATATTATTCCCGGGTCATATCCTGTAAATTAGCCGAAATTTTCCTCCAGATAACTTATTATAGCGATGGACAGTGAACCACTGGAGTTCGCTTATCTTTTTGATGCTTAGTCCCCAACAATTTGATGATTTACCTACTCAGCTGCGCTTATCCTCCGAATAACTAATAACAGCGGTGAAAATGACCCCCACTAGGGTGGGCCATTGAGTTATCTGATGATTGAATCCCCCCCCTATATTTTCTGATAAATGAGCTGGAATTTTCAACTTATTACAGCAATCACGATAGCTTGTTTCATCTACGTTTGACTTTCCCCTTATTCCGGTGTTTTCAGGGCCGAATCCTAGTTTTTATGGTCGAAGATGGGAAGTTGCAGTTGATTGCTGAGAAGGAAACAAAAGGGGCCGTGTACTCCCTCAATGCCTTCAATGGGAAGTTGCTGGCCGCCATCAATCAGAAGATTCAGCTGTTCAAGTGGATGCTCCGGGATGACGGCTCACGGGAGCTGCAGTCTGAGTGTGGGCATCACGGCCACATACTTGCTCTATACGTTCAGACCCGAGGCGACTTCATCGTAGTCGGCGACCTGATGAAGTCAATCTCCTTGCTGCTCTACAAGGTAACAGTAATAATAATAATAATAATAATAATAATAATAATAATGATAAATTAATAACAGTTTTAGAAATAACAATAAAAAATAAAAATAGTGAAGTCGATCCCTTTAGCCAGAACAAATATTTTTTCGTGCCATGGCCCTGCATTTCTTATCGCTCGTTGCCATGAACTTTTGAGTGTCATTAGCATATGATTTGGCTGTGATCCGGAGCCGGAATCTCTCTGCTCTGGGATGCTGAATTGCTGCAGGGCTGCCCCTTCTGGCAGCAGATATCTCTCTGCAAGTCCTATGATTGATTCCTCGTGAATAGCAGTTAAAATGCTCCCTTCCCCTAGACACGCACAGCTTTCTGCCAGTTCGTTCGTCTGTGTATTTGAGGTCCTTCTTTCATGGGCACAGTTTAGCCTGATTCCAGTCAGTCATCAGGCCTGTTCTTGGGGATATTCCAAGTGGCATGATCGGTCGATCGATCACGAGCAGGAAGTCAACAACCAGGAAGAAAAACAGGAAACAGAAACAAAACAAGAGAGAAATCCCTCGTCGAATGGCCCCGATGACTGAGTTTTTTTCTACTCTTTTTTTTTTTCTTGTTTGTTTGTATGTATATATGCTACAAGTCCTCGTTGAATTGATTCTCTATCGTGTTCTTGTTTCTTGTCTCTCAACTCTCAACTCGGATTGGATTGGACAAAATCAGCACGAGGAAGGGGCGATCGAGGAGCGGGCCCGGGACTACAACGCCAACTGGATGACGGCGGTGGAGATCCTGGACGACGACGTGTACCTGGGTGCGGAGAACAACTTCAACCTGTTCACGGTCCGCCGGAACAGCGACGCGGCAACGGACGAGGAGCGGGGCCACCTGGAGGTGGTGGGCGAGTTCCATCTCGGCGAGTTCGTCAACCGATTCCGGCCCGGGTCGCTGGTCATGCGGCTGCCCGACTCGGAGGCGGCCCACATCCCCACTGTCATCTTCGGGACGGTCAACGGGGTCATCGGCGTGGTCGCCTCCCTCCCCCACGACCAGTTCCTCTTCCTGGAGAAGCTCCAGGCCTGCCTGGTCAAAGTAATCAAGGGCGTGGGCGGCCTCAGCCACGAGCAGTGGCGCTCCTTCAACAACGAGAAGAAGACAGCCGAGGCCCGCAACTTCCTCGACGGCGACCTCATCGAGTCCTTCCTCGACCTCCCCCGCGCCCGCATGGACCAAATCTCTCACGCCATGGGCGTCTCCATGGAGGACCTCTGCAAGCGCATCGAGGAGCTCACAAGGCTCCATTAGAACGTCAGTAAACGAGGGCGAGAGACAAACCTTCTCTCTTCCTCTCTCTCCCCACTTTGTTGCCAGGAAGAAGATATGGGAGGAGCACTCACGTCTGAAGAAACTTTTGCCGGGGGGCTCTGGCTTTTGAGCTTGAGTCTCTACCGATCCCTCTCTCTACCTTCTAATTAATCAATCCCTGTGATGCAGTATGTGTACTTCTATGACCCATGTTCTTGGTAGTTCTCTCTCTCTCTCTCCCACGGAAAGGTAGTTTTTTTTTATTGTTCTGTGTGTCCTTGCAGTGAGGTCTGCAAAGACTGGGCCCTAGTGAGTTTGGGCCGGGCCCATCAAGTGACGATTGAGGGATGGCCCTGTTTCTTCCTCCGGGTTTTGCCCATGTTCTTGATCGCCGGCTGCCACCGATTAGTCCACGTCAGCAGGACGTCTGATACTCCTAAATAATCTCTTACCGTCGCAATATTTTTGGAGGGTATTTTCGGACTCATTCGAAAGAAAATACATAAAACGTGCAAAAAAGGACGTCATCGCGACAAAAGCGTGCTGCTTCCGGGTCTTTAACACGTACTCTCTCACATGGTGAGCCGCCCACCCCCCCGCCCATTGCGGCAGTCGTTTCACACGTCCAGTCCGAGAAGAGAGAGAAAGAGAAGAGGGCGGGGGTATTCACAGATGTGAACTTAGATTTGGGGAAGGCTGCGTTGTCCGTTATGTGGGCCTGGTTTGACCAGGGTCACCGTCCTGTCGGTTGATGGTGACAAGAGAGAGAGAGAGAGGTTCAACAAGAGAGTTTTGGGCCGGTGGAGTTGACGTCTGGTCAAAGCCCATTACCTACTCCCCACGTCGGAGGCCGACAATCGTCGAACCTTTCGGAAGGATCCTAACAGGGAATTTTATTTAATCCCAGGGAAAAAATGGAATTACTTTATACCCCAGATGCTCTCAGTCGTCTATCCATCCTTGCCTAGATTTCCTATACGTATGAAAATATTTTTAAATCCAATTACCTCATACTTTTAATATATTTTTATATAACTAGGATGATTTTAATTTTGTTAATAATCATTCTCATAAAGTAAGGTTTTTCATACGTTAGACTTAAATGAGAAATCTTTCTCATTAAGCACCCATGAACTGTGCATTTGTAAAAAAGATCACTTAGCTAACTACCGTTGACTATCGTTATTTCGAAATTTTTACCTGGAAGAAGACCAACGTACCCTTTTTACCAATAATTATTTTATTTGAAGGACTGTCCTGCAGCATTTTTTCCAAAAAGCCCAGCATCCTCTGTCTTTCTCTCTCCATCAATATCTCAGCCAATGAGCTCTCCACGACACAAAGAGAACTAGGCTCGTAGGGCCTGTCCACCCACCTTTCTCTCTCTCTCCTCAATCAGACACGGGTCCGTCCCTCTTCTCCTCCATCTCTCCTCAACCATTGGGTCTGTTTCTCCCTCTTATCTTTCCCATACTAACCTCGGGCAGCTCTCTGTCTTCCTCTCTCTCTCTCTCTCTCTCTCTACAAATCGACGTTGCCAGTCGAATCTTGACCCATAAATCACTACTCTCTATCTCTCTCTAGGCTGCCGTGTTGAGCACATTCCCCCTGCGGAGTAGGGAGGGACGCGGGGAGAGGACGAGCCACGGTGGGACGAGATGCTATCCTGGCTACGTGACACAAGATGGGATATAAGATATGATGCCTTTTGATGGCCCCCGCAGCCACATACGGAGGTGACAAAAGATGGCGCCTCGGCCTTGGCGACCTGATTCATGCACACGTGTACCCCTCGTAAAAGGAACAGAACCTCAACTTTTCTGTTAAATCCGAAGACTTTACACCCCAAAATAGTATTCCCCGAAATTGAGCCCGTTCTACCACAATTGCATTTTTTTATTTAAAAAAGACTTTGGCAGCCAAAACTCCCTGTTTTCATTTTATTTATATTTATATTATATTATATTATATTATATTTATATTATATTTATATTATATTTATATTATATTTATATTATATTTATATTATATTTATATTATATTATATTATATTATATTTCTATTTTCTTTTCTTTTAGGGTCGAAGTGACTTCTTCGTTTCGTTTTGAGGGTATTTGAAGGTTTCATCGTTTGGAAAATGGATGGGTTATTATTATTCTTAGGGAAATTGATGAGTCCCACACCCCCGCCCCCTCCCCCAAAAGCCATATAACCATTAGTGTGGCGGGCTGAGGGGAGCCCATGTTGCCAGTACCCGGCGGGTTTATATAAAAATGCACGCCAGGTTTTTTCGATGATCGTGTTCTCCCCCCCCGCCTGACCGCGCATCCACAAAAGTACAAACATGTGGTTCCTCGGAAACAACGTTTTGACCGTTGAATACCCCTCTCTCTCTCTCCCTCCTCTCTCCTCTCTCTGTCTTTATTCTACGGATAATCGCCAAAAACTCGCCGACGTTAACAACTGGACACATAGAAGCCAGGAGGCAGGGGGAGAGAGAGAGAGAGAGCGAGAGAGCGGCATGAGGTAATAACGAAATAAAGTATCAGTAAAAGGTTATTCTGAAAGTAGGTGTCTTATGGAGGGCACATTTCGGATGTGGTGGGGGCGCCAACGGTGGGCCCAAGTTTGGTCACCCGTCGCAGGGTTGACGAGGTAATTGGGTACGGGAGTGGGCCCCGCCGTGTCGTCTCCGGGCACGAGCTACGATGAATGAGTTATAAATACACCTATCGTTTAATCGGGGTGTTCACCAGAACATTCCATTAATTTAAATTTATATATTATTTCTTAATATATAAAATATTAAAATAGAACCGTCAAATCGATGCGTCAGCATCAAATTGAATCGGCGACCTTCGGATACTCTGGTCAACTCAGTCAACCACGACGATCTTCCTCCCCCATCAGAAAATTACTACCCAATAATTAATCTTCTTTCTAATCCTTTATGTACCCGGTACGTCTACGCATATAAGATAGAGAGAGAAAGAGTGGGGCCTATCACCACGAATATTTCGATTTTTTTCCGAAATATGTACAGAAAGTTTATTAAAAAGGGAGGGAGGGAGAGAGAGAGAGAGAGAGAGAGGTTGACTCTCAAGGTAGATTTAAAAATAGGTAGAGCGAGGGGGTGAGATCATTTTCTTGCCCTCATGTTATTTATTTATTTATAATTATTTATATATACATATGTAAATAGAGGAAGAGGACGAGATTCCTGATTTTTAGATTGGATACAGTACATTATTAATGATTAAAAATATATTCCAAAATTTAATCCATAATAATTAAATACCCAGAAAAGAAGCAATAGAAAAGTGATTTTTCATTAAATAAAAAACGGCTGCATAATACGAATTTATTTGACCGTCCGTGATGATGGTGTGTTTCGCAGGATGAGACACCCTGATGTTACCGGCTACTTGGGAAGAAGAAACAACGGCAGGTGATGGCCACTTTCAGTCTTCGGGTAAGCTTACTTATAGTGATTGGACTCAACGAGTCGCCCTCTTCCTCCCCTCGCCGAGAGAAGAGCGGGGAAGAATCGGCAACCTCGATAGGTTTGTTATTCAAATGGGGGGCCAATGATGGCGACGGTGGGTCTGGTCTGGTCTCTGCTCCCGACTCGTGCAGAATCCGGAGTCGGCAACATGGATCCTTGCCTGGTAGGGCTTCTTCAAGGGCATGAGGGAGGATATAAAATGGCGCTTGAAATGGGGGGAGCAGCGGCGGAGTGTTTATGGTAGTCGGCGAGGGGCAAGGGTAGAAGAGATCACCGGTTTCGCTGGACTTGAATGCGTGCTGGGTGGTGGGAGATCAGATTGCCGTGTGCCCCATCCCTCTATTTCTCTCTCTCTCTTCTCTCTCTCTCTCTCTCTCTCTTTTGAGCTTTCTGCTAGTCCAGTCTATGGAGTATAAGAGGATCCATGGCGTTCAGGTAATGGCCTTCTCTCTCTCTCTCTCTCTCTCTCTCCCCAAAGCAAACATCAACGGGTGGTGGGACATCAGATCACTTCGTTTTCCTCTAGGCCGTTCTCTCTCTTCCTCGTGCACTATCAGCCAGCTGATCCATGGTATCGCAAAGGATTTACGAAGTTCATGTAGTGCTCTCCTATCTTTCTCTCTTGCTCGCTCCCGCGCTATATCTGTGTTCAGGAAATCAATGAAAACCCAGTACAACGCCTCGCCGACATGGTGGAACCACCGTATTCGGCCATTCCCCTGCGTTTCTCTCTACTCGCCGACCTATTCTTGGAAGAGTTCATCGTCATCCGCTCGCTTGCAGATGCATGCTATTCTCTGCTCCTCCGTCACGTCTCTCCTTCTATCTAAGCCCTTCTTCTGTAGATTGATCCTCCCGGTCTCCCCGCTTTCTTTCTCTGCTAGAAAAAAAAAAAGTGTACTGTTGTAAAGCATCAAAATCGTTCTCCTCTCTCTCTCTCTCTCTCTCTCGTTCTTCTATCTCTGTCGATGCTCCAGTATTGCCTTGTTGCAGCCATTAATCCATCCTATTTTTCACCAAATGATGTGTTCTGATCTGGCCCCGGTTCCTGACCCGCAGACGGGGGTGATCTCCCCGAGCAAGCTGAGGATGAAGCTCCTCGGTGTCCACAGCCACTGGAGGAATGACGGCGGGACTCCCTCCTCCAGAACCTCCCCCTCCAAGCTGGAGGAGCTCGAGCATTCTAAGGGCAGTCTACTCGCAGACCAAGACGACGGTGAGAAGGAAACCCTACAACCAGGACGATTAATGTTCAGCTTTCTGTCTCTCTATGTTCTCCGGGGATTGCGCATCCCGATTTTATTTCTCTTGAATTGATAATTGAAAAGATCGGTCGGTGATATCTTCAAATGTCAACTGCAGATGGGATGAGGCATCCCGGGGGTGGAGGGGAAGATGGGGGACTTCCTGCAGGGAGGTTCCTCCTGAGCCAGCCCCATCCGGCCAACCAGAGGGCAGTACTCCCCGGGAGGTCGCTGCCGGAGGAAGGCGGCGGCGGTGGTGGCAGCGGCAACGGGTACGACAGCGGGCACGAGAGCGGCGGCGCAGCCACGGGGTTCGAGTTCCACGGCGGAGAGAGGCCCCTGGTAGTGGGGCCCTTCCAGCGGCCGATCCCCTCGAAGTGGAACGATGCGGAGAAGTGGATCATCGGCCGGCAGCCAGCCCACCCGAACCTCATAAAGAAGACTCTGATGCAGCAGCGTTACGGCGGAGGCCAGCCTCTGGCCGGCAACCTGGGGAAGGTCGCACCAGAGGGGGTTGACCCCCTCGTGGCGGACTCCAAGAGGGTCGACTTAAGTCAAGTGGCCACCAGATTCCCATATGGGTCGTTGATCTCTCACCCAGCGCCAGAGCCCAGGCGGGGGGCTCCGCGGTCGGCGGTCGCCTTCTCCCCCATCGTCATAGACTCCGCCATCTTCCCAAGAGCCGACCCCAGCCCCACGGAGCCGCCACCGCCGCCTGTGGAGAATTCCAGCCTTGGTATGGTGGCCCATCGACATGGTTTAAATTTCCTTGGCTCCATGAGCAGTGAGACAGCTTATTCTACTGAAATCACCGCTGAAGTTTCTGTTTCTGCATCCTGGCTTGGATTAGTTCTACCAAGGAAATCTTTTTGTTTGAGGAAAAATATCCGCAATGAAACTTTACTCTGAATTCTTCGAGTCTGAGTATGCATCTATATATAATATTTAATGTTCTATGGATGTTGATGGTGGTGTGTGCAGCGCCTGGGGTGAAATCGGTCTCCATGAGGGACATGGGCACGGAGATGACTCCCATGGCGAGCCAGGAGCCATCGCGGACTGGGACCCCGAATGGGGCATCGACACCGAGTCGCAGCCCCATCTGCTCACAGCCTTCGACCCCCCGGGGGGGCGCCCGGGCACCAGTGGTGGCGCCGCCAATTGAGGTCTGCTCAGAGAAGGTTTTAGATGCTCGGGATGATGGCAGAAGGGCTGAATTGTCCGAGAAGGAGCGCCGACAGAAGACCCGGAGCGAGATCCTTGCCCTCGGACTGCAGCTGGGGAAGATGAACATTGCCGCATGGGCAAGCAAGGGTGATGTTGACAACGAGGGTGGTGGACGGGCCCCTTGTGAAGGGGCGCATCAAGCCCAACTCAAGAGGGTTGACTTTGAGTCACGGGCGGCGGTGTGGGAGGAGGCAGAGAAGACCAAGCATACTGCCAGGTCTGATGATCAGAGAATATCCGAAGCATTATATTAATCCGGGAGGGGCATTTAATTTGGACGAATGCTGCCGCTTTTTGTTCAGGTTTAAGCGCGAGGAGGCGAAGATTCAAGTGTGGGAGAGCCACGAGAAGGCGAAGATTGAGGCGGAGATGAGAGAAGTCGAGGTACCTTGGTCAATGCTCAATTGTACTTTGATTGTAGTTGATGATCTGTACTTGGGTGCCGTTTTAGTCGAATTCTTAGAACGATCCATGTCGTCAAACTATAACTTTTTCGTGTGAGAATTGAAGTATTTTTTTTTGCTGAGAAACTTGGGGATTCCTCTAGGCCCGTGCAGAGAAGATGAAGGCTCAGGCCCATGAGAGGATGATGAGGAGGCTCTCCGCGATCAAGCAGCGGTCCGGGGAAAAGCTCGCTACTGCTGAGGCCCGGAGGGAGCGGCAAGTGGCGGCCACCTGCTGCCAGGCGGAGCACATCCGCCGGACTGGTCAACCCCCTCCGCCGCCAGGCTGCCGCCGCCTCTGCTGCTTGTGGTTCTCGTAAGCCCACCTGCTCGCCGCCACGGTCGCCTGTCTTGGAAGGTCGATGCCCTTTGTAATCCATCCCCACACGAGTGTAAAGTTGGAAATTAAACAGTATACCGGGTAATCTTGGAAGACCTGAGGATCGTTCTTCTGCTGCGAAGGTTCTGTGCTGAATGGTCAACGCCCAGTGGACATGCGTGAGGCCCGGACCAGGACCTTCGTGGATGGTGGGTCAGGCTCGGAAAGCGGATGATGGGTCAGACTCCGGGGAGTGGGCTAGGGTACTAAAAGTCAGTCGGAGGCCCATCTGTAGAAGCATTCGAGGCCCGGAATTGGCCCAGTATCCGAATGTAGGAGATCAATGGGCTAGCCATCTGGCCGCGTGTCAATGCTCAATTGGGCCTAAATGTGGAAAGAGTTGGGCAGGTCAGGCCACTACTTTGGACCCCCGTTGGGGGCCATTATCATGACCACGCAGGCGGCGGAAGTGGGTAATCAATTTGTCTGTACCAATAAGTTATGTATAAGGTCTTTGTTTTACCAGTCCTCGTTGGGCCCAGTAGCGGGCCCATGAAGGGTAGTACCTTGTAAGAAACTCCCATTTTGAGTGTAGGTCTGGAGATTTCCCAATTTTTGTGTTTTGGCAATTCTATTTTGTGAGAATTTCATGATCTTGAGAATAACATTTGACAATAATTTGATATATTAAGGGGAATAAATGGTTTTCATTAATCACTTTAATCATTACAAGAGAGTATAGTTACATGACTAGTGGCTAAAAATATTACTCAAGTAAATGCTTCAATTGGTTTTTAGAGGTAGAAAAGAGACAATAATGAATGGATATTTACATTGCGCTTATATTTATCAATGTTTCATTGTACCAATGTTCAAAAATGGATGAATCAATGGTTTAATGATAATATTATTAATCTTTCTAACACCCATAATTGGGAAGTTTTCACAATGATTTTGTAAACATAAAAAATGGTAGATTGTTAGTTTAAAGATTTTTATGTTAAAAAATAATCATGAAATATTAAAAATTATTCATAAATATGTTATTATTGTATTAGTGTTCGAATGAAAATCTAGATTACTACATCTAGTAGATTCATAAGCTGATTTATTTTGATTCAAGGATGCCTCTTCTCTAGATGCTCTTCCTCCATAAGTTTTTCCCTATGAAGTTCTCAAATTTCCTTAGCCTTTGATAGGTTCTCCCATGACTTAATGTTTTCCCTCTTTTTGTCAACAGTAAAAAGATTGAGATGGTCAGACATTAGCTAATAAAAGGTTCTAGAAGTCACATGAAGAAGTCATCTTACATATTTCACAGAAACCACAATTAAAGGGATCGAGAAGAGATTAGTTATTTTAAAAACACCATGTTCTTGAGTTCCACCAAAAATTATTTACTGAAAATTGTTGATTACTCAATTCAACTTTCTTAGAATTTTAACTTTTTTTTTTCCTAAATTCATGACTCTAGGTAGCAAAAGTTCATTTGGATCAACTCCGTTGTGTGATTAAATCGAAATTTAATCAAAAATTTGTGTCACAAAAATCAAAGAGAGAGATCATCAACATTATTGTCTTAAATTTGATGAAGACTTGAATCTTGTCCAAAATTCAATGAAGAGCCAACTAAATGTCGATTGATTTTCTTTTCCCTCTTCACCTATGAAAGCTATGATTTGGAAGATTATGAAAAATAAATCAGATTAAGGCATTAATTTTGAATCGTAAAACACTCCCCACTATGTTGTCTCCTTATCATTGAGGCAAGCATTGAATTTCACTCAACTTTGCATATAAATCTCTACAAAAACTAGTAGAAAAGAATTCAAGATTGTAGAGTAATCAAGGGTGATTGTTTGAAATTTTTTAGCCATTAGAGGAGGCATAATTTATAAAAAAGATCAAGTTTTACCTTCCTCTTGTTTTATGTCATTATTAAACATTAAATTCTAATAAATACTTAGAAATCTGAAATGTCAAAAATCAATATTATATGTATTTTAAGAGTAAGGATATCCTTCAAGTTTAGACTAATAACTTAGTCATTAAGCATATATATCCAAAGTTATCAGTTTTGGCATGTATTAAGAATCCATTAATGTTAAAATACTTTTGATGATATCTCTTGAAATACACTGATGAGTTAAAAAAAATCAAAATTACCTCAAATAAAACATAAATATGAGCGAGACACACTAAATCTTCCTATCAATATTTGACAACATTAATTTGATGACATATGACATTAAAAATTCTAAAATACCATCTATAAAATTGAAATTTAATTATTTAATTGATCATAGAAAATGATTCAAAGTAATATTTTCAAAATATAAATATTTAGTGTATTGTCTAACTTTTCATTTCAAATTTACTTTAAACATTGATGCAAAATTCAATCTCCAAATCATTACTCTTCATGAGTGGTATTTTATATAATTATTGACACTTTCAAAATAGTAATAAATTAATAATTTATGGTGGTAAATTTTATTGTAAATCAAGTATTAAAAATATTACCATAATTTTTTCATAAAAAATGATCTATTTTTAATTAATTTATATGAGTCATCAAGAGGACTACCAAAACTTCTAGCATAGAAAATTTCATATGTGAGAGTTGTATTAAAAGAAAATAAATCAAGGAATCATTTAGAACTAAGGAATATAGATTGTCATCTAAACGTTTAGATTTGATTCACTTCTATTTATTTGGTTTAAATAAAGTTGCTATCTTAGGAGGAAAACATTATGATCTTGTCACTGTTGATAATTATTCTAGATTTACTTAAATGTTCTTCTTATCTCAAAAAAATGAAACATCTGATTATTACTTTGTAAAGTAGTGTTTTTACTTAGATTTTTCTTGTTTTAGATTACTTTGTAAAATACAAAATGATCTAGCCCAATTCATAAAGAAAATTATAAGTGATCACAGAGGTGAATTTCAAAATGTTATGCTTTAAAGTTCTACGATGAATTAAGAATTACCCACAGTTTTTTTAGCACTTGGGACTCCTTAACAAAATATAGTACTTGAGAAGAAAAAGAGGACCTTGATTTATCTAGAACAACCATGTTGGCTAATAGTGATCTTGCTAAATATATCTGAATTGAGGCCATTAACACAACATGTTAGATTATAAATCCAGCCTTGATTATATCAAAATTAAAGAAAACATCATATAAACTATTAAAGAGTAAAAAGTTTAACAAATTTTATTTTAAACTATTTAGATGTAAGTGTTTTATTCTCAACAATAGTAATGAAAAGTTAAGAAAATTTGATTGACAAAGTGATGAAGAGATATTCTTAAGATAATTCAAGAGCTTGCATAGTATACAATAAAAGAACTTTAATAGTTGAAGAATCTATTCATATTAAATTCATAGAACATGTTAAAGATTAGAAAGTAATACCTCATGAGAATGACAGTGTTAAGACATAATTCACAAACAATAAAGAAACTGAAGTAGAAGAAGTAGAAGAATAACTAACTCATCTAAAGTCAAACCTTGATCCCAAAAATCTACCTAGAACTTAGAAATATGCTAAGATTCAATCCAACGAAATCACCTTCTATGAAATAGAAGTGATGCATTTGGTAAAATATCTAAAAAATTTACTTCTTTCATGTACTACATTATAAAAGGCATTCCGCTTAATGTAGATGTACTATTTTATATCAAATGAGGACTGCTTGTATGTATGATCTTATTTTACCGCTTTGTATCATCATCACATAAATTCTTCATTATTTTCATAACATAGATACATGTAACAAAGAGTCCATTAGGTGTTATCATCATGATATCATCACCAAATCCATTCTTCATAGAATGAGTTACATTCAAATTGATGGTTAATAACTTCATTGCCTGTCTTTCACCCCAAATTTTTTACATCATGCTCTCACTTTTCTTGACATCATGCCTATTGTCAAAAAGTTCAACAAAAGTATTGAACAAGTTGAGCAATGCCTCAAGGTGATGGAAGAATGGCTTTAAGATGTTGAAGACAACCTCTTCAAGCTGAAGTCATTTTTTTCTTGATGTTTCCTTCAATGGTGCATATTTTTTTAATTGTTCCTTTAGACTTTACTTATGTTTTTGATCTTAAAAAAAGGGAAAGAAAAATATTAAAGACTAAGAAAATTGAATGTATATGAACATAGGGGGAGCATTTTTTCAAGTTGAGCAATGAATGTCTGAATGTATGTCTTGACTAGTGGAATGTATATTTTGAATGCTTGAATACATGTTTTGGAATAGTGGTGTTTGTTTATATTGCTGTGAATTTTTATGTTGATTTTGTGGATAAATATAATTTATATCATAACTTTGTCGAATACATTAATGCTTAAATAAATTCTCTCAAATAGGTTTTGTAAATATCAAGAAGGAGTAGATTGTTGATGTCCTTAGTTTTCATATTACAAATGTAAATTTTTATTTAATAAATATTTATTGAATATTTATGAAAATTTACAAATGTTAAATGTTCAATATTTATAAGAATTATTCAATATGTATGATGCACTCTTGTGATTCTATTGCTGACAAGTAAATTTAAGAAAATAATCCTTAAGATCTTTATGTTAGAGCAAATACAACATCCTAGATTTCATATATAAGAACATGGAGAATAATGTCAATGCACATAAGAACATACTTGAAAAATAAAAAAAAGTCAAGTTGAGCATAAGTTTCAAACTTAGAATCTAGAGATGACACATTGAAAGTCTACATGAGGAAATACTTGAAAACTTATAAAAAATCAAGTCATGTGTAGGTCCTAGACCTAGATGCTGACATGTTAGAAGCCTTCATGAAGAAATATTAAGAAAAATCACAACATATAAAGTCAAGCGTAATTTTTAAACCTAGAATTTAGATGGTGATATGTTAGAAGCCTTCATGAGGAAACAATTTGAAATTCACAAATATCAAGTCAAGAATAAGCCTTGAACCTTGAATATGGACAATGACGCTTTGATAGATTACATGAAGACAATGATGGATCAAACATATGTATTTGGTCTCGACCTCTACAACAACATTGCTCACTAATAAGAATTGCATATTCAATTCAAATTTCAAATAAAACCAACAAAAAATAGATAACTTTTATACACAAAAATGGGTAGAAATTTTTGAAATTGATTGACCTCTCTTCATAATACAAATTGACTTGGGAATGTAGATTAGAAAAAAGACAAAACTTGAGAAGAAGACTAGAGAATTCTCCAACAACTATTTACAGATCCATATCTCAAAAGTCAATCACCACGAGCTTTAGTGGAATACAAAACATTACATCAAATCTCCATTCAACATTGGTGGTTCAAGTAACATTCATATCAAAGGCTAACACTCTCCATCAAGACTTAAGATATTTGGGTTGTGAGAAGAGAGTTGGTTGGGCTAAAGCACAAGGTTTTAGTCTCGTTAAACCCTTGAAGTGCGAGATATCTGAGGAGCCATAACTAGTAAAATTGGGTTGATGGTCCCATGAAAATCAATGTGTATTTCTAAGGAAAATAATAAGCTATAGTAGTAAGGATCTTCTAGGACTTGAAGTAGTCAAGTGAGGGGAAAATCAATATAAAAAGTTTGATATTTTTAGTGGTGAAGAAAGAACCATGAGAGAATCTACATAAAGAGAAGAGCCTTGAGAGAATCCATATTGAGAAAGAGAGTTCTAAAAGATCCATCAATAGTCAAAATGAGAATTAACAAAATTAGTAGAAACCAAATTTACCCCTCTTTGTGTTTCACTTAGCCCCCTTTGAACTTATACATGATCTTCATGAAATCATAGAGAACAATCTCTTCATACACGACATAGATTATTTTCAATGTCAATAAATTTTATTTTTCCAAATCTAGCCTAAAATCTCACAAAGTTGTCCATACTCTACTAACAAAAATTAGATGGTTACACCTCAATATAACTCAATGTCATATTCACTAAGAATGAGTAAATAATTTTTTTGGCAACCTAATAAATTTCCAACAACATTTTTGTGACACATGTTAGAGAAAATAATAGTTGTTGGAGCAATCAAATACACAATATTTGAATGATTAGATTAGGTATCAAACTAATTAATTGAAGCCAAGTTATTTATTCAACCACTTAAAATTTATAAATATTGTCATATAATAATTTTAAAATAATATTAAATTATCTTATGATGTGAAGTTATAATTTTTCATACTGATTTATTTGAATCGTGATTCAATGATTCAACAACATTGATATCATGATTCAATGTTTATTTGATAGTTGTGATTTATTTGGGGTTTAGTTGGATAAGTTTGAATGAGAAATTATTACTTTATACAAATATATATTAAAAATTATAATTCAATGATCACAAATTCTTACTAGACTTGTTTGAATCGATGAGTATTGGATAAAAATATTAACACTTAAAGTTCATGTCATATTGATTTCTAGTCATTCTAATCTTTAACTAATTTTTGGACTTTAATGTTGAGAGATGTTGAAAATGTGAAATTTTTAAAATATTTTTTCAATAAATTCAACACTCTATAATGGCTAATAAGTTTTGAGTAATGCCTCTAACCGTTCTAGCATCTCAAGATTTTACTGAGATTTTTTGCAAAAGTATATATACAATTTTGAGCAGTCTTAAAAGCTTGGTTATATTGTGAGAAGTCATGGGGTTGAGGAACATCAATTCAATTGATTTAAGTCATTTCCCAACCTAATTGAAGTGTCAATGTATTCAACGATCATATAGCTTCTCCACACAAAGAAAACAATGAAAATCAAGGCAAATTATTTGTCACTTACATCAATTTTTTGGATGCATCTTAAGTCAACACTAACATCCATAAATAGCCCACAATGAAAATTTTCTTACTTTTTAAGAAATAATTATGACTAAATATTAATTTAATCACTCAAGAGAATCACTCTTTATAACCAGTGGTGGGCCCCTTAAAAGTGTAAATCTAAAAAATGATTTTAGAATGAAATTATATGAGAGTTGAGCTTAGTAATCAACAAGTATTGTGTTAAATAATTGATTTAGTAAAAACTAGGTATGATGTGTTCTTAGAAAATAAATGTTAAGAAGGGGTCCAATCACTATAGAAATCTATGTGCACTATATTTAGATCAAAGAAAATTGAATTAGATTAAAACTAAAAGGTTAAAAAAAATAATTGAATAAAATCAAACTTAGGTACAACAAATTCAAGCCTCCCCTTATTGATATGAGTGCAACATAAAATTCAACAATAAATATTTTATAATTTTGAAAAAAAAAATCAAAATCTATTGCTAATCTCAAATATTAAAACTGATACAATAAAGACTCATGTTCCACATTAAAGGAGGTTTCACATTAAAGTAAAGTCATATACTTTAAATTATTTACTTCACGATAGAATGCAATTAGAGGTGAGTATTAAGCATAGGCTGACCAATAGTTACAAATATAATTGCAGAGACAAACTAACATAGTGTTCAATTTTGGTGATAACTTAAAGTTTGTGAAACAAAGATCAGGCCATTAGAACCAAATGGTATGCAAAGTGTAATGAATTATTATAACATTTATTTATTTTCTACTTTCCAGTAAACTCACCTCAATTGTACAATGTGACAACAAATACAAATAACAATTATAGATCTATAAAGGGCCAATTCATGCCCCAAATTCCTCTTAATATGAACTAAACATGCAATTATCAAGAGATAAACACTCTCATAACTCTCCTGCATTGAACAAGTGAACTGCATTTGATGTGGGTTGAAGTTTTTGACAATCATCATAATGGACTAGTTATAGGACAAGGCCCCTTTACTATCATTGTAAACATGCAATTAATCTACTTGCATCCGTCTAGGATTATAAATGGCAACATGAAAGGTAAATCTTTTGCTTCAGACATTATCACGAATAATTAAAATAATGCCACATCAAAATCCATTTGCTGAACTACTTTTGGAATTGCATCAGTTTTTGTCATCTAAGCATGTACTTTGCACCTTATTTAGAAATCGTATATCTAATTTTCCCATGCACAAAGGTAGCCTGAAATGAATGAACTTCATCCATCATGGAAGCGCAGATGATAACAGATGATCGACCCGCTGATTGCCGTTGCTATCCGATTTGATGGGGGCTGTCAACGACTTGGCGAAGCCGAGCGAGTGGTTGACTGGGGTCAACAGCGTCTCACTCGTCCGCGGGGAGGGCGGTGGGGCGGTGGGGCAGTGGGGGAATGGGCTCCACGGCAGGGGCAGTCACCTCGCTGGTGTCGGTCGACGGCCGAAGGGACGTCTGGATAGGGAAGTGAGTGGAGTATCCAACATAAAAAAGGAAGCACCCGCGCCATTACCGGCTCTCTCAAAAAAAATGCCATCTAGTTGGCCGTCCCGTCAACTCAAAATGATGCGAGAGAAAGAGGGGAGAGAGAGAGAGAGTCCAAGTACAATGGGCCGGGCCGGAAGGGCCACAGGGAAAAGAGAACCCTAATCCTTTTTTGCACGGCAAGGATCACAGTAGGTCTACACACCCACCACCATTGAGAAAACCAGTCTACAGGTAAAGTTTACACACGACACAGACACAATCAGACAACACCAGTGGCCAACCAGAAACACAACGCGGGCCGAGTTCACTTGAGCTCTAGAGAGAGAGAGATGGAGAAAATGAGCAGCGAGCAGCACCAGCGGAGCTCCGCGGTTCTCTCTCTCTCTCTCTCTCTCTCTCCCCCCCTCAGTAGTCGAAGGCGCCGACTGACATGATCCCGGTGCCGAGGCCGCCCCTCGGGGTCTGGCGGCTCACGTAATCCTCGCAGCCGCTGCCGCCAGACCCCTTCTCGGGGCTAGGTCCTTGCTTCCCCATCTGGTGGACTTCTTGGGAGGAGAGGATCTTTATGCACCACACGCTGTTCACAAACTCCCTGCCATGGATCGAGACCTTTAAAAGAGAGAATGGAGGAGGGTTTTCTAAAAAGAAAACAGATAAGCTTAATAAAATTACCCGGAAAGATAAATTAGAAAAAAGAACAAAACAAAACAAAACTAGCGGAGGGGCATCGGCTTCGATGGAAGAAATACTAATGGAAATTGACTTCGACGGGATTCATCAGCAAGTGAAGAAACCGGCATCAGAGTATACGCAGTGGGAGAGGAGCTTACTGCCAAGGATCGTCACCGACGAGAAGAACATCGCCCTCCCGGTCGACGAATACAAGCTGCCAGCCTGATCTCAATGGGTCCTCCAACTGGCCCTCGAGGCCAAACATGCGCCCGAGCTCGCTGCGGAGCTCGGGGTAGCTGTTGAACCTGGTGATGTCCAGCAACCTCCCGAAGGACCCCGACTTGTACACCTTAAGTGGAAAACAAAACCCTCATTCATAACAGCAGGAGAAAGAGTAACGACTCCCGGAGGAAAACTGGTGAGGCTTACCTTCACGAAGGTTCCATCTTGGGGGTTGACTTGGCCCACATGGTTAGGAGGCTGGAGAAACCCCGACTCATCCAGGCAACTGGAAGGCGCCATCACCGGGTTCAGCGGGAATTCAGTCTCCGGGCCACCCATGTAATTGATGGAACCAAATGGAATTGCTGTGGACTCCGTCTCACTAGCGACAGCCCTCAGATTCGGCAGTCCGCTCTGAACCAAGAGTGAGGACTGTTCGATGTTGACCCCGAAGAGGATGTTGCTCTGTGAATCCGTGCTGTCTTCTTGGTCCACCGAGCACTCTCTCCCTGGGAATGGCGCCAGGGTGGCAGTGCTCTGGGGGAGCTGCTTTACCTGGGGAAGGAGACAGAGGGCTCCAGAAGGCACCAGCGGCTCGACTGCGACTCTCTTGTTCGACCACGCCGCAGAGGACACCGATGAGCTGCTCCGCTGCAGGTTCAGCAGCTGCGTTGCCTCCTCGGGGGAGAAGCCGCCAAGGATGCCATGGAGGGGAGAAACGGCAGACGCAGTCATGGTACTTCCATTCACTCCTGTGAAGCTCTGCGGCTGGCAAAACGGAGAGATGCTTTGCAGGGAGGAAGCCTGGGCCTGAGATGTCGAGGCGAGCTGAGACAGTGCCGAGACAACAGTGGGAACTGGCTGGTCCGGCAGCACAGGTGACCCCTGGGGAGGCAGTGCCGGTTGTTGCAGCTTTTGCTGATCGGAAAATGGGCTGTGGTGGCGCTGGAGCTGAGATTGGAGGAAATGGGGCTGCTGGCCCTGAATCTGAGGCTGCCCATCTTGCATGGCCTGCAGGAATGGCTGCGGGGGTTGAGACTGCAGCTGCTGCAAGATTTGGGGTGATAACTGGCCTGCAGATGTGCCAGGAATGCTCTGGGCCTGCTGGAACTGCAGCATCGGTGGAGAGGGCTGCTTGGAGGGATCAAAGCCCCTCATTTCCTGAAGAGCCACTGATGCCATTGGCTGGTACATGTCGGGCTGGATCCCAAGGAATGGAGCATCAATTCTTGGCTGAATCCAGGGCCCCGAACTACCAGCAGCGCCCTGGAAGCTCAAGGATTGGACCCCCCGATCGCTATCCCGGAGCCACATCACAGAGTTGAGGCCGAAATCGTCACCTTTCCCGACTGCATTAGATGATCATGTGAAGTCAACACCCTCGATTCAAATCAATAAAAGACTCACAATTTGCAGTAAAGGAAGAGGCGGCACCATGAAGAGAGGGGAGTCCTGGCAGCCATGGGCGCTTGAGCCTGAGAGAGAAAGGGGGAGGATACATTGGGAATGTTGTTAGCGGCTCAATCTCCCACAGAGACACCCTTGGTTGCCGCTCTCCTGCTGTCGACTCATCCCAGCCGACCTGCATCAACATCCATTGATAGTTTAGGGAGGATTCATCCCATGCCTGTTCATCTCATTCATCTTTCGATAAGGAAACTTAGGCTCACCATATCCACGATATCATAAATATGTAATCTCAATACTAGCTATTATATTAATATATATATATATACATGAAATCGTTCAGATTTAGGGCATGGATACCTTGACTGAACGCCAATGTGAGTTCGACCAGCGCAAAGGATCTAGATCACCTATCCCTGTGATCGTACCCATATATCTGGGAAAAGAGAACTAAACGAGTAAGCAAATGCAGAGGGGTATGGGGAGGGGGAACTGAATGTCTATGGTGATCTTCTAAACCACAGACGATTGGGGAGGCACCAACCTGCGGACGCTCGACTCTTCAGTCTCAAAGAGCATCCGGAAGCGCATGCCCACAGAAACACGGGTGTGGTAGACTGACTTAACATATTTGGCTAGTGGTATGACGAATTCAGAAGGGCTTGCCCTAGGGACGAACCGCAAAAAGTCAAAGCAAAGAAAAGTTAAAGACAGAATATCCCATTTTGTGAAGCAAGATCAACACCTCGGATTATAGAAAATTGTGAAACGGCTGTTCGTTGCAGCAGCATGAGCTGCTGCTGCGAGAAGGCCTATATGCATACTGTCACTTGACAGCACTGAAGACGGCATTACAGTTTGTGGCCGATTAGCACGCCTGATTCCCAAAAGCAGCTGATTGTTTTCGTTCCTGACATAACCATCAGATTTGTTGTTTCACTTCTGGAAAATATAAAGTTCCAAAGGAAACTTTGGAATATATAAATGCATCAGCATGATCCACATACATGTCAGTAATTGGAGTAAGGCAGTATATACCAGATAAATAGGACAGAATCACCCGCAACAAGTCTCTTTGCACTAACAAAAACACTCCACCCAGTAGTAAGGAGATGTCTCTTAGGTTGACCTGCGCCAGCAATCGCAAAAAAAGAGATCAATACAGAGTATACTTGAAGAAGCGCAATAAAAAAATGTCCTTGGTGCAGCAAATCAAGCTCGGACTTTATTATTGGTGTACATTGCTAGAGTGAATTTTATAATGGAGATCAATCACAGCGAAGCAATAAGATAAAACAAGAAGGTATGAAATTAGCGTGAAAAGACTGCTGAGTGCCAAACAACAAAGATCACTTATTAAAACAAAATCATATAAAATGATGATTATAACATTCGTTTGATTCTGTTAATAGATTTTGGTGGACCAGGGTGATCTGATCAATAGGGAACCGGACAGTATTCCACAGGCAATAACGTTCGAATTTTCGACTGCAAAAACCATTCGGAGGGAAGTGATCTCACATTTGTTTGGATCACAATTTAAGCACAGCCTTCTTCGAACAATATAGATTCAGCCAAAGCGCATGAAAGACCCAAAGCACTTAACAAAGTTTTACAGCTACCTCCCTGCCTGAGTCCGTCACTAAAATATAAGGGACTGACAAGTTTCTAACCAGGCTGACTTTGACATGAAAGGGTGAACAAAAAAGCCAAACAAAACTGGCTGATAGGCCAAAAATTATCTTTTAATTGCACAATCTAAGTTCGGATAGCCACAGAAAAATCCATCGAGATTCCTAGAAAATAGAAAGAGAATAGGCAAGAAATATAAAATCAGGTTAATTGAAATAGTCACAAAACAGATCCGGTTAATTAAAAGAATAGAGGCTTTCCTGGAGAATCCCTATGGGTTCCAAAGTTTTTTCACCATACGTTAATATTAATCTTGCCGAGATGAGCTAACAACTGGGCAAAAACATAGAATCTGGAAAAGGCTTGAGTTCATAAAACTTACCACGAAATATATGGCGGAACTTCCACTCATTGCCGTGAAGGTCCCTTGCAACCAACTCTTGTGCTGGGGGAGACTGAGAAAAGTCCTGCAGAACCATAGGGTGGCGCACACAAACATGAAATGTGATCAATCATTACATTCATGAAGTTTGGGCAGATCACCATAGGGCAGTGCTGCTTAAAGATAATGAACCTAACATACCAAGGGAGGAAACACTTTCTCAGCAGCTCGGCGGGGTACAGAGAAACCTCCATGTGTACTAGTGTCACTTGCGGTGAGAGTTTTGCAGAAATAATTGGTTGGTTGTTTGCTGGGTGTACCCAATTCCGCAGGAAGGTAGACATCATTTTGCTCTTGCTGAAAACATGGCTCAGACAAATAATTACAAGCAACAAGGGCAAGTGACTTAGATACTGACATTTGCCGAAGAATAACCAGAAGAATGAGAAGGATGGCAATCCTTACTGGGCTCAATGGCTGCAGAGTCATTTGAGCATAGACTTCATCGGTCTCCACATCAGCCTGGATTTACAACACTCATCGCAATTAGGTTCGCTGACTAAAGAAACCGGGGTAAGAAAAAGATATTTTTCAAGAAACTTGCATGCATGGTAACGTCATGAAGTTGACAAATCAGTTGTGGAGGTAAGGTTGGGTAATTTGGGATATGAGAATCAGCCTCCCTGTTCGTTGATGCAGCAACCTGGATGAAGACATTATAGCAGATAAATTCAGAACCGTAAAAAATGAATACCAAAGTGAACATACTTCCATGCATTGACCTGCAATGTTGGGATTGAATATCTGAGGGAGAACTAAAGTAAAAACCATGGATCTACCATTTTTTTTACATGGAGATAACATGTGAAAGCATACAGGGATAGTAACACCAAGAAACCTTAAAAACCCAAGAAGAGGGCAAGCACTCAGTCACAAACAGACCTGCTCACTATGGCCTTGAGGAAAGTAAACCACCCGGCTTCCAACAGCAGGTAATGACACAAGAGGGCCAGCACAAGCATGCCACAACTCAGAATTCAGGCACCTTTTTTCTCCTGCATGGCACAGAAATGGCCATGATAAGCAGATAACAGAAAATCCATGTTTAGAAACTCTACAACACAAAAATAACATAATTACTGGTCACTTAGATCCGAACTCAGCACAAGTTCTGACACTTTGCCCATAGAAAATGTTAATCTTACAATGAACTTGATTATCTTGCAATATTCATTTGCAAGAGTGTTGGCAACGAATAAGGAAATTTTAAAAAAAGCCGAAATGCAGCCATTTAATCTGCCTACCGATAAAATTCACACGGAATAGAAAAAAATAGCAAACAAAAGAACAATGAAGCAATCTTTCATCCAAAGAGATTGAAAAGGAAACCCAATCAGAGAATCTTCACTGAAGGTAATTTCCATGCTGAAATCAGATAGACTTTTTTCTTCTTTTTTTTTCTTTTCATTGAAGGAGGCAAGGGAGAGGGTGATTGGTGGGGTGGGAGAGCAAAAAGGCATTTTTAGAAATAGCACAAATATATTCTTCTGCGGTTCCAAAAATAACGCAAAAATTCAAGATTTTAATAGAGCCGGAGAAAAATTAAGCGACACAGACATAAGTGTACAAATCACCTTCATGTGGTTGAATTCCGAGTCCCGGTGAGCAGAGTCTCATGTCTGCGAATTAGTGGAGGCCACAAACAGAAAGAAGAAGGGAAATCCAGAACCAGCACCACCTGTCCTGAAGTGACCAAGTTACCTTCGATAATCCAAGAACCGGAAATAGCAGTGAAAACCAGCGCTCCTGTCTTGCAGAGCAAACTATTTCTCACCGTTCTCTGATCAAAAGTCCATTTGTCAAAGCGTCAATTGTTGTCTCCCAATGCTTGAACTACCCAACTTCGAATTTCTTTCTGTGCCCAGTCGGAAATTATAGCTAACCACATAAGAAAGGGGACTTAGAGTCGAGCTCCACTGACGCCATTCTGTTAGAGAAATTCCCCTCGGCTGCTGCCCTTGTCAGAAGAGGACTGATCTAGGTCACGAAAATCTCAGAACAGAACCAGCATTGGTACACCCGACGCCTCAAAATCCCTCCGCATTTCAGCCGGTGACGAAAATCTTCACAATCTCCTCAACTCAACTTCAACTCCTTGACGCCGCTCTTCTCCTCAAAATCTTACATAGAAAACAAGAAAAATCCCACTTCAGTGCTCCCTCCAGTGAGGACCAGTTGCTGAAGTTCCAATGGTCTCTGGCAGCAAACTTATCAGAGGCACGCGCACCCAGAAGTATAAAGGACCATCAACTTCGCCGTATCTTGCTCTGCAGGGCAGAGAACACAGCAGAAAACCTAATATGGACGAAAATCCAGAAAGCACTTCCAATCCAAAGGAACCAAAAAAACACTTCAAACTGCCCAGATACAGCTTACCAGCGGCAATCCTCTGGCCCCAAAGCAGAATCCAGAATCAGCAAGAAATCTGCCTCAGATCCTTGTACATGCCGGCAGCTCGCTCCACCGAGACACAGTAACTCCTAGCTCACCGAGTTCCAGAACTTTGGGGTAACTGCAGAGATCAGCTCAACTGGGAGATCAACCAGTGTCCAGGTTCAGGCAGGATCCCCCCAGCTCCCGAGCCCCGCGGGGCCTCCCTGCTTCGAGCGGTGCATCCCAGCACCCGGATTGTCCCTCTCAGACGTGGAACAGCGGGAGCAGCTCAGCCATCATTCCCACCTCCCCTAGCCACCACTACGCGGCCCCCGGAAATCCTCTCACCCCTCGTTCCCGGCGGATAGAGATGGGGGCCCTGTACTGGGAGGAAGAAGAGTAAGAAAGCGACCAACTAGCAACGAGGAGAGAGAAAAGGTGGAGCGACCAACTTCTCCAGTCACTGCAACTGGTGCCGCCGCGGGGGCTGCCTGCCCTCTCTTCCCCCCTCCTATTCCTCTCTCTCTTGAGCTCCCCTTTCTCTGTCCATCGCTCCGCTTTCTCTCTCTACTGCAACATCTGGCTGCTGCTCCCCGCCTTTGTAGTCTTTTTTCACTGCGGCCCCGCGTCACCCGCCGCATATTTTAGTGGGTTTCTTTTAAATTTTGCTATCTGCGCCCCTCCCCCCGTTGCGGTTTTTATTATTCGCCCCCTCTCTCCCGCGCGTGGCTCTCTACACTCCGGGTTAGACTCCACCAAATGACCAAAACCCACGCCCGTACTCTCAGATTTACGTCCCCTGGCACTCCACTGGGCCAGAGCGGAAATACCCAGAATACCCTCCTTCTTATGTTCTTGGGGGAAATATGAACTTCTTAAGATGATAACATTTTGGAGCGTAGGACTTTGTCCGAACATTCTACTGGTAAAAATTCATAATCTCCGGTTACTATTACCTCGAAAATGTTAGCATTAAGTGAGGCCATTTATTTAATATAATGTTAGCACTAACCCTCGAACCTAGTTAGTAAGTTTTAAAAAATAAGGCAAAAGTGCTCAATTATCGATGTGGGTACGCTCTCAGTATTATAAACTCTATTTTCTTCATAATTAAATGTTTCTTTTATAACTAGTTAAGCTTTCTGATCGCCATCCCCCCCTCCCCCTCCTCTCTCTCTATCTTTCTCTCTCTCCCGTCCACAAGCAATATATTATATGCATATATCTCTCTATGTCTGCTTGCTAAAGCCAGAGTTGGGTTTCTATTTTTCCAGATTTTAAACCCGTAGTAAACTTTCTTAGTTCTTCTTTATGTTTAAGTGAGCCACAATTTTGTGAGAGCCCATAAATCGGGGCATGTCAAAAGTTGCTAATCTCTTGGTCTTTTCCGTGTCTAATACAAATTATGCATATATTAATATTAAGAGCAAAAATCATCTTTTCAGCCATTTTTATGCGTGCAATCACCATCCTCATGAGAGAGGAAGAGAGAGAGAGAGAGAGAGAGAGAGAGAGAGAGATCAGACTGAAATAAGTCTTAGAGAGAGAAATTCAACATTTTTAAAAAATATTCACTAGTTTTCTGTGGTGAAACATACACTCGGATCCAGGTTTAGTGTAATATTAGCACTCGACGTTGGATATTGCGGTCAACCGATTATTCTCCCCAGAGTAAACCCCTGCGTAGTAAAATGGTATAACCGTCACTTCATTGCTACTGCGTTCTTCCGCTGTACGAGGAATCCGGCTTTCCGGAAAGAAGGGGGGCTGCCCGGAAGCGTTCCGGTGCCCGCTCGTTGACATTGCAACTTAAACAAATGCCGCAATCCGCACCGCCGATGACCCCGGTTCCCATATGCCTCTCTTTGGCCATCGGACGCCCTGATCGACCGTACCCTGCGGTGCACGTTGTCTCGCGGTTCAGAAGAAACAGTCTAAACAGTTCTAACGCGGAATCTGCGGGCTGGGGGAGGATTGTGGCCGTCAATATTCCGATATGGGGACCAGATGAGACGAGACGCGCGCCTCCCTTCTGACCGCACGGCAACACGGGAGAATAAAATCGCCATCCAGCCAAAAGGGCCCTGCATACAATTTTATAAATCGTGGGTATGTTATAAACTTTGAAATTAAAAGGGGATCATCAATAAATATGTCAAATATCATACCTTACACAAGGGGCGTTTGTCTCAAGGAGGCCCACGTTGACCACCGTAGACCACTTGAATCCTTGGGAGCACGTGAGGGGTGCAGTCCTGTGGGGCCCACTCGACCCATGCAGCTGCCGACATGAATTTTTTTTTATATTTTTTAAATAATCATTTAAACATCCGAATACGCACGCACCTTTTGATTTGCTCGCGTTTAATTTTGTTAAAAAAAAGAAACCAAAACGTCTTGCTGCAGGAATGTCTCGCTATTTCCATAGTCTAAGGGTCATTTTATCCTAAATTTACGGACTAAAAAAATTACAAAAACACTGTTTATTCGACCGTCCGATTCCATTCTCACTCCAAACGAGGCGCATCTGACGCTCTACGTGGCACGAAAGGAACCAGCCTCCCGCTCATCTATCGGCAGCCAGCGACGGCGGCATAACCCGGTATGTTGACGGCGGTCCGAGGATTCTGTAGGATAGGTGCTCGCCATGATAATTAAGATCAATTTTCTTTCGGTAAACGGCCCACAGTGGCTAGAAAGAAAGACGCGAAGGGCGGAGGACTGATGGCGACGGATGCCGAGAAACCGGCGGAGGGGGGGGGGGGGGGCGCCGGCCATGTGGCTGCTTACTACTGCCTTCTCGTCAACAGTCAACCAGAGGAGGAAGAAGATGTGGTAGATGGATAGAGAGAGAGAGAGAGATGGACGGTGGCTACTAACTTCTCTCTCTCTCTCTCTCTCTCTCTCTCTCTCTCGCTCTCTCTCTCTCTCTATCGATCGATCGATCGATATCTCGCCCTTTTGGGTCTGAGGCCATGCGCCCAAATAGGAAACCCTAGTTGGGAGCTTTCGCCGTCGACAAGGACGTCACGGAGCTTTTTCGGCTCCAACCCCCCCACCCCCAATTGATGGATAACAGCAGCTGGCCAGATCCCCCCCGCTCCTCCTCCTCTGGTGACTGTGGCGGTGGCGGTGGCGGCGGCGGCGAGGATCCTCCTCCTCCGAATTCTCTCTCCCCGGGCAACGGGGGAATTGGCATGTGCTCCGCCGCGCCGCGACAAAAGGGGGAGGCAATCCGCCACCGGAGGGAACCACATGGAATGGAAGCCATGATGATGACGTCATAACTCTAACCCGCCGTCAACAGACAGACGTCCCTCTCTCACTCTCTCTCTTGTTTTCGTTTTCGCTGGCGATGAAGTTCGTCCGACTGTCCCCGACCCGACTCGCCGGCCGCCGACAAGTGGCCACCACGGCAGGTCCGGCCAACCGCCGCCACCGGCCACGGCGGCCGGAAGTTTAGATCCGCCACCCCCGCTGCCTCCGACAGCCGCGACCGCCGTTGTTGGCTCGATTCTTTTCGTAGTTCGGCCAATCCGGCCCCAGTATCACACTCCCTCTCTCTCTCTCTCTCCCTATCGCACTCTTGGTTGGTCTTTTTCTCTCTCTTCGTCTCTTGTATGAGGATGGTGTCCACCTCGACCGGATTCGCACGTGCAGGAAATGCGGCTTTGCCGAGCGTGTGAGGGACACTTTCACACGTGTGAAGAAGATGCCGGCGCGCCGCCGCTTATTCTCATCGAGGAGGAGAACCCTCGGTCGACGGTAGTACGGAGGGCGTTCAGCCAAAATAACGCCGTGACGTCGTGAAGGTTTTTTTTTTGGATAAAATGTTTTATGAAAAAACCTTATAAAAATTATATTAAATAACTAATACCGTTTTTTCAGAGTTATTCCTTAAAAAGCCCTGAGAGACCACTTCCGGCTGTATTACGGCAATTCTAAAGCGAATAAAGGTTCATATGAAAAATGGTTATTTTAAAGTAGACGTCATTGAGATTCGGCCTGTGGGGCCCACATTGAGCTGCGATCCACAGCGACGGGGCGGCCACGAAAAAGCGTCCGAAGAGGACGAAACCGTAAATGGAAAAGAAGCCGGAGGGGGGGTTGGTTTAGAGAGAGAATGATGGGATAGGTATTGACGAAAAAGACCCTCAAGGAGATAAGGATTTATGGAAAGGCCATTATGGAGTTATACGGCGAAGGCCCCTCAAGGAATGCGCCTTGGTCTCAACTAAACTTCTAATTACTTGTTGACAGAGGTATGAAGTTGAGGGCAGACGCGCACGTATCTGGAAATGTGCATTGAACTGGAGATCCAGAGGCAAACAGTGTAACAAGAAGAGAGAGAGAGAGAGAGAGAGAGAGAGAGACAGGGAGAGAGAGATAGAGAGAGATGTTGGACATGACATGGTATCATCTCGTGGTTTACTCGTTGGGTAGCGTTAGATTAGTGTACACCATTCAAAAATGGTTAAGTCGTCAATCTTTACTCCGCCATGGTCATGATCGATTCTGTAAACACTGCCTTGGGGAAGCGATTGATATGATGATGTGTCTGAAGTCAATGAGAGGGCGACACTTGTTCGTAACATTAGATGGGGACAATTTTCCATCCCCACTAATTAACCACCGATATAATTAATGATCATGATGTGAGGGTGTGGCGGCACGCAGCGTGATATAGTGATTGACTGAATCCTGTTTTATTCAATGTCACCTTCACGAACTCTCAATGTGCAGCTGCAGAATGCAGCATCACCTCCATCACCACCATCACCATCGCCATCAGTCTTGTCTTGTGCTTGTTTTTCCTCCATTTATCGTCAATATCACTAGTATTATCACCATACTTTGACGTTGATCACCCGTGTTGATTAAGGTGTGCCCATAAACTGGTTTTCAGTCATTGTTGCAAAGAAATGGAGAAACTTGGAGCCCAAAGGGAGGAGCTTTGATGTGAATTTCCTTCCTTTTCTGACCCACAAGGTTCATTCATGGTGGGCATCATTTAATTGGGGCCTCCTGGAAAGCCTTGAGGGGCTGGAGGGGAAGAGAGAGCGAGAGAGAAGGGTAGCCACGGTAAGTAGCCATTGACAAAGAGGGACTCGAAAGTCTAGACCTTGCATGTGAATCAATTAAATATGGTTCTCGGGTGGAGACGGCAGAGATGGAGGCAGTTCTTCTGCCCCCACATGCAGAAAATGACAGGAACCCAGATTCAATGTGTCCATCGGAAACGCGAGATGTCCCCCAAGTCTCTCTCTCTCTCTCTCTCTCCATATCTATCTCTATCTCTCATGGAAGAGGTCCTTCAAATGTCCACGTTACCGGTAAGTGGCCATTGCATGGAACTCTCTGTCTCTCTCGTGAAAGAGGTTCTTCTAAACGTCCACGTTATCGGTACGTGGCTATTGCATGGTACTCTCTCCCTCCCTCTCTCTCTCTCTCTCTCTCTTTCCCCAACCTCCTCTCGATTTCCTAAAGAGGTTTTTCAAAGGTTCACGTTACCTACAGGCGGGGATTGCATAGAATGTTCAGAGATTTAGATGGAGTTTCCTCCTACTTGGTGTCATCTAATCTGTCCTTCAAATATATATTCATTGGTGATCTCAGCACGGCCGATCACAGCACTCGTATCCTACAAGATCGGGTAATGGAGACGAGCCCCTAAAAATAAAAACTGGGCTGGGCCCATATCAAGCGAGTTTCTACGCATAAAATTGGAAATACTAAGATGCAAGAAAATCTTCTGGCAGTGGCTTCAGCTGGATGGACTCTCGATTTAATCCATCCGGGTTTAATATCATCAACACGTTTATAAGCTATACAGAAAATCAGAAAGGATTTCAACTTTTACACAAAATTGAAAATCTGAGACGCACTCTGATGTTCTAGTTGTGGCTTAAATCAGATGGGAGTTTATTGTGATTCCTCGGATTTAATATCACTAATACACTACTGTGCTATCTACTAAACGAGATAGGATTTCAGTTTCACGCACAAAATCATCCAGCAATGCCTTCAATTTGATCGGACTCATTTCAATTCATACGAACTGATACCATTAGTACGTTTGTTAATTAGACAATAAATGAGAGACACAACAGAAAGTTGTGGCATAGACCATCCAGCTGTGGTTTTGACTCGATTGGGTTTCTTTCAATTGATCCCAAACCATAGAATTAATGGCAAAACTGATTCAGACTTCTTCTGATGATCTCGGATGTCTGATCTATACTTCCTGATTTTGGCGACTATCACCACATCAAGAACCAGGTGGCCATAATACATGGTATTGAGAGAGAAGCTGCCGTCTGGGAATAGCTGATATTGGTCAACTACTTGCCCATCAAAAAGAGAATAAAGATGTTAACCAAAGTCAAACCATAACCAACTAAACTATGTTTAAGAAAATTACCAAGAAGGTTGAGTGAACTCCCATCAATGCCTAAGAAAATTGGTCAACTGAAAGTTGAGTGTTTTCCAGGAACGCAATAGGGAACGTATCAATCATTCAAGTAATTTGTGGAACATAAACTCCTAATCACTTAACTTGCATCTCTCTCTCTCTCTCTCTCTCTCTCTACATATGCAAGTCACTCTGTCATATGGATGCTGAGCCCAATAATCTTTACTGGAGTGTGGAGTGGATATGTAAAAATGCCAGATGAACCATGGCAAATGCAAAAACGACAATCCCTACCCACGAGTCCCATAAGAAACCCCAAGTTCGAAAGAAATCAACGCATCTTCTTGGAGCGCTTTGGTGGCCTAGCAGCCACCTCTGCCCTGGTGTCCTCCTGTGACACCCTATGTGCCATAGTCGTGTAATACATCTGTCATACACCAGGGTAACGAAGGGGTTAGAATCCATGGAGAAAGAAGGCAATTCACAGCCACTGCCCATAGATTTCATGGGAAGAGGGAGAGAGAGGGAGAGAGCGAGAGAGAGAGATGGCTTGTGGATTTCATAAGCAGAATGGAAAGAAAGAGTTATCTATAACTTGCAAACATGATTTGCCTATAATTTGCATTAGAGAGTTCACAAACGTAATTTAGAGAGTTGGCTAGAAGGGCAGCAGATACATCGGGGGTACAGCAAAAACAGTCCAATATTGTTGCCAACGTACCAGAGAAGAATGGAAGAACCCTAAAAGCTAATGGACTGTAGACTACCTGAGTGCAATAGCTAACTTCAATGAAGGCATTCACATCCACACATGGGGAAAAAGCCCAGACCTTGGCATGCCCAACCCAATGAGGGCATACACTTTCTAGGAGCCTTGATCATCTATGCCCTTACAGAAAACACAAACTGGGTTACTGGAAGCCAACCATCCAGCAGTTCCTGAGATGAGAACATTCCAGCTGCATGGTAGCTCTACCAAGACCAGTCATCTAATATATTTTCCTAATATCTCAACCCTAATCAAATATGAAAATATAAAATAACTGCAGTGGTGAACCTGGAGAAAAGACGAAAAACGAGTTCTCCCCTTTATATCCGTCTATCAGTGTGGAAGAGAGAGAGAGCTGTGTGAGTGATCATGAACAGATGTGAGATGAAAAAACGGGACTTAGGGCTTTCGGGCCACACCCCATGAAAGCCTGGCTGGAGACAGGAGGTCTAATTTTTTACCTCGCCTTGGCTTCGAGATGTAACCATGAAAGAAACTGGGCCAGCCCAGCTCTGGCCTCACAACACATTGGCTACCTTAATCTGGTGTGACAGGGTTGGACATATCTGAGAGTTAAGGGTTGTAGCATCTACTGAGATCACAAATAGATCTGCCTATTCAGACAGGTCAGCCTTCTATATCTCAGCTGACGAGGACCAAATCTGTGGGAAGTAAATGAGGGGGGGTGGGGATGGGGTGAGTAAGGCTGTCCATAGGCATGGTAAACTGTAACTTGACCCGGTTTGGCCCCCTCTTTCGGCCTCAGGCCTGAAAACAAAGCTGAAAAGGAAGAGACCTAACTGGGCCCAGCACTCATTAACGTGTGGCCCATACTTTCAAATGACAGAAGAGAGGATGGAGGAGGTGTAGCCACAGTTTAGCTACAGTTCATGTGAGGCTTACAAGAAATTCGATCAATTGTGTGCACCCTGAATAATAGCAAGTGAGACAATGATGAATAGAACAGATTGGCTGATCACAGAAAATGCTAAAAGATAACTTACTTTCTGAGTAGTCGCACACTGAAATTAAAGTCACGTCTCTGTCTAGAAATGATGTTTCAAAATACATAAAATGAATAAAATACAGGAACGGGGTATGATTTTCTAACCTCGCCCCACTTTCTCTGCAGTTCCAGAAGCTCTTGACAGTACTTGAGACATTCCCCATGGTAAGCATCAGCCAGATTTTTAATCAAAGCTTTCCGTTTGATAATGCCTACCACTGCCCAGCAAAAAGAAGGCATGAAATCTCTGTATAGAACCAAAATATTTACTTGCTACTATTCTCAGCTTCATTCTAGCAGAGTTGTGGATCAAAGCATCATGAATCTGAACAAAAAGAATAATTTTATAAGAGCTCCAAGGATCAAACAACAACAGTTACTATGTACAGCACACGGTTGATGATACCAAAAACTAACCATAAATTATCCTAGCTTCGATTCAAAACATCCATTCTCATATTCACAAAACAAGCATTGTTATGTTGCCAAAAACTTCCATGAGGTATATATATTCAGGCATATGCCCATCGAATATTTTAGCATCAACACTGGACTACTTTGGATACTCTAATCTCCTGAAAAGGCTGGTTTCTCTCAATGTGGTAGCTATAAAATAAGTTCCAAATTTCCTACTGAAGAATAGCAGTCCATTAGAGGGCATCTTAAACAGAAGGTAGTGTGAAGTTTCTGATCCAGATGAGAAATTTTCTATTATACTTCATGATGTACGTAACAAGTGGGGAAAGATACAGAACGGAATCAAGATACTAACTTCGGCTGGGATCAAATGGAACAGCAGGAGCATCTGTAACAGCAGTTGACGGCTCTGTGTGATCTGATGGGACTGTAGTCTCCATCTGTGTATATCAACAACCACGGCTCCTTTGAGAATTCCCAGAAGAACATTATACGGAATGAGCTTATGTGCAAAAATAAAACGGAATGTAAACTCTCAAAAACACAGCTAACTGGGGAAATTATCCATACAAATGGCAAGAAAATTCAAGAATGCTGCCCTACTTTTGGAGTAGAAAAGAGGTTGCCAAATTGACTGATCCCAATTTTTTGACATCAAAACCAAGCAAGAGTCCGGTAGAAGAGAGACATGGAAAATTTTCAAACGTTATATACATGCAAGACAATATTAAAGAAATCCAACACTGTAAAGTAGTTCTGGCCCAATTTGTGAACTCATTGACACACTAGCCATCCCCAAGGTGTAACTTTATTTCTTCAAGCAGAATATCTATATAACGAGGTAGACTATGCTTAGATTTCGTGTTTACTTCTCCAATATTCATCACCTATCTTCTGACATGCTTAATTTTCTAACTTTTATTGCTTATCACTTCTCCCTTCTTCCCCTCACCTGGCTGACAAAGAGGGTAATACAAAGGTATCAATTAAATGACACACCCAGACTATTTAATGAAATAGTGGAGATAAGAACAAACATAGCACAAACGAAATGTCTTCAATTTCTATACCTCTAAGATTTGTGCCCCGCAACTGGGACAGACAAAGACAGGAAGCAAGTTTTTTATTTTATTTGCATGAATTGATGCTGTTGTTAATGGTTATCATTATCATTATCATTTTGCATTTCTCACAATCGAGTAGTTCATCATCATCAGAATAATAACTGCAAATTAATATGCATTTTATCTTTATTTCATAACCCAGGCATAGATTGCAAACCGTCTCCAGATCTAAACGTTCAATCGTTCAGCAAATGCAATGAATGAACTTTAGTCAAAGAGCCTTTTGTTGAGTGGTAACTAGTCAAAATGCATATTCTTATCCATAATCTGAACGCTCTCAGAAATCATAAGTTCATCTGAAAAATAAATCTATCGGGAAAGAATCTTGTGCCACCATCACCCATGCGGAAGAAACGGAAGCAACAAGTTTGATCCACAGGCCCTCTGAGAGAATTCTCCCATCAAAGACGCTTAAAAAAAGATATGAAAACACGACCCAACTCAAATCAGAAGCGGACTAACAGTCCCTAACCTAGAAACTACCAGTCAGAAGTAGATGTTGGGGACGAAAACAACCGATAAAAGAGGAGGGAGGGGCGCTCCGCAACCTGGTAACCAAGGGGACCATCCAGGAGGATGATAGAACACGGTAAGGGGGGCCGAGAGCCGCTTCCCGCCGGGAGCAAAGAGGAGCGTGCACAATGGTCGCCTGGGATCAGAGAATTGATCACCTCACCACGGGGGAAGAACCCTACAGGACTCCCAACATCCGACAGCCTCCCCTCCACGTCGAAAGTAAACCCCGGGGGGAGGACGACCAGCTGGAGCAACGTCGGAGGAGGAATCCGGCTGAGCAACGACGAGGAAGTCGAAGAAAGGCGGCGCGCCGGGGGAAGGCAGACGGGGATCAAGCATAGGGAGATCTGACGGGCCCCTCAGAATCGCAGGCCGAGGATCACGGCCGGGCTACCTTTAATTGGCCCGAAAGCCCACAGTTAAAATGGGCCAAAGATGACCTGAACCTCCGGGTCCTAACCTCAGGAGCCGATTGGTCTAGGCTAGGCAACCTTGTGGCTCGAGGATCAATTTAAGGTCAACGTAGGACGCGAGGTTCTAAAAAATAAGCTCATTATTGACTTAAAGCTTGCCCTTATTGGTCCTTGGATACCCATCAAGTACGTCCATATGACAAATAAAGGGAGTTATATATAGTTTGTCCATATAAGACTTTAATTGAGACCTTCTACTTTTTGGTTTGAACAATCAATCTTTATGAATCATAGATATAAAATAAAATTTCAAAACAAACCTCACAAATTTTCAACTTGGGCTCACTATATTGTTGAGTTTTAAGCCACACTTAGATCAAGAAGGGGGGAGGGGTGGTTGAACTAATAGACTCTAATATTTAATTTTGAATCAACCTCTTTTCCTACTTTTTTCCCATAATCCAATTGCCCTCATTTAATGTGATCAAAAAATAAACTACATTCGGATTTTTATAGTGGTTTAAACCTTTGCCTACATCTATTTTCCAAGAGTAATCTCTATTTTTGAGTTTAACTTAGATCGAGCATTTTACCATAATCACTAATTATCAAGTTCAACTCCTACAAATTTTCACTTCAAAATTCTTTTTTAGAGCCAAGATTCTAAGAGGTTAATAATGAATTAATGAGTCAGTTCTTAAGATTAATTAAGTGAAGATTAATTACTAATTTATTTCAAAAATATTATGAAAGGTTTCATCATGAGTTATTTTTCAAAGTATGATATCTACTTGTAGTGTGTCTCAACATTCAACAAACAGGATGAAAGTTGAGGCTCAATTTTTATTTTCCTCTTCTCTTCAAGATGTTGGTAGATGATAGAAGTCTCATGGGCTTGAATAGGTCAAGGGAGATTATTAAATACTTAACTAATGCTCCTCAATTTAATGCCTATACACATTTTTTAAGACAAAAAATAATAAAATTCTTGAGATTGTTAGCAATGATCATTCAATCTTAATTAGCCATTAGAAAGTTACTATGTTTATAGAGAAATCAAATTCAAAAGCCTCTCATATTTTGCATCATCTCCTAACAATTATTTATGTAGAAATAGTTTAAAATTTGAATGACTAAAAAACCTATATGAATGTCCTTTAAAGGTTTGAATATCCACATGAGAAATCAGTACATGATTATATTGAAGTACATCATTTTATATCCAAAGCATATCAATTTAGTCAAGTATGGTAAGGATTTGCTATCATTAAAATAGGATTGATAATGTGTGTCCATATAAAATGGTGATTTACTTATTAAAACTTATCTAAGTTGCCACAAATAAAATGTGATATCAAGTAAACATAATAACTATCTCAATTTTCACAACTTTGGTGATTCATGAGATTTAAAATTATTTTTTTATCAATATTAATTAATATTTAGAAAATATTGTGTAGCAAAATAAATGGTGTCTTTAATCCATTAATTTGATGCCAAAACAATTTCAACACTATGATATATAAATATGGGTACATAATAGATTGAGTAAACTTTCATACTCATATTTGTTAATGCTTAATTTTTTTTATAATGATAAAAAAAAGTGATAGTAAATATTGTATTAACTAAGGTCAATTGTAATCATATTGAATGAAAATATCAAATAGATTTTCTGACACATTTCATGAATTCTTATTTAAATATACATACTAATAAGTCTTCATTATCATGAGTTAATAATTAGTAAATAATATAATTTTAGCCTTACCTCATGATAAATAGACTTATATTTGTGTTAAATTGTGAAAAGTGGTTTTCAATTGATTAATATGAATTTTTGACTAATTATATAATTTTCTACAAATTTATATGAATTTTATTTTTGAGATAAATAAAGAAAAAGAAATTAAAATAAAAATATAGTAAAAGAGGGGGACTTGTCAACCAGCTAGGCCCGCAAATAGGTCGGAAGTGCAGTCAGAGAGAGCCACGAGTAGGGGTTCGAGCAGCTAAGGACCGATGGAGACATGTGTGCGCCACTTCCCTTCCACATCACTAGTGGCTAGTCGGGTGTGAGGCAAAGAGTGGTCAGATACATAAGAGAAAGGGACTCATTACTTGAAAATGTGATATTACTATATATTCACCCAAAACTTCAACGCACAAACGATGTGAGACTAAACCCGCGTCACACCTTCCCTCAAAAGGTTTCAAAGATTTTAATACCTAAACTATCACTTAATTATAATACAAATATACTATGATGACATCAGGTGATAAGAATATTAGTATTTCAATCTCTCTCATGCAAGTAAGCAATTGGTGTAAGTTTGAATTCTCTTAGAGTCAAAACTCATATTTTTACTTGACTATCATGACTTTCCTATAAATCGTCAGTGAAGGATTAAGATACTAGAATTGTTGAATCATTGACAAAAATCTCATCAATGTAATTCACAGAATATTATTACCAAAATTACTAAATGATTTATGATAAAAGGATCGCAAATCTATCAAGTAAATAATTTCTAATTGATCGACAAATAAGCCGTCATCAAGAAGAGGACGATCTACCAGGAGATGAGTTGTCACCTTCTAATAGTGTACCATATATAATGAAAAGCCTTCTATTGATGCACAAAGTTGAGGATGAAACTCCCTAACATGCGCTCTACCTCCATCTAGCTCCTCTTTATCATGTGATAACTACTAAAGAGTCACAAAGTCGTCATTTTTTTACTTTGCTAGGTGACACCCACCAAAGACAATTTAATAACTTATTTCATTGATCTAATGTTGCAAGGAAATCTAGAGATTCCTCCACATAGTCCTTATCCAATGAAAACTTTTGAGGTTGTGGACACTACATGACGATCCTCCCAAACGCTCAAGATTTTGGTGCATCACCGATGCATTGCCGCGCGACATTGGAACTTTGTTTTCTTACTTTCAATTTACTTTTTACTTCATTTTGGTGATAATCTGTGTGATTTAAATTTACCAAGTTATACTTCATTCAATTACAATTCTTTTAACTTTTACAAATCTTAATTTGATCAATTAAATCATCTATAATCGTTTATATAAGAATCGCCAAATGGAACTCTATTTCTGTCCAATTCATGTTTGCTAGGTGTTGACATCATCTTGATGGCCACACCCTTATTTTCTTTTTTTGTGAATTTTAATATATATTATTTTTTTCTTAATAAAAAATTTATAAATAAAATCATATTATTTGAGTAAAATTCTAAAAAAATACTTGATATTATATTACATCCCTATGATTGACTCAGAAAATGATCACTATTTTTTAAAATTATATTAAATTATAATTAATATATCTGTTCAGAAGTACTTCTAAATATCTTAAAATTAGTATTT